AGTCTTTAAAACGTAAAGCTTTATACCCGGAAAGTGTTACAATCGACAAATAAACTGGTTTCAAGTATCGGCATTTAAACTAAACAGTATCAGATATGCAATAACATAACTCGTTGAATGTATCACCAAAACCAATCACATTAATCTTTAAATGGACAACTGAATATTATTCAAATGTAAATGATCCAACTAAAGGAATTACTGATGTTCATGGTAGATTGAATGCCAACGACTAGTGTTTTCGTTTAATTTTGTTTTTATTTATCGTTATTCGTTTCATTTCAGATATTTACAACCATAATTTTCACGATTGTCAAAATATTATTGAACAAAATGTTTCACATTAAATTAATTGTTGGGGGAGTTCGTTAAACTTTTATGAAACATTTCAATTTTTCCTCTCTAACTGTTGCTGACAAAAACATTCGATTTGATTATGATATCAGACAAAAATTGAGATAAATTGTTTAAAAATAAAATTCTGTGGCTGTGAAGACACGAGTTTAATTAAACTTGATTGACACTGATGACTGTTCTCGATCTTTTGAATGTATTGTTTTGAATCGTTGAGACAATTAGCCGATATTAAATATTTATCCGCCCGCATTGGATTAATCTCAATTTCTGTAATGCTATCCAACCAAGAAAGCAGAGACAAATCGAGTGAAGTATCAACTGCAAATTAATAAAGCGAATAAAATGTTCAAAACGCAATTGAATGTCGGAATAATGGCACCAAATAAATTGTCATCAATTAAATTAAACAACATTTTACCCACTCGCGTTTTCAGCTTTCTGCTGCTTCGTTTTTAATTTAACTAATTGAATTTTCTCTCAAGCTAAATCGACACTAAGCTGCATCATATTTCAGTCTCGACTACGAAGCATCATCTACTCAACTCGGGTCTTTACCGCTTTTAGCAGAAAAGAATGAATTGGATTGGAGAGGAGAAGAAGAAGAAGAGATTGAGGTACTTAAAGCACCCGCGGTTATTTATATTTCATTTCCTCAACGACAGCGACAGCGAAAGTAAAAGGATTAAATTTGCGCATTATATTTTTATTGTCTTCTGTTGACAGTTGTCATTAGCGATCGTCTTCAGAAATTATTTGACACTTTAATAACATTTAAATGGAGGAAGAAATTTATGCGTCAATATTGACGCGACTCCTTCTTTCCTTCATGATGATTGTCGATAGATGAATTAAATTTGAGAAGTCTCCAAAATGTGTCGTCGTTTTAAGGATCTTTAAGTAGCGTGGTCAATAATTCAACAGGAAAAAAGTAAAAATAAATTTATTTTCTCCTTACGAAGCCCTCCCATAGTCCGCCTCGCCTTTATTTGCTTTATTATGACTTCTCAACTTCACAGACTGCACTGTTTGCTTTTCATATTCCCCCAACAACATCAACGTCCCTTGCTTCTACTTCTCACTCACTCACGTTATCGTTCTCGTTCGTCTCTCATCCATTGAGTTTTAATGTCCACTTCCACCACTTGAAGCCAAGGAAGAAGTGAGGGAAAATGCATCGAATGAGTTTGCACAAATGATTAAGTGGATTTTACCGGCAGGCAACAGCAATTTTCTAAAATTCATGTGTGATGCAAAAAGAATGAACTCGAGAGAAAGAAAACAAAGAAACAAATTGTGAATATTACACCTGCTGAATGCATGTTGGTTGGTGTAACTACATTTATAGCTATGGAGCATTGCAATGCAGAGAAAGGGATTAATTAGCCGGCGGTCAGAACATATGAAATCAAGATCGCTCGTTGCTGCCTTCTATAAACGACTATGAAGCGATTTGCGATTTGTGAAATGAACTTTTCCTATTATTTAAGTCGAGTGGAGTGAAGCAAAGCAGAAACGTGCATCAGAATGGTAAATTTTTCACGCTTTGTTTTTAATGGACAATGTCCATAAACGAAACTTCCATGCCGCGACCGAACATCAACTTGAACGAACGATTGCATGATAGCGAAGCATTTTTTATTTACTTTTTCTCTCTCCATGACTATTTCTTGTCGTTTTTCACTGCACCACAAGAATCACTCTCGATGCAAGTCAATAACTGGATTTGTAATGAGAACTTTTTTTCTGATTGAACATTTTTAATTGCATAATAATTTCGTCAAGAGAAAAGAAGGAGAAGAAGTCTCGCCAACATAATGATGATTATAATGATGATTAGATACTTAATGTTTTAATTCAAAATAATCGCATGTTGCACTAGATGAAGAAAAACGATTTTCTTCGTCAATAACTTTGCTGCTCATTTTTTGTTGAACGATCGACGAACGTTGCAACGAAATGAAATATCCAAAGCATTGAAAATGCTGTCAAGCGAAAAGTTGAATGCATTTGAAGGAGCTTATTTGCACGAAAGTGGAAAATGGAAAAATAAGTTGAAGGGGAAACGATTTCGAATGTAAATTCTCATATCAGAATGTCACAGTCAATCCTCGACAACTTTAAGTATATGGAAGTAAGTACTTGAAATCGGAAGAAGCTAATGCCAGGAGAGAAACAGACGAAAAGGTTGAATAAATTTGCATGTGCAGTTCGTTCGTGTGAAGGTGGAAAATGATTAAAAATTGCATGCGTTGAAGCGAGAAACGAGAATGTAAACAGAAATGATTGATACACATGCAAGATTGCTTTGAAAATGTTTTTTGTGCTTAAAACGAAAGTGAAACAGAGTAAAAGAACAAACAGCCGAATGGGGATTTCATCATCAGACTTTATCGTCTCATAAAAATGTATCCTTTCATCTAGACACGTAAAGAAATTTAAGAATGTTTTCCAATAATTGTCATGACGATAGATCGATTTATTACGTAGTAACTAACTTCCATTTGTTGACAAATTGAGTAAAATCTATTAAAATTCTAGCCACAAAAAAATTCAATTTAATTTCATTAACCTTCATTGTTTTGCGCCGAAATCAAAATTGAGCTGAGAATTTATACATAATTTATGTGCTCAACAAAGGCAATCGTAGGTTTTCTCAAGCAATAAAAAAGACTACATGACGTATTTTTAAACTTCAGTGAACACGAATTTAGTTTAATTAAAAAAATGAGCTTAAGGTTACTTACCTTAAACTTTCCTTGAACATAAAAACTTTTGAAATAGTTATTTGTTTCATTACAACTATAACTATCAATATCATGAGCAACACATTAACATTTGATTGTTGAAAAAATCGATTTCTTTAATTATGCAGTTATTACTTGTAAAGTTTTACCAAGGAAAGTTTTTGAAGAACAAATAAATCACAAGTCAAGAAAGAAAAAAATGGAACATTCTGCTGAGATGCAATTTGCTTTCTGTAAGAAGACGCACAACTCGACGTGAATATCAAACGACAAGCAGAAAGGAGAAGAGAAAGAAAAAAATTATGCTTGGATTTGCACAAATCTTTATTGTCATGAACGGAGATTTTCTCTTTTGTATCATTTTGCGTTTGAAGCATTTGCTGGTTGGTAAGACGATTGTTCATTCCGCAACGATAGCCTCCTTCGTTTTATGTATTTCCTTCCACTAAATGGGCAAATCGAGTGCTAGAAAAATCTTCTCATCGATTCTCACGCAATAATTTTCCGTCGTTATTCATTGAAGCTTTTTGGAATCATCTCGGCTTGGTTTTGTTCTTGAAGCAGTTAACAAGACACATGTCTCATGAAACAGATGAAAATTAATTGATTTTTCCGTCTCATCATTACAGATCATTTCATAATAAGAGCGGCGTACAAGCAAATCCTCAAGTAATCTATCTTGTGGCATTAAAATTCGAGAACGAACCGCTAAAAACATTAAAATCGCAAATGACATCATCACATGCCTCGATAGGAAATTTCAGTTCACGTGCAACATGATGAGAAATTTGTTTATTCTTTCAATATCATCGTCGTGTTGTTTGTTGTCTTGTGGGTGAAGAACAAGACGAAGACTTTGGTTGACAGGATGAGAAAGAGAGAAGAAGAAAAGTTGGCATCGACGATGATTCTTTAAATTTATTTTTATGAATCATTTAATGTTCTTTTTTGCACCGAAGAAACATTGAAAAATGATGGAAAAGTTTCCTCTGTGCGCTGATGACACCCAAGATGAAGCAGTTTTAAGAAAATTAGTGGAAGAAGGGAAGGAGAAGGTGGAACGTCATAATCTCTTCCTTNCTTTATTATGACTTCTCAACTTCACAGACTGCATTGTTTGCTTTTCATATTCCCCCAACAACATCAACGTCCCTTGCTTCTACTTCTCACTCACTCACGTTATCGTTCTCGTTCGTCTCTCATCCATTGAGTTTTAATGTCCACTTCCACCACTTGAAGCCAAGGAAGAAGTGAGGGAAAATGCATCGAATGAGTTTGCACAAATGATTAAGTGGATTTTACCGGCAGGCAACAGCAATTTTCTAAAATTCATGTGTGATGCAAAAAGAATGAACTCGAGAGAAAGAAAACAAAGAAACAAATTGTGAATATTACACCTGCTGAATGCATGTTGGTTGGTGTAACTACATTTATAGCTATGGAGCATTGCAATGCACAGAAAGGGATTAATTAGCCGGCGGTCAGAACATATGAAATCAAGATCGCTCGTTGCTGCCTTCTATAAACGACTATGAAGCGATTTGCGATTTGTGAAATGAACTTTTCCTATTATTTAAGTCGAGTGGAGTGAAGCAAAGCAGAAACGTGCATCAGAATGGTAAATTTTTCACGCTTTGTTTTTAATGGACAATGTCCATAAACGAAACTTCCATGCCGCGACCGAACATCAACTTGAACGAACGATTGCATGATAGCGAAGCATTTTTTATTTACTTTTTCTCTCTCCATGACTATTTCTTGTCGTTTTTCACTGCACCACAAGAATCACTCTCGATGCAAGTCAATAAGTGGATTTGAAATGAGAACTTTTTTTCTGATTGAACATTTTTAATTGCATAATAATTTCGTCAAGAGAAAAGAAGGAGAAGAAGTCTCGCCAACATAATGATGATTATAATGATGATTAGATACTTAATGTTTTAATTCAAAATAATCGCATGTTGCACTAGATGAAGAAAAACGATTTTCTTCGTCAATAACTTTGCTGCTCATTTTTTGTTGAACGATCGACGAACGTTGCAACGAAATGAAATATCCAAAGCATTGAAAATGCTGTCAAGCGAAAAGTTGAATGCATTTGAAGGAGCTTATTTGCACGAAAGTGGAAAATGGAAAAATAAGTTGAAGGGGAAACGATTCGAATGTAAATTCTCATATCAGAATGTCACAGTCAATCCTCGACAACTTTAAGTATATGGAAGTAAGTACTTGAAATCGGAAGAAGCTAATGCCAGGAGAGAAACAGACGAAAAGGTTGAATAAATTTGCATGTGCAGTTCGTTCGTGTGAAGGTGGAAAATGATTAAAAATTGCATGCGTTGAAGCGAGAAACGAGAATGTAAACAGAAATGATTGAAATGGTATTTGGATCAAGTACATTGCTTGTCTTTAAACTCGCTTTCAAACCATAATACAATGTAAATATTTCCGAGTCGTAAGTATCGTTAGATAATAGCGAAACCATCCAAATCTTAACAACTTCTTGTCGTTCAACTGATATTGATATAAGTCCTTAAATTAGATTAATTTACTGCTCAGCAAACATCTCCGGTCTTCATTTTCGCATTGAAACTTCCGCTATAAAGTATTGATTGAATAGACGCCATGGATAACCATAAGCTTTCGCAATAAAACGCCGCCGACAGACAACATTATCGTATTTCCTCAATTTCACTGCCCTTTTACAAATTGAAGATATAATCAAATAGCAAGCAAAGGCACTTGAAAGCTTTCCTATCAACTGGATATTGTTAAGATATTCTTAAGTGTCGTTAGAGCCGTAACATTTTATTTTCACAGTTGACTAAACAACAACCGACTGAGTATAATTTTACTCACTTAAAATTTACTCACATTGTAAAATTCATTGTATGTATCATCATTAACATAAGTATTCATATCGAGCATGGTATGAACGACAAAAATCATCTTCAGGATGAAACTGTCGCTTTCTTCTTTTCAGAGCTTAGACTTGTCATATTTTTTATGATGAAGACATTAGAAAGGCGACATGGATAAAAGCAACAGATAAAATGAATATCATGCTGCTCATAATCCGTAATAATGTATGTTGTTTATGTTGCACAATTATGGGCTCCAGAATAATTGGAGCAGCTTAGAATGGGTGGCATGATATGGAGTGCCATGGGCCGTCCGTTCTTTTTCAATTTAATTTGTCAATTGTTCAGAGACGTTGAAGCGTTTTTGCATAATTATATAAATTAAAACAATAAGCATGAGTAAATAGAAGTTTTTCCCCTCATGAATGTCAGAATGTATCCAAGAAGCATTTAGCATAAAAAATGAGAGATTTCAAGATAGCAAAATGAAACGAATGGGAACAAGAATTGCTTTTTTTTGCTTTGCTTTTGTTCGATTGCAATTTGCTTTTTAAATGAGAAAGAATATTTTCGATCTTTGAAGTTCAAACGAGAGTCAAATCGTGAATCTTTTTATTTGGTTGAATATTTTTTGCTTTATTTTATTTTTTTTTGAGTCTCATTTGAATCGTAGTTGGATGGGAAATTGTTGAGATGAACAAGCTGATGATGTGTTAAAATGATTTTCCTCATTGTCAAAATGTCTTCTAAGTATAACGAAAGTAGCAGAAGTGAAAGCATTGCATTTTGTGTTAAGTGATTTATTTACGAGTCTTTTTCTTTCCACGACCGTCTCCAAGCAGATGGAACGAGAATTAAAGGAAAACTTAAAAAGGCTTACGGTTAAGAAAAAGTTGCAATGTCAAGCTGTTTAGACTTTTAATAAACAACATCGGGAGAAGAAAAATATCTTTCATAAAAACGACAATGATTCCAAAAGTATTTGCTGAAATGCAATTTGCTTTCTGTAAGAAGACGCACAACTCGACGTGAATATCAAACGACAAGCAGAAAGGAGAAGAGAAAGAAAAAAATTATGCTTGGATTTGCACAAATCTTTATTGTCATGAACGGAGATTTTCTCTTTTGTATCATTTTGCGTTTGAAGCATTTGCTGGTTGGTAAGACGATTGTTCATTCCGCAACGATAGCCTCCTTCGTTTTATGTATTTCCTTCCACTAAATGGGCAAATCGAGTGCTAGAAAAATCTTCTCATCGATTCTCACGCAATAATTTTCCGTCGTTATTCATTGAAGCTTTTTGGAGTCATCTCGGCTTGGTTTTGTTCTTCATGGTTTTGTTCACAAGACACATGTCTCATGAAACAGATGAAAATTAATTGATTTTTCCGTCTCATCATTACAAATCATTTCATAGTAAGAGCGGCGTACAAGCAAATCCTCAAGATTCTTGTGGCATTAAAATTCGAGAACGAACCGCCAAAAACATTAAAATCGCAAATGACATCATCACATGCCTCGATAGGAAATTTCAGTTCACGTGCAACATGATGAGAAATTTGTTTATTCTTTCAATATCATCGTCGTGTTGTTTGTTGTCTTGTGGGTGAAGAACAAGACGAAGACTTTGGTTGACAGGATGAGAAAGAGAGAAGAAGAAAAGTTGGCATCGACGATGATTCTTTAAATTTATTTTTATGAATCATTTAATGTTCTTTTTTGCACCGAAGAAACATTGAAAAATGATGGAAAAGTTTCCTCTGTGCGCTGATGACACCCAAGATGAAGCAGTTTTAAGAAAATTAGTGGAAGAAGGGAAGGAGAAGGTGGAACGTCATAATCTCTTCCTTCTACCTCGACTTTGTTGTTTTACGAATTAAGAAAGAAAAGTGAGTGTCACGGTTGGTGGAAAAGCGACGACGAAATGTCTCACAAGGAAATTAATTCCCGCAGAGATGAAGAGATCAAATGAACTCACCCCTCATCATCGTTGTCGTCATCTGATTAATAATTAATTTTAATTAAAATCATTAATGGGCCGATTTCATCTTCATTTGCTTCATTCAATATTTTGATCGTTTCTCGTGGGTTCGATTGGCCACAAAACACTTTCAACATGAATTTTGATTACCAAAAAACTTTTCATTTTCTCCAACGTTGAGACCTCAAAAGCCAAAAAATCTTAATTGACATTTTAATTCCCAGTTGGTTCCATTATGTCACGCTTGAGACGAATGAAGAGAATTTGTATTTGGAAGCATCTTAAATGTCGGGGGAATGATCGAGACGATGGCGATGACGAGAGAAGAAAAAGGAGGAAACATGCTTCATACGAATTAATAGTTTCTGCATATCCAATGAGACTAATTTATGAATTTCTCCTTCTAACTTCATGTTGCTAAGTCGCGTTCGTTCCCACAACGAGAAAACAGAAACAGAAAACATTAAAAGTTTAAAGGAAAACTTTTTCTTCCATTCATTTATCACCAAACGCAATTTTCCTACCAATGCGACAACTTAAAACGCATTTGTCAAGCGACAATGTTTCCTGATGCAGGAAATGACAAAACTTCACTTGACAGAACGAGAACGAGACTCTTAAACGAGAAGAATTCTTTTCATTGATCTCCGCCGTAAATTTGTCCCTCGGAGGTTGTAAACAAAAAAGCAATTTGGTGTTTTTGTGATAAAGACTCGAATCCAATAAATTTCTATTTTAAAGAGATGAAACGATAAACACTTAACAGCAGCAACAGCAACAAAAGGTAAACGTAAATGAACAAAACAACGAATCGCTTCGGAATAAACTTCAAAAACAATTAGAAAGAAAAGAAGAAGAATTTTTCCCAATTTTCATTTGAGTTGGAAGTTGAAACAGAAATTGAAAAGTTTTTGTAATGTTGTATGATAAATTACAATCATTTAGATGAATAATTGGCTTAGCACCTTTAACCACTTAAACACATACATAAATACTCTTTCGAAATGGAATCTCAAATGTGCTGTAATTATCGACAGAGGGAATCGAAACTTAATCATAAAGAGATTGAAAAATTCTTTAATTTCATTTTCTCTCAATTATTTAATGAGTTTTGTGGTTCACGATAACGATGACGACGACGACACTGCTGGGATCGATTAAGCTTAAAGTGAGCTGCAAGTTACGACTTGTAAGTTTGTGAGTCTCGGGATAGAAAATGACGACGGCGGCAATGGAAAGCGAAACAAGAAGCGAGGGATAAAAAGTGTTTATACTTGTATAAAGAATTATGTGAGACACAAGACGAAGAGACGAGAAAGAAATAAAATGCTTTTTAAACAGATTGCGAGAACTCGTTTTGTGATGAACTTCTTGCGTTCTCCACGAACTTATGTTGAACACAACACAAGACAACACAAACACACACACAACTGCACAATCTGACACGTTGTTGAACCAGAAAGAAGCATGTGAAGTAAAAATTGATTTAAATTATGGGTTATAAACCAAAAAGGTTCTGTTAGTCGATGTAAGAAGTCTCAAAACATTTTCGTGATGTCGATTAAACCTTAAATACACATCTTAGACTCTTTCTGACCATAGGTCTTGATGCAAACAGATTTTCTTCTTCTTCTTCTTGTTCCTTGACTAGTGCCTAAAGCGGAAATAATCAATTTAACCATGCGGCTTTTGTGATGACTCAAATAAACACTTTGATGAGCCAACCATCCACCTCACGATTTGATTTCATTAACGATAGCTAAGTTAACAGCTACAAGAATGGTCAGGTTGAAAAATGTTCTTTTAAATGTCGTTTCAATTAATTTATAGAATCATATTTATCTCCGTTAATGTATGCCTACCACTGACACTTTAAAGAGAGGTTGACAAGATATTTCTAAGATCATTGTGTGTGGATCATTTACAATAAATAAACTGCTGACTTCCGTTTGGCTTCTTGTTCCGAATCATTTGTTAAATACTTCAACGATTCTCAAGCATAGAAAGTTTCTAATTTCCGGTTACAATTTTGATAATTTCTGAACATGCAACCATCAACAAACAAACATCAACACATGTTCACTCTTTGCTTAGCTTACGACTCGTGAAGGACGTGAATTGCATCTGTAAATTGCTGTGTTGCCAAAATAACTTTTTTCATCTTCCATCCCTCGGGTCTCGATTTTCTCAGAAGTTATAATTAGAAGTTTTGTAGGTTCTTTAATTAACATCTCGTTAATAGATCAAAACCAAATAACTTGTGCGAAGTGGAGCGTTACTTGTCATGATTTTCGACGACTGCCCACCCAAGAAGCGAAAACAATTTCACACCCAAGTCCAAGTTAAAATGTTAAATTTTAATTAAATCGCTTTGAAGAATTTCGGAAGCAAATATCTAAAGTACATAAATTGTAAGAAATATTTCAACCTGTCTTAGCGCTTCGTTTCATGTCTCTTCAGTCGTTTCATTATGATGAAATCTCCATCATAAAGCAAAGAGAAATCATAAAAAATAGATAAAAAAATTCATAACAAGAAAGAGACCTCGTAATGTTATTCGTCCATTCAATTAAACTCCCTCTGCTCTTCATGTTGAATGAAAAGAATAATAAATTGACGACATTTATTTTTGGGGCTTTTGTCAAAAGAAAAAAAAACTTGAAGTTGAAATGAAAGAATTTCTTTTTCGTAGTTTTTGGTCAAATTATTGTTGAATGTATTTATGATTAGTTGAATCATCTTTCGCGGTTTGTTTGGAAATAATGTAATTGAAAGAAAGCAGATTGGAAATACAATTTAATGATAGAATTTTCGATATTAACTTCGCTATTGTATACTTGGATCTAATGAACACGAACAAGGAATCAAATTGGAATTTGAGACTCAACATTCGAATCATCCTAACAATGTTTCATGAATTTTTATGTTTCTTGCTTTATCAGATATTTTTTTTCCTCCTACGGGCGAAGATTGAAAACAGCATGAAGCGAATTTTTGTCAACAATTTCTCTTCAAAATGTTATTTTTTTATCGAACTCTCTAATGGTGAACTGATTTCCCATCATTAATCATTGAAGACGATTTCATTTGTGAGAATAGGAGATCATTTGGGCGAATTCTTTTCTGCTTTTTATCCATTTATGTCTCGTTATAACAAATATAGAGGAAAAATATGGAGGAGATACGATAACGTCATGCTGAAAATCATCAGTAAGTGAGTGCTTCATGAATGTTTCATCTTTTCAGATTTTTCTTTCTGTCCCCTTCTCGTAAGTAGTTATTTGAAGCATAGGGCGATAAATGGGAAACATGAAATTGCATCTCTTATGTGAGACGCATAAACAAAGTATAATTAGCAATCGTGCTTAAGAGGGTTGCAACTCATTTTTTAGAGCATTCATTTCGGATGTAATGAATGCATTGTCAATGACACTTTACATGAATCATGCTTGAGGTCATATCATGAAAATTTAAAAATCCTTTATTCACTTGAAAACTAATTGCATGAGATTCTTTGTAAAAGATTTTCATAAATATGTAACAAGCAATCGTCATGTTCCCGCATTTCCCAACCAATTGAATTCATTTTTTATTAAGTGACATTTAAAAAATAATTGGAAAGTTGAAGTAAGAGAAAGAAATGTTTGGACTTGTGATGGACATTGAATCAATATTCCAGTTGACATTGATGTTCGAATTGGTTAACGAACACACAATCGCAATTCAGTTCATTGCTTTGTAAAAGGATGGACATTGAATCAAGATGCGACTCATTGTCTGATGACAACAAGCAAACTGTCTCGTATTGCAAATGATGTTCATGCAATTGAAATCGATCTAACATTATGAAAATTGGCAACACTGCTTTCGAACATTTTTGTAAATATCCTACAATCGAAAAACAATTTGTTAAAGTAAGAAAACGATTTCCGTTCGCAGGAATTAGAATGGGATATGAAACTTTTTTATAAACGGATGTCGCAAAGAAATGAAAACTTTTCTGCTATTTAGGCGTCAAATTCCATTCAATTTGCTGCTAATCTCAGTTCGTGAACATAAACAAGGCAAACAACTTCGCCGGTCACAACATAAATGCCCATAAATAATTTATATTTACTTAGCAATTCCAAAAGAGAATCAGAAAATTTCAAAATATTATGTAAGGAATTCTCAAAAGGATGTTTGAAGGTAGAAAATAAGAAGAATGAAACACAGTCGACCCTTAAAAGGCGAAACGAACTAAGAATCGACAATTCTTCTTTCAATCTGTTTCATGATCGTCTCTACATAGTGTTGGTGTATGTGTTAATCTTTAAAATGTTTTCGAACAAAAGTGCAAACAGTTTTTCACATTTTACAAAAGTTCTGCTGTTAAGACTATTAAAGGCATCTGAAAGAAGGTTTTGTACTTTTTTTCTTCTTCGACTTAATGGGAGTTCTTTTTCATTTTTCGCGATTATGCAATGAAGCAACAGTGAACAAGCAACGTACACATCCAGCGATATGAAGTGTACCTTTGAGAGTTGAAAACAAAGTTTTTGTTAAATCGCTTTTGAAGCTGAATTTATCTCATTTGTTAATTCCATAAGATTTTTATGACCTCCGACATACCTGAAGTTCTTTGTGATGTTTCGCTGGTATTTTTAAGTTTATTTTTTTGTTTTGTAATCCAATATGAACAAGATGTATCCTCTGTCTTGAATGTTTATTTAATCCACAAACTGGTTTTTCAATTAGTCGAAAAAAAACAATTTTTATTTCTGACACTGGTCACTAAATCAATTAGCTAATTTGTAAGCTTTTGGTGAGAACTTCTTTTAATTTTTCATCTTTTAATTTCACTTTTTTATTTCATTCTAAAGATTAAATATTTTATCTTTTCATTAAACTTATCTTGCCTTATGAAAACTTTTTTAATTTGTTTCTTTTTTTTTCTTTTTAAAATTTTATATTTTTAATACTTTCACAAGAAATCTTTTCTATGGATAGACATCGACGACCCTTCTTTGTCAAAGGCTGAAGATACTCTGAAAATAAAAGAGAGAAAAGTCAGCGATGAGAAATGAAAACCGATTCAAAATATGTTCACAGCAAGCAACATAAACAAATGGAGAGAAATGAGAAGAAGCAAGCTGGTTGCGATGTTGTTCTTCAACTCTCTCGTCGTTCAAGCCGGCGTTTGTCATGTTTAAGCAGTGAATGTTGACATCAACTATCATTCCACATAGTAATTCGCACATTATTCAGATAGTTTACATCTGTTTCTCCTAAGATTATGGAATTGTTTTAAACAAAATTATTTATGTTTCTATTACTTAACAAGAGTGTGATGTATTAGAGCGCCGTATTTGGATACTTTTTGTTCGAGTGAATTTAATTTGTTTGAGTGATTTTAAACAGCTTCATCCATCCATTGAAGGGAGAATCATTTTTCTTATTATTTTTGCATGAGTTTTAATTTACAGAATGATCCTTATGGAATTTATGTCTTCTTTGTTCCTCGACAGCAAGTATTACCATTTTGAACTTTCAATAAAACCAGATGGTAATTGACATTGCAAAGTCTGCATAAATGAATGTAAAACGTTTGATTTTTCATTTCATGACTTATGTTCATTGACTTTTTCTATGTAAATATTGAAAGCATGTTAAGGATTGAACTTTATAGAGTTTCATCGTCGTTTTTGTTTTTACTTTGAAAGAAAAACTCGTACAAAGGATGAAAACATAAAAGTACGTAAATTACAATAACAGAAACACGATACTTAGTCTAGATAATTAATAAGAGATGCAATAATTGTCTCACTGAAACAGAAATTGAAAGCAGTCTCTTGATCTGATGCCATTGAACTTTCTCTGCTTTATATCTGATTATTTATGATTGAAACACGAAATCAAATTCAACCCAAACGATTGAATTTAGTTAACAATTCTGGGATGATGTATTAACAATGTTATTTGTTTTTCTTTTTCTTTCTTCTCTCACCGACATCATTTTGCTATTACTCAGTTCATTGGGGTCTGATATGAACGAGTTGTGGGTAAATGGAAGAACTTGTTATTGTGTTAAACGAAATATGAAAAAGATGCTTACGAACCCAAAAAAGAAAAAAAAATCTCCAAGGATGATTCACGGAGCAATTGAATTGAAGAAAGTCGGCGAAAGGGAGGAAAAGCCAACATATTAGATTTGGGTCGGTTGGGTCAATTTATTAGTTAATTTGGAAAATTTTGCAAATAGGATCGTCTCTATAATGCCTTGGGGAGCATGTTTTGTGCTCGAAAGATTGTTTCTGAAGTCAAATTAATCATATCGATTCCAATATTATCAATGGAATGAGAATGAGAGCAAACAATGCCGATGTTATTAATTATCTTCTTCTTTTCTTTTCCAGTTATTAAATAGGCATGAAAAGTTCTCCGGAAATTCTAAATTATCTATCTATGTTAAATGTAAACATTTATCTACTAAGTTTTATGTTTCTTACTGACTGGATAGTTGTACACAAAAATTGTCTACTAAGTTTTATGTTTCTTACTGACTGGATAGTTGTACACAAAAATTGTTTATGAGGTCTGCGAACAATAGCATGAAATTTGAAGCGATTTTCTTGTTGGTTCTGCTTAATGTTTCGAGTTTCTTAGTTATTTGAAATCTCAAGTGATCTAAAAAACATTTGAGCATCTGCAATCAAGCACTTTTTATCGCTCTGAGAATAAATCGAGTTGTGAATGTGAAACTTCAAATATCATATTCAGGAACGAAGAATTTTCGTTTGCGGTGAGACATTTGAAAACAAATGTTAAGTAAGTAAATGCTTCAATTGAAACAATCAAAGTGCCATAAATTTTTATTAAAGTTAAGCGACTTTACAGACACAACATAACTCTCGAACTTCCTGTGACCTGAGGTGACTGTGGTGATGTGTAAAGAAGTCATCGAAAATTTACGGCGAGATGTTTCGACTGCGACACACAGCAGTGCGACAATCAAACAATTAACTTTGACTTTTATTAGACGCGCTCTTAATTTACGGCTTTATATGACTTTTCGAAGTCAATTTTGAAGTTTTGTTGTTTTAGGATTGACTGACTTTCTTAAAATAACTTCATCGATATTCGTTGAGCGACGAAGCTTGTCTTCTCAACATCTCGTCATCATAAGCATCATCTTAACTTCTTTTCATCGACTGATGTTTGCCATCATCTTCGAAATGAATGAATGAATGCTTTTATGAAATATTATTTCGTGGGGTTGAAAAGAAAAATAAACCAGAAATGCCATTAAATTCAATGAGTCGAATCATTCTTCTCGCTTTCCGTCTCCCTTTTTTCTTTCTTTTTTTTTTGGATAACATCTCACAAATATTCATGTGCACACGTTTGCTCTTGAATCAAATGAAACATTTTTAGGAATGTTATTCGTAAGTACTCGAGAACTTTTCTCTTATTCTTTTAACAACTTCGAGGCACATGGAAAGTCCTCGTGAATTCGCATTGCTGAATGATAATTGAACATATTCATGTAAAATCAACTTTCAATCCAAAGTGTCGTAAACCTTTAATATTAAAATAACGATTCAGAGTTAAAACATTTAAGATCTTATCTGCATTCAGCTAAAACAGCTTCTCGTTTACCGGAGGTAAAATATCTAGCTCAAAAAAATAAAAAAAGAAAATTTGTTTATCGAAACGTAAATTTATCGAACATTTTTATNGACCCATCCACGATAGCTAGCTTCAGTTAATTTACACAACGAGAAATTACAAACATTTCAAAAAATCTACATAAGAAATTAAAGAAAAGAAGAAAAATGATCTTAGTAACTGGAGCCAACCCAGGGAGTTCATCGTTCGTACACTGAAAGGTGTTAATCGAAACTAATGTCGGATAGTGCATTGGTAAGCGTTGTTCCATTTCCCAAGACCCAAATTGACGATTAAATAACTAGCGCAGACAAGAAAATATTAAAACCTTTTTTGATGTCAATGCTAGGTACAGTTTATGAGCTTTCAGCTGTAATAATAATAAATGTAGTTCTGTTTTGATTACAGAAGTTATGTCGACGATCGTGGCAAATGGTTTTGATTTTCTTTTTCTTCATACTTCCTTCATAATGTTTTCTAATTTCAACGACATTGAAGAACAACGTTTAACAACTGATAAACATATTCGTTCCGTTCAACAACATTGAAAGTTCGTTATCAGCTCATAAATGTCGGTAAACAAATCGGATCGTCTGAAGCCAACCAAAAATCAATTAAGTTCTCATTGTTTGCCACACTCGGAGTTCTGAAAAAAAAATAAAAGAATATTTTTTACCAATTATGTCACGCACTCTTATCACTTATCAGTGACTTGACAATATTGTCTCATTATTTATGCTTCAATGATAGTAAACTGTCAACTTGACAGAGCGGGCGTGTTTTTTTTGTTAGTGACTCAATCGTCACGTAAATACATAAACGATTAACTCAACATGTATTTTGATTAAACATGAAATGCTATTTTTGGATATTGCACGATTGAATGTCATGACCTAATAAAACAGTTTATCAGAAATTGAATAATATCGACTTACATGACTTGATATGATTGCGAAAAGCAATTGCTATGGAGACTGAGAGGTAACAAAGTGATTGTGCGACTTGCTATGTCGCCGCATTCTTCATACCGTTAATCGATATTTTTTTGTTTTTGTTTTGACTTTTCTGCTGCACATTTAGACTGCAATATTTCTTTTATTATTTGATTTTGTTTCTTACTTGACTGCAAACTTTTGTTTGACTGCAAGGGGTTTGTAACTTTTACTTTGGCATACAAGTTTCAATTTCTTTGAAGTTCGTAATCAAAATTAAGTGAACAGCCCCGTTGCTTTCTGAACTGAAAAATAAACTAAAATCGTTTCGATTTGTTTCGGTTTCTCAAAAGTTTTTATTTTGTGAGTTTGTATGTTGTTTTCAGTATCGATGAGGAAACGATAAACGACATGGAAGTTTCTTGCAAACTGAAACTGAACTGATTGTCAATCGAACGCGAAACGATCGTGAATATCATTTGAGCGCTAATGAATGCTACCATTTTACGCTGATCTAGAAAATAAGTCATTATCGATCATATTTGTACAATTAGCATTTTATTTTTCAATAACGAATTAGTGACAGATCGAGGAATATCGAAGATTGATACTTTGTGACCACATGAACGAAGATATCGTGTGATGAACCTTTCCAATCACTTTAAAGTTTAAAGATGAATATAAAAAACTTGAAGCATTGATTTTTTGTTTCATTTCACCATTGCACAAACGTTTCATGTCTTCACGACGAAGTTGTTTCTATTTTAATAATTAATGGGAATATTTACTGCAATTAAACCATAGAAACGAAAATTTCGCAACAAAACCACGAACAAATAATTTGCACAAATGCAACAAAAACAAAGAAAAGTATTTTTATAAATAAAAATCCATTCTCAAGCTGTTGTCCCGAGTGCAAAATTTAAATCAAGCAAAATAAGTTATTTTCCCTCCATTGTTGGTTGCCATCTTTTGCATCAAAAAAAAACTTGCAGTTGTGTTAATATGCTGGTAGCATTTAAAGTTGATACGCCATTGTTTATAAAATCGATTGTAATTGTTTTGATTAATTGTCTCTACGTTTAAAAGATGGNTTTATAGCGATCCATTCGAGTGACTTGAAATTTTTTTCTTTCTTCTTTATTGAAAATGTTCTAAATTAAGATTGAAGATCGCGATTAATTTTTCTCTTCTTATTTTATTATTATTGTTTTTTTATTTTTATTGATAGACCACAATGAAAGTGATTTGGAATTTTATTTCATTTTTAAACTTACAATCACTTGACATACTTAAAAGTGATGGAAGTTTTGTACAACTCCCAATGCTGTCAAGAGAAGCTAAAGCTAGTTGCACTTTAAATAAAAGTTTGCATTAAATTTAAATAGTTTAGAAGAAGCATTGTTCAGTACGATCAATAAAATGAATTGAAAGTAGATTTGGAGAATGCTTAACTCTCTAACTCGACGTTTGCCCCATCGATGACATTTGAATAATTTCCGCATTTGATTTTTAAACGATATTCAAATCAAAATGTCTCAATCTGACATTCTCCACGTTCTGATCTGTTTTGTTTCAACTTCATTGCTCACGATCTGCGACATCATCAAATTCCAATGGAAAGCATTCTTATTAAATCAATAAAACTTCCATCGAAGATGATTTAATGTTCGAACTGTCGCGTCTTTGATGTTCTTGCCTGCTCCAAATGCCGTGCAGATGATTTATGGCGATTTTATTATTAAAATCACTTCGGTTTTGGATGTCAATGTCTCTCTTGCGCGTTGTGCTATTTCCTCATGTTTCACTCATCGTATTTAAACGATTCGACATTTTTTTTCTGTCTTTCTTTCTTTTTTTTTCATTACCAAGCCACAAATTATGTATGAGAGAAAATATTTTTATTTTACTGTTAAGCTTATCGATTTCATGCATTTGCTCGATAATATCTTGCGCAAACATGACCCATCCACGATAGCTAGCTTCAGTTAATTTACACAACGAGAAATTACAAACATTTCAAAAAATCTACATAAGAAATTAAAGAAAAGAAGAAAAATGATCTTAGTAACTGGAGCCAACCCAGGGAGTTCATCGTTCGTACACTGAAAGGTGTTAATCGAAACTAATGTCGGATAGTGCATTGGTAAGCGTTGTTCCATTTCCCAAGACCCAAATTGACGATTAAATAACTAGCGCAGACAAGAAAATATTAAAACCTTTTTTGATGTCAATGCTAGGTACAGTTTATGAGCTTTCAGCTGTAATAATAATAAATGTAGTTCTGTTTTGATTACAGAAGTTATGTCGACGATCGTGGCAAATGGTTTTGATTTTCTTTTTCTTCATACTTCCTTCATAATGTTTTCTAATTTCAACGACATTGAAGAACAACGTTTAACAACTGATAAACATATTCGTTCCGTTCAACAACATTGAAAGTTCGTTATCAGCTCATAAATGTCGGTAAACAAATCGGATCGTCTGAAGCCAACCAAAAATCAATTAAGTTCTCATTGTTTGCCACACTCGGAGTTCTGAAAAAAAAATAAAAAAATATTTTTTCCCAATTATGTCACGCACTCTTATCACTTATCAGTGACTTGACAATATTGTCTCATTATTTATGCTTCAATGATAGTAAACTGTCAACTTGACAGAGCGGGCGTGTTTTTTTTGTTAGTGACTCAATCGTCACGTAAATACATAAACGATTAACTCAACATGTATTTTGATTAAACATGAAATGCTATTTTTGGATATTGCACGATTGAATGTCATGACCTAATAAAACAGTTTATCAGAAATTGAATAATATCGACTTACATGACTTGATATGATTGCGAAAAGCAATTGCTATGGAGACTGAGAGGTAACAAAGTGATTGTGCGACTTGCTATGTCGCCGCATTCTTCATACCGTTAATCGATATTTTTTTGTTTTTGTTTTGACTTTTCTGCTGCACATTTAGACTGCAATATTTCTTTTATTATTTGATTTTGTTTCTTACTTGACTGCAAACTTTTGTTTGACTGCAAGGGGTTTGTAACTTTGACTTTGGCATACAAGTTTCAATTTCTTTGAAGTTCGTAATCAAAATCAAGTGAACAGCCCCGTTGCTTTCTGAACTGAAAAATAAACTAAAATCGTTTCGATTTGTTTCGGTTTCTCAAAAGTTTTTATTTTGTGAGTTTGTATGTTGTTTTCAGTATCGATGAGGAAACGATAAACGACATGGAAGTTTCTTGCAAACTGAAACTGAACTGATTGTCAATCGAACGCGAAACGGTCGTGAATATCATTTGAGCGCTAATGAATGCTACCATTTTACGCTGATCTAGAAAAAAGTCATTATCGATGATATTTGTACAATTAGCATTTTATTTTTCAATAACGAATTAGTGACACATCGAGGAATATCGAAGATTGATACTTTGTGACCACATGAACGAAGATATCGTGTGATGAATCTTAGCATCGTGTGATGAACCTTTCCAATCACTTTAAAGTTTAAACATGAATATAAAAAACTTGAAGCATTGATTTTTTGTTTCATTTCACCATTGCACAAACGTTTCATGTCTTCACGACGAAGTTGTTTCTATTTTAATAATTAATGGGAATATTTACTGCAATTAAACCATAGAAACGAAAATTTCGCAACAAAACCACGAACAAATAATTTGCACAAATGCAACAAAAACAAAGAAAAGTATTTTTATAAATAAAAATCCATTCTCAAGCTGTTGTCCCGAGTGCAAACTTTCAATCAAGCAAATTAAGTTATTTTCCCTCCATTGTTGGTTGCCATCTTTTGCATCAAAAAAAAACTTGCAGTTGTGTTAATATGCTGGTAGCATTTAAAGTTGATACGCCATTGTTTATAAAATCGATTGTAATTGTTTTGATTAATTGTCTCTACGTTTAAAAGATGGATAGATAATGATTGAAATCTCTTTCGTAGCTTGTTTAGCATACCTTTTCTCTTGTGGTTGAATTTCCTTTGCATTTAACAGTTGTATCACATCGTTTAACCACCATAAACTAATCTAACTTTATTTAGTTCTCTCTTTCGTGGCAACACTGCAAAGTAGAGTCTTCAATGGCTCGCGATGTAAATCTCTAAAGCGAAAGTTGTTTGTTAACAGTAAAATCAATTTCAAATCGAAGTCTCGCAAAACAAGCTCAAAATGTTTAAAAAAAGTAAGATGAATAAAAGATTTCATTGTGCACCACATAAACAATGTGAAAAGCCTCAGAAATGCGAGTCAAAATAGGCTCAATAAAACAATTAATTTGGGCTTTGAATTACTCGCAACTTTTTTAATTTTATCGTTTTTCGATTATTTTATTTTCCCTCATTTCGATGCTGTTTGTTTGAATGGAAAATCTTTTATTATTCAATCCACAAAAACCGCATTGTGAGACGTAAAATAAAAAAAAATAAAATATCAAAATTCATCACTGCTGTTGTGGGTTTGCGATTGAAATGATTTTCTTTTCGAGTTTCGAGACTTGCCAGTTAACAGCAGTTCCCTTTACACATTAACAACACATTTTATTTGCTTCCTCGAAATATTTTACGATTTTCGGGGTCAATTTTGAAAATAAATGTCTGAGGGTAAATAACATGTGAAGGAAATTTTCGGAATTCTGCATCTTAGCTCTACTCAACATTGTAGTCGACAACATGTACTGACTGACAACAAGTAGTTTTAATTAGTGGAATATATTTATTGATGTGTCAGATCAGTAGCCCATGAAAAATGAGAATCATTAAACGTGACAGAAAAACATTCCATGAAGCGATGAAATTAATTTGATATCGAAGAGAGTTTACTGTCTATCCCTCGTAATTTGTAATTGTAACAGAATCTTCTTCATCTGATCTTTCTCGACCACTGCTCTTGCCAATGTGCAATCTTGTTCCACTCAAATTGGAATTTATATGAGAATATTTTTTTTATCTTTCACTACAGGATGCATTCTTGTTATTTTATTTGCCTTTCGTTAAATTGCTTCTCAAAATTTCAATCGTTTTTATATGCTGTTGTTGAAATGATGATGTACAAAAAAGAGTCGAAAACTTTTTGCTTCCTAAGACAACCAATTAGGTTTTTAAGTCTAGCAATCGATGCATAATAAATATTTTCTTACAAGGAAAGATGAGAGAAATGCTTTTTGTCATTGTATTAAATATCGAATATTTATTGTGAAACATAAGCTGGGTAAAGCATAATGTAGAAGAAGAAGGAAGTTGAACATAAGCAGGTGGTTCTTGGCCTCTCTTTCGTAAATATTCATGCCTTTGAAGCATGAAAAATTATAAAAGAACAAAACTATATTGAAAGTGATTTGAATGCGATTTCTGTGCTGTTGCTTAGCAGATGCCATTTCCAGCTATTACATTGGAAAAATGTTTTTGCAGGGGTGAACTAGTTCATCAGTCTTAAATATGCAATAATCATTAACGCGCAATTTTCTGTCAGATCGGAACTAGCAAGAATATTTAAGAACAGTTGTCTTGCGTCGTAAAAAAAAGATTATTTCAACATAAAAATTATTTATTGCGAACAAAAAGTTAGGCTTATGATTATATTCATGAGTCTAGCTCAACCATATTTTGCGCAAAAGCAAAAAGTTTTTGTCTTCTCTCCTGTTCCGTAAAATTCGCAGAAACATTTTGTTATTATTTTTTTCTTTTTTAACTTTTGTCGACCGCAACATAAAATTACGAATGCAAATTTCTTATTCGCTCTCAGTAATGATGAATGTTAATGAATCGTTTCGTTTTGTTAGAGAAGGGGATTTCGGAAATATTTAGCATAAAAAATCTATTAACAACTTATTTTGGTCTCTATATAATCAAGTAGCAACAGGAGATGATCCGATTACAAGTTAAACACACAAGTTTTCACCTTGAAAGTTACGATCGCAAAACGAGATGTGACAGTGAAAACTTTTTTTTTCTTCTTTCGCGATCAATTCACGGTCGAGACATAAAGAGAAACAGAGAAGGAGAACGAAACGAAGAAAAAAATGCAAAACCTGAAAATTTCTCCGATAAATTTCGCAATTCTGCAACGTGTTGTGCTGGCAAAGCGAAAGGCGAGTCCAATGATATCAGCTTTTCTAATGATCACCTGTTGCGTCTAATGACAACAATTACAGTCATCAAGCTACCGGTTCTTCGGCTTATGACACAACTGAAAACAAATGATTTAAGTTATTCTCGCGGGCGGTAGCAGATGATGATTGCAATGCTGAAGCTAATGTTGTCGATTCATCATTGGGAATCATTAGTCTCGTTTCCATTTCAATGGATATGAATTAGAAGTTCGTTCAAATGGAACATTAAAGTGAGCAATATGATGTTATTTATTTGTATACCTTCATCGGATCAATGGCATCATCAAAGGCAATAAGCATAATAATAAAAATTGGTAGACATTTCGTTTCTAACCATATGTCGTCTCATCTACCGCTTAACATCACTTCACCCTCGCAATCATGCGTGTTCATGCGAAATCTAAACAAATAATTAATTTCAACAATAAATTTATTGGGCGGTTGACTATTGGAGGGGAGGGTGAAGCTAGCTGAATGTTTTTAAAACTGCTTAAGCTTCTGCTTTGTATTGACGTGCATCAATTTTGATATTAAAAATTTCACGCTCAATTCAACACAATTTATTTATGCTCATGTCCGAGAATCATAAAATCAGCTTAAGTCGTGCACATTGAAATACGTTTATGAAATTAAAAAAATATTTGAAGAATAATCCAAATGATCCATCATTGCAAATGCTTTTTTTGTTGCTTATTTCATCTTTCACACAAACAATACCAAAAATGTTTCGGATCATCTCATTTTGATTGCATTTTTTTCATCATCGAATGCAGTATGGTAATTTAATTCACATCCATCATCGAGGCATCAACAATTAAAGCGATTCTTCCAAATGATGAGAACGAGAAAAAATTAAAACTGAACTTTTGGGTGTTGTGTTGAAGACCATAATGTCGGATTCTCTTTCTTAACTTGTCACTCTTAATCGAAATCATGTACGCGATGGTGCAATTGGAACAAATCACTCATGACACAATTAACATCACAGACAATGTGTCAGTTCATCTTATTTGATGGGTCCATCTTCGTTCTTTACTGTTGAGTATCATCATCCGGTCATTGCTGATGCGATTTGGAGAAGATGGAGAAGAAAACTTTCTCATCAAATCAAAATTTGAAGGGCTTAAATGTGTGCCCTTAAACGTGATTGATGGGCTGATGGCCCCACGTCATGTGGTTAGACTTAAAATTAATAACTTCTTAAACATCTTAAACATTTTCAATGTCTTCAAATACGTAAATCTAAATCTCATAACTGCAAAGTAATTATTGCTTGTGTATGATCTATCGCGTGATTTATGCAATTTATGTTGCAATGAACAAGTCAAGGCGTTTTATGCATTTAATTGGATGGCAGTGAAAAGAGTGATGGACTTGAAAGGCGATCACGCGTTAAGTAATGCAAAACTCATGTTAGATTCACACTGATGAATGAGAAAATTTATTTAATCCATGTCACTGTCAGTGAATTTATTTATGTAAGTGCATTCAACCTTAGTGCGATAAGAATTTTAACAAACAACGCCTCGTGTCTTTCCGTAAATACGGGTTGAGGAAATCCATTCAAACTATCATCAATTGTCGTCTTCCTTTCATTTTCATTGAATCTCTTTGATGTCCCACAAACAAAACGAATTCAATATTTGTCAGATATAAAACGCAATTCCGACTTTCATGGGAATTCATAAAACTGTTTCTGCTTCTCGATCTCTTGCGATGACAAAATTAAAATTCATTAAAATCATCGGCTGCTTTTATGCCCTCAAATGGAACTTCATAATTAAGTTGATGTTCATGAAAGTCGTTAAAACAAGTTACTAGTAAAAGTAAGAAGATCTATGTGTAGTTTTTTTTGGTAAATTCATGATTAGATCTTACGCGAGGTTGCTTTTGGGCGTTCTAAGGCCATCACGGCGCCGTCTGTTTTGGATTAAAAGATCAACGCGAAAATTATTTACACATCTTCATGGTAATTACAGTTTCTTTCCTATTCGTTTTTCTTGAACGAACCAATCATTTTTTTGTCATGATAGACACTTTGATGTTGGCGAATGATAAATAAATTCATCATGATCATTCTTAATGATGAGAATAGTGCACAGCACAATTTTATAATTTATTTTTCACTTCATTAGTCTCACTGACAAAAGAAGAAGGCACGACCCTGAACCCGAAATTATCTAACATGTTCAGACGGTAAGAACACTTTTCTTAAAATCTGCTCCGCCCATGGCCATAAAAGTATTGTATGTAAATCAGCTGATGCCTTTCAACAGATTATATTGCACCCGACCATCCATCACATTCACCTCACCTGACTAATGGCAATTTATTTTATTGTTTCTACATCAAACACCAACCATTAAAAATTAATATAAAAGAAATATGAAACAAAAATTTAGCTCATTACATCTTTCGGGTTTTGAAATTGATCATAAAATATCAATAAGCAAAATCTAAAAATAAAGCCACAGTAAATCGTTAAAAGGGATTTCAGTAAGCGAAACGATGAGGTGGTCTGCGTTAAAGAGTTTTTAAAGACTTGACCATCAATCAATAACGTTGGTTGTTTCAATGATATTCAAATTCTGGAACGAAATACTTAAATACTTTTAGATATCCGAGAAATTTTAACAGTCAAAGTGTTTCTTAACTCGTTTTGAGACAGGAAGAAGCAAATAAACATCAACAAATAGGTCGCTTGATTATTCTATTCGTGTAACATTTATGTATTTATTATATTTACTGTTCTAAGAAATTCTTTTTTCTCAGTTGAATTCTAAAGAAAGAAAATATTCAGGTTCTTCCTGAATTTAAATTGGTTTTGATTGGCGCACATCGAAACTCGAGTTGATTGTACAAAGCACGCGCTTTATATTGTAGAACTTTCACTAACTGCATTAATTTTCATTGATGAATTTCCTTCATCTGTTTGCTATTCATTGAGATAGATTTCTTTTAAATTTTTGGAGAAATGTAAAGACGTTCCAAAAATGTAAAAGCGCATGCATGATGCTTGAGCTTCTCAAGTAGATTCTTACGACCATCCATGAAGAAAAACATGGTGAAACCACTTAACGGAGTACTTTTGTGCTTCTTGTTTGTTTTATCACCAATGGATGCATTCCATGAATTGTGTAATGTTCTCATGCATTGAAGATGGTCTGGTACAGTTCGAAATTTCATTAGAATATGCATTACCGTCTTTGAGTGTGTTGAATAGAAATTTTATGTTCCATTCGTATATATTTATCTTAAATCTATTTATCTACTAAACACAACCAGATGTAAGCAACAAAAATCCGACTCACTAAATTTAGTTCATCAAAAAAATTAATTTTTTTCTTGATGTTATTTTATCATCAGCACGCAATTTCTCTGAACAAATCATCAATAATGATGTAAGGAGTTTGGGTAAAAATAGAATATTTAAACGAATTTCACTTCATTTAATTCATCATCCTATGACTCATGATGAGACTCAAGTAAAAGGTGAAACAGATTTCATTTTGCAAACTTTTATTTTGTAAACCCGAAAATTGTGTCCAGAATTTTAATGAAATGATGAATAATGATTGTTGCTGAGCGGATGATGTGATGTCTGACTGATACTCAGATACAAACGTTGCCCTTTTCCGTTTATGTGTAGTTTATCTGGATGAATGACATTTTTTTCAACTAATTTACCGTTAAACATTTGCTATTGGGTCGGTGAACAATGAATAATGAGAGAACAAAGAGATCTAATTGAAAAATTGCCATGAAAGATGGGAAGAAGTTGCTGATGCATACATTTTTACTTCGGACTTGAAAGTAACATAATGTACATACAAAGAGAAAATATTTTTCGTATTGAATTTAGACTACAATGAACTTTTAATTACAAATATAATTTCTTTAAACTTATGTCATAACTATTTAAGATGAGATCATCGGTAGCAAGAGAAGCGAGAAATTAATACTGATTAAAGCGCCATCTATCACAGGGCAATTAAAAGTTTCAGTCCCACCTCCTCAATAAATAAAACAATTCTTTATAAATTTACATTTTAAATTAAACTTTCAATTAGGTAATTTAACTTCTATCAAGTTTAAAAGGAAATCATCTCAGATGTTGTTTAAAGATCTTGTACATACTTAATAAAAGTTCTTGAATTTTACGAGCAGTAGTTAAAAGAGTCAGAGTTAAAAATGCAAATTGCAGCAGATTAAATAATAAATCGTAATTTATTAAAATAATAAAGCTACCTGGTGTTATAATCAATATTTATAATGTGTGGCATATGTGATAATGATTCAAGTGATGATAACTTTTCAGTTGTTGAAGTTAAACTATGTTCTAAAGGTGAGCAGCAAATCATAAGCATCAAAAATTTCCATCAATTTTCGTTAAATGGTGAACTAAACGACAATATTTGAATGTGATTCATTTTCTGAAACGTTCCTAACTCACCACATTCTCTCGTTTTCTCTCTTCTCATCTTTTCATTCATGAGCGATTTGTTTCTTTTCTGCGGCATTCAGTTGAGTTCTTTAGCTCGAAGTAAGCACAACACACGGCTCGGATATTTTATATAGTGATGAATAAAATTAAAATAAATTAAAAACTTGACAAAAAAAAATAAAGTTCTTTGTTGATTTTTTGGTTTATAAAGATTAAAGTGCAAGCAAAATCTTATGGACAATAAAAACTCGTCAAAGTGTCCAAGTTCACGTGAAAGTAAACAAAGAAAGTCATTTCTCTAAACAAGGAATACTGTGAATGATAAAAAGATAGTGAAAAAATATCAAATTCATGTAAATATCTGTTTCTATTTGTTGATGTTCTGTTGCTTTAATAACAACGTCTGTCGGAGAATTCTATTAATATACATCCACACAAAATGTTCTTTGCCTGTATATGAGATCGTTTAAGTATGAGGAAGCTATAGACAAATGCGAGAACAGTTTCCATAAATCCTCATCATAGTCTGTCGCCTTTATTCACTCATATTTTAAGTGCGTCTGGGCTTCGACAGTGACTAAATAATAATTGAAAACCGTTTTTTTGTCTTCTTTGCAATTACTCACATGTGTCTTTTATTAAAGCAATTTAAGATATATAAAGTTAAATATTTATCCGAAAATAAGAAGTGAAATTTACAAAAAGAAATATTTTGCATGAATAAATTGTCGTAAGCTTTGTACATGAATATAAATATATGAAATTGATACATGCAAATGCAAAAAAAAACGTAAGTGCAATAACATTACCAAGCCAGAACCTTGCAATCCATAAGCAACGAAAAAGTATTGTATAACTCGTTGATCACGAAGTTAATGTCGAGCAGCTTTGAATAATTGAAATACATATGAAATATATTCGAAATTTAATTAAATTCCAAAATTATTCATTATCCTTGACTCGCGTGCCTTATAATCTCTATAAATTCACAGAATTGTTTCGTTAATGGGCATTTTAAAAGACATCGAATTCGATCGAAAAGTTTGAAATATTTCTTCTCTTATTACCGAACACAACACAACAGCAAATAATTCTTAAATAATAAGAAGGAGAATGTCGTAATAAGTTCCTATAATTATATGTTTGGTTTGAGCTCATACGCGGATAACTTGAAGAAGAAGATAAACAAAGTCCAGTGTCAGGTAGAGTTGCTAGATAAAGATTGCAAAAATCTACTAACGATTATAAATATTTGTTCATCGTCTCGAGCAGGTCCATGGTCATTTAGCACCTTTTAAAATGAATGTATAAACACCATATGATTCAAACTAGTCCACAATTTGTTCATATTATGTTGTGTAATGAAAGATTAGCAGTGTTAAGTGTCTCGTTATCCCTCTTCCCACGTTTCTCTGAAACAATTTAATCGAGTAACACAACTTCAACTTTTTATTTAGTTAATAAAAAAAATGATCACCGTAACTTTTTTTTTGTGTTTAAGTAATTGCATATATTCAACAAAAGACTTGGTGTTTGGATGGGAGACAAACAATTTTAATGTCTTTCAGTTTTTATTGAGCTCTCCATGATTCTATTTAATCTGAGGGGAGCTTCATAAAGATAAATTGTTATAATTTCTTTTTTAAATACTCTGAAACGAATCGACGGAGTCAGATGCGGGTTGCGGAGTGTAACAGTTGTTATCTCGTCAAAAACTTTATCAATGATATAGACGAGAGTTGTGTCTATCTTAAGTGTGTGCTGTGACATTGATTAATAAGTTAAGATAGATGAAAACAAGATCTCGACAAGTTATCAAGTGCTTCGAGGCATCTGCGACACTTAAAAATTTCTCGGTATTGAGTTTGACATTCAGAAAGAAGTATAAAAAAATAAATCAGAGTCGAAATGAAACAGAAACTTCAGTGCTCGTGCTTATCAATTATGTAAAAATATTCGACAGAAAATTGAAGTTTGAATAACGACATTGCTCATACTCGTATGATGTCACGTTTTCCTCTTTGATTAGAGTTTTTGTAAATATTTAATTTTCATTCATAAAGTGGAAGCGAAAAAACTTGTCAGATTGCAATTGTACAATCATCATAAAATACTGTTCAATGTTTATCATGTTTGTGTGGAAAAGAAAGAAATAAAACGACATAAAATGTTCACAATCAAATGGCTCTGTTTGAAAATAAATTAAATTCCGTGAAACTTTTAAAAATGCTCAAGTAATATGTTTGGGCTTGTCTCGCGTCTTATGATTGAATGTTATTGAATCAACCGCGTGCGAACTATTGCTCGATCAGACATTCATCAAGTCTTGTTGAAGAAAAACCGAAAGTATTGGAGTCACATTAAATATCGAATATAATTTCACCATCATTGATAGTGATCATTAAAAAATAAATTGCATTGAAGGTTGCGAATTAATTGAAAGAAGAATGTGGAAAGGAAATGAGCGAAACAAAATATTACCTCATGGTCTCATATTTATGTCCAAAATGACCAAGGAAAGTAGGTAGAAAGAAAGAGAATTTGATGTAGAATGAAAGAGAAAAGAACATGTCTTAGTTGTAACAAGAAACATGAATTCATTTGATGTTCTCATTGATTTTCAACACATGTTTCGTATTTATCTTTCTACGTTCAGTTTTAAAATGTGCATAAATATTAACTTTTCAGTTTCATTTGCATTCTTATTAACAATGCAAATATAATTACCACCAACTAGACTATAAAAACTTGTAAGTAAAGTAAACATTGTTGGAGTTTGAATCATCGCACACGAATTTCATTTAAGCGCATACCGGATGTTGCTCCTAGAACTTCCCCTCGGTAAAGAAAGAATCTTTAACACATAAACACACACCAGACATTTTCAGCGACAAATGAATGTGGGAAGCGAGAAACCGAAAAGTTAGTAAAGAAGAAAAACGCACACATGAAAGATAATAAAAATTGTTGATTCAGAAGGCAAAAAATTAAACAAAATAAAAGTAGTTAAAAGAAATATGAAAAAATTAGGAATTCTCGACATTGTCAGGGTACTTAGGAAGGAGCAACAGCAATATGGTTTTAAGACTGCTCGAAAAAGAATGAAAATCTGTATTAATGCGGTACACATCGTTGGAGGGTTTAGCAACAACCACAGGCGGTGATCATCTGAGGAATGGAAAGGAAGAAAACAACGTTTGTTCGTTGTTCCAAGAAATATCTTTGTTCATGTTTATTATCAAGCGCTTGGGGTTAAAGGTTGGTCGCATTCAATGCTCTTCTAAGAATTTTTATTTCTTCAGGAAATGGAGAGAAGAAGAAAATTTTATATTTACTGATAAGATAACGAATCAGTCGGATTACATTCTCATTTCGCATCGGGCGATATTTTGATTATTTTTTCAAAAGTAAACAAGAGATTAATGAGCACCGCAGCTTTGCTACATGTTCCTCAACGAAAGAAAAAGAAAGATTTGCGGAGCATGAAGAATGCAATGTGCATTAAACGAGTAATTAATTTTTTTTTTCTTTCGTTTCGTCTCAACTTTCCCTCTTTTGAGCGTTATTTATGTGATCTTCTCTCTTACTAATTGCGAAAAAAAAACAACGAATGTTAAGACATCCCAAAAAGAAAGATAAATAAGTATGTAAGATTAATAATAAGAGAAAGATGAGGTAAATGATCTCATAAGATGTAATATAAAGAAGCATAAATTTTTCATGGCAATGGTGGCCTCGAAAATTTATTCCCAACAAAGCCTCCACCACATGATGAGACGCAGGCGGCATGTACAGGTTAAAACATTGACCGATGAAGAATATTCAATGAAAAATGAATTTTAAAATGGTTCTTGATGAACACATGTATGTAAATCGTGGAAGTAAAAAGAAGTTTTTAAATATTCTTTCGTGCAGAGAATGGAGGTCATTGTTTTGGGTAAAGTTTGTGTGATAGGTTGGCTTCTTTTTAGGCTAGCTGGTTCAAGACCTGCCGCATTTAATTTTCTTTTATTACGATTTTTTAACGAGCACAGGAATAAAAATCTACACAAGGCATCGTGACCACTTCGGTGAATAAGCAAGCAATACATGACGATGCAAAACATCTTTCGATCCAACGGATTAGTTACGGCTTTTACATTCCAATTTCAGCTGGTGGAATTCCTCCTTTGACGCTCCGTCTTAAGCTGTTTATGAGTGTTATTATCCGAACATGCTTTTTTCCTCCTCAAACTTTATTGAAAACATTCTTGAGTGTTGAGAAAGATTATCAGTTAAATGCAGGCCCTGTTCAAAGCTGTAACGGTTTCAGCTTCTAAGTTTCTCATTTAAATATTTTACAAACTTTGTAATAGCCAAGCGGAAAACGTCAAGTTTATAAAAGGAAAGAAATTAACTTTAACATTCCCGTCCATTGCATTTATTTATTTTTAAATCTTTTTTTTTCTCCATTCTGACATTTCCAAAACGTTTGAAGCAGTCTTTTAATTAGTCTCAAGTTATTTTCCATTAAGAATTTTGATTTCGTTCCTTTTAATTGAATCCAATCATTGATGGTGTTTGTTGTAGTTTTTTTTGTTTATGTCTTCAAGTGCTGTTGATAAATTAAGACAGCTCAGCTTCGATAGCGAGGGTTTCAAGACGCTTGATTGGTTTCGGTGTGTGTATAAACATAAAATGTTGTTTTATTCTAATATGACCATCAATTCGACACGCATGAATCAATTTCCGAGTTTAGTCTTGTAAAGCGATTTACATAAATACAAACAACATCAAAGCCGATCAAAGTTTCATACATTTACACTTCTAAACCGTGTTGCCGACTCATGTTAATCATTATGAATTGTAATTATAAAATAATATTGCCAACTTTTTTATTTTTTCTCACAAAAGATGTTAAATGTTGACGGACTTTGACGTATTTATGAAATCTTTCGAAACATCACAAACATGATGAAAAGTCTTCAAGTTATCTGATACTTTGCATAAGTTCAGTAAAGGTGGCTCATTAAATAATTAATAAACATCTACATGTCATGGATTAAATGATCTCAACCTACGCACAAAATCTAGCAATAATTAATTTTTCTTCACTAAGCTTAGTTACTGAAACTGTCAAGTCGATAAGCAACGATGAGAAAGTATAAAGCAAGCATGTCTGTCGTGCGATGTTAAATTGAAAAGGAGTTTCATTGGAAATATATAAATTGTGACATGATAACTTGTCTTTGATGTTGTTTCGCAAAATAAAAACAACTTTGTTTGTACCAAAGAATATATTTAACTTAACAGGAGAGAAAAGCAGGAAAAAATTGGGTAAACATTGCGACCTTGAATTACTAGCAAATGAATCATGCAAAATCTTTCACGTTTATGTGATTTTTTCTTCGAATGCGTGGGTTCAGTTTGAGTTTTGTTTTTACACCACAAATGAGCGAGAAAATAAGTAGAAGGAATGAGAAGTAACCGTGCGGAGGTAGCTACAATCATAGCTACATCTATGAAAACAAACATTTGGAAACGTTATTTATGATTATAGAATTTTTTATTCTCATTCTTGCTGTGCTTTTCCATTTGATTCGATGTTTGAAAGAGTAGCTTTGAATTTAATCTGAATTTACGAGAGTTTCAAGAACTTCAAGCTGCAAAAAGCTATCTCGTGTTGTGACATTCAATTGTAACTGTTACTTCAATAACATCAACGACGAGTGTTAATTGTTTAACCTGGACAAACAAAAGTTCATGATAAGTGACTTTGGCACACATTTTTATGGTCGCACATAATAAATGTGCTCAAAGAAGAGTTGAAACGAGAGATATCATATCTCATGTCATAATTAATCACGATGCTAAGTAAGCATCGCCGCCTTCATTGTTTAAGACATTTTACAACAACTCTTAAAGAAATCTTAAATTATCATCTTTAGTTTTAAAATTTAAATCGTGATGACTTTCCGAGGCCAATTCTCCTTCTTTATTATAACACAATTTATCGAAGCGATTTTGTTTTCATCAAGATCGAGTGCGAGGATGTTAAAAAGTAAAAGAATCGTTTTTCTTGTGAAACTCAAAGCAAACACTTTCAATTGCTTTTAATTGGAATCGCGTGAAAAATCTAAGTGAATTTAGAATTGTTTTGATTCACGATATTGATAACCTTCGAGAAATTGATAAACATGTGATTACTTACTTACGCGCATCATTTACGATTTATATTGCGATTTTATCTGAATAAATACGAGATGCGATCATGATGATGGAATTAACCTTAGAAACTAATAAAAGATATTGCAATTATAGCTATAAATTGTCATTTGCATTAATTCAACATAAATAAATGGAAAATTCCATTTTGGGCAGTTGTTTTAATAAATCTAGCACTGCGTTCAATTAAATTATTTTATTAATAGAATCGACATCATGCCAGTTAATTATGTGAAATCGAATAGCACATTGGACCATCATGTGATTGACATAAGCCTGTTTCAACGTGAATATGTTTGATGTCGTCGCGGTTTTGTTGTTTCAGAAAATATCTAAAGTGATGATGTAAAAAGAGAGAAAATCGACCAAAGGATTGATTTCACGTTGTTCGTTCACATTTTCGTTAAAAGCAAATTTACTCGTTCGCGCTATTATGAAAACCAATAAAGACATGAGAACCTAATTTTATCGTTCGATGAAATTCAAAGCCAATGTTAATATCATGAAAATGTTTCACACTTCATGAAGCTTCTCGACTTCCTTTCTACTTCTTTCTTTTCGAGGAAGCTTATTTGAAATGAGTTTATGGATTTTTAGGGCACATCGAACAAGTGTAAACACTGAGCTTGAAAAAATTATCGACATGATGCGATAAATTTTCACATTATTGAACTTCTAGCGATTCATTGAGAATTGCAATAAATAAGCGGTGTGGTGTTGTCGGACTTTAGGAATGGAGTTGGGTGGAAGTGATGAAATGGAAAGACAAATCAAATGAAAATCTGTGTACCGTCATTTCTTTGATGAAGCGCATTAAAGCATAATGAATTTAATTAAATTATCATTTGTGTGCAAAACGAGGAAAAAAACTTGTGAGAAAAATTTTACGGTCGACTCTTCTTCAAGTATAACAACATTTTCATCTCATTATTTCATCTTAAATTTCTTCTTCGTGGGCGTTAAATTATAGTTTTGTCAGATACAAACATATTAAATAAATATAAAGAAGATTCTTCTATTTAGCCAACGTAATGATATTGAAAGTCAAAGTTAATGAACAATCCCCACATGCGCAACAAAATTCCAAAGTTCATCACACGAACTACACAGGATGCATGTTGAAAAATGCAGAAACGTTAACTAAATAGACATATCCATCAATTAGAACTGTAAATTTAAATCGTAAACACGAAGATGAAAACTTGCAATCTTTTAAACTGTGAAATCTTCCGCGAAAAATAAACTGTGAGAATGTGCTGAGATATTTTAATGCAAACATTATAAAGAATAATTTTCATCCTAATACTGGAAGCACCCACGCTTTTGCCACTGTTAAGATTTCTCATAATTTTTTCTCTTTGTTTTCGTAAGAAGGAAAGAAAAAAATGTTGCAAAGCTAATAGACGTGAAAATTTATTTATTATTTTTTAGGTGGATAACCTTGCTTGTTAAAAAACGTTTTGCGAATGAGTCAAAGCTGCCCATTTTTGGCTGCCTCCTTCTAATCGCATATGTATAAGCAATTTGAAAATGTCGCGTAACAGATGAAATAATTTTCAATGTAGATAATCCGCTTAATTGCTCACACGATATCTTGTTATTCAAGTATAAGTCACAAACTTAATTCCATTGTATTGAATAATAAAGAAAGAAGAAAAGAAACAGAGCAAAAATTTATTAAATTGTAAAATGAATGTTTAACTAAACTTTGTATTTTCATCATTACCCGCGAGCTAAACTTCATGAGTGGAAGATGAAATGTTTTCAAACATGAGATGTTTCAACATTTGAATATGCGGTGCTCGTAGCAAATGAATGCTAGTAAGCAGCACACGATGAGTCACTTGAGTAAAGATATATTTTTATTTTATATTTATTTCTCTTTTCGCAACGTTGCCATTCAAACCGCTTGTAATAAAAAGAATCATCTAAATTTGTTATTCAAAGTTTGTTCTTCTGGTTCACTGAAAATGTCACACTCACCACTATCAAAGGATTGGACGTCAAATAGATGAGCCAACCAACCAACAGCAAAAACAAATCCAACGAGAAAGGAATATTTATATTCTTGTTGAATCAAGAACAAGGAAAATTAAGATTCGCAGTCAATGTTCTGCTTCTTGTGCTTCTTGTGAAGTGAAGTTCAAGAGCCAAAGCAACAAGTTTCGACTTGATTTGAAATTCCAATTCACATTATTGTTTGTTCTTCTCTCCTTGTGTATCAAGAATTTCGTGAAACATTTCGTTGGAAGAGGCTCATGAAATTCATTTCTAATGAGATTGAATTATTTAATAACATAAAATTTTCCGCTTCGACTTTTTTTTTCATTTTACCTTACATATAATCAAGTTATTGAAACTCAATATTGAGGGCTTCGTAGTAACTTTGGCTTCAATCAAAAGAGAAAATTTACTTTCATGATGAGTTTGTAAAGGTCAGAAGTCGTGGATGGCACACTAATAATAATTATCACATCAAATAGAGAAAACGACAAGATGATGGACTCTTCTAATGAGCGGGGGCGTTTAAAATGATCACAAAATATTCTTAAATAGCGAAGAAAATTCTTTAATGCTTTCACTAAATAGAATCATGGCGAATGATTTTCTCATCTCATCTTCATACAATGTGTGACAATGTCGTTGACAAGAAAGCATCGAGAATTCTCTTCAAGGATCATCGAAATGACTTCTTCTTGATGGCTCCATAAACCGAGACAATTAGCATAGAAAATTCTCCCTTCTTACTAGTGAAAATCATTTCAACGACTCTTTTGATGTCCACCCACACATCATTAAACAAATAAAGACTATTTGACGCTTTTAGCCTTCATTCGTTCTCTGTTCCCATGCAATTATTTTTCAATTTCACATTCTGTCGCCTTTTTATGAGTTTGCAAAATTATTCGAATTTAATGAAAATCTCTTCCTGCTATTCAATCAATGCAAATCACTTGATATTGTTTGGGTGGTGGGTGTAGAATATTGTAAGCAAGGATTTGGAAAAATTGGCCTTCCACTTGTTGCTGGGATATTAAAATTCAATTTCTCTCTTTTTTCCTTGTTTTATATTTATCATTACATGAAAAAAAACATTTGAACTTCTTTATAACGAACTGCTGCGTGTGTCAAGGCTGGGAATGAGATCAGTGACTAGTCAGAACCACCCAATTTCCGTTGAAAAGTATTGTCATTTGTCTTTGAAGACCGTTTTTATCCGATTGCCTTCGGGACGTTTCTAAGACTTTGCCTTTCACCATTGGCGACATTGAAAGATTTCACAAACATAATCAAATTTCAATTGAACTTTGTAATCTGTTTTACTTTAAGCGAAAATGATCATCCCTAGTCGAATATCAATTCCTTTGACGACAGCGTATTTAAACATCATAATGTTCATTGTTTAATGACGTTGTAGTGAGAAAGAGATAAGGAAACTTGTTTGAATTTGATAGAATGAACTAATTAATGAATGAAGTTGGCAGTTGTTTAGTTTATTCAATCATTCAAGATTAATTCAAAACAATAAAAATGAATTGAATTCCGTTCCTTCATTTAAGTACTTACGACAACGACAAGTTTCAAACACATAAAAGAATTTTTCATTGAAGTTAGCTTTAGCAATGCTTTAAATATTAAATTGTTTAATGATGACTTTAAGAAGTTGACGGATGGCGTGTTAACGATCATTAATTAATTTTATTATACAACTCATTGAACATTGGTCTCGTTGCTTTTGCTTTGAGAAAGAATTCATACCCGTCAAATGTAACGGCGAGTTCAACGCTTCAAAGTGAACAGAGCGACACGTTCGAACTTGTTTCTACTAACAAAAGCTTTATTGATTGATTTACATTCATCTTAATTTGTGGTGGAGTTTAAAAAAACTTTTTGAACATTGTGATCCCAGTCAAGGACCATCTCGATGATTATTTCTTAAAATATTTCGTCTCTCGTTCATTCCATCCATTTGCAAATGAATAAAATTCATAAAAGGTTCGTTGTTATTAATGATACCTTTGGTAGTGAGGTGACCTGCTGCACAGTTGGTCGACCCATATTACCATAAATTGAAATCCGATTTATTCACTTCAAACTTCACTCAATTTATATGTGAAAGAAAATCAAAATTCTCTTTAATTTATGCTCTTTAATAAATGTGACTTTTAAAAAAAAAGTTTTTTGCGACAAAGCAAAGAGGTGGCCGCGCATACAGTGGTGAATATAAAATATTTCGTAAGACTGTGAAACTTATACTTTGTTTGTTTGGTGCTTTGCGAGAGTTTAAAGTAGCTCACAATCTTTAAGGTCCACCCACGCTATTTGCTCTAGTTTTGTTTTCGTGTTCGTACCACTGACTGATAATACTCACGAGTACTCGTTCTTTGTTTTCATTCACAAGTTTATTAATAATATTATAAGATTAAGTTCGGAAATGGGAATGAAATTTCGTCGTCAGGAAATCCCTCCCCCCATTTAAAGATAATTTTCTTCTTCTTCTCTTCATTCTTTATGCTATCAATTTGCATTTTCATTATCAACAATGGCAGACGCTTTCAGATTACATCACTGTCAGTTTATAAAAACAAATTTCTTATCATTTTGGACTCTGCTACAATTTATTTATTATTTTTCTTGTTTTGCGCGCCAATCTGTTTGATGAAATGAAGTCATTGCAAAGAGTGGAAGCAGCGATGATAACTTGAACTGCTGCTATGATGTGATTCATTGAGTCAAGAAATTTAAGAGAACTTACTTGTAAATGAATAAACTCAACGATGATCAAAGTATTATTCAAACATACACCAAACACTTGTTGATGTCATGCAGAGGCGCGATTTGCATCTCATTTTTGCCAATCTTTTTTTTTCTTTCGTTTTTGTGTACCGTGACTTGAAAGTAAATTGACGAGATTTTCTTCGTCTTCTTTTTTATGAATTTCAACTTCAAATGAACAGTTTGTTTTTCTTGAGACGGCGTGAAGTCATCGATTGAATCAAATGTTAAATAAATCGTCATTCAATTGGCCACTTACGCTTTTTCGATGTTTTTTTTAACTCTATAAGGTGACTAAACGTCTTCGCAATGTTCCTTGTAGCGGTTAATATGAAATTGATTAAAAAGGTTTTATTAAGTCATAGAAAAGTTTGTTTCTAAATTTGGATTGTCTTCCTATCAAAGAATGAATGATGATTCACATGATTGAAGATCAAAAACCTAGTAAAACGAGATAGAGAAGAACTTCAAAGGCAATATTTAAACTGTGGCAGTCGCGTTCGAGTTCGCGTAATAATATTACGAAATAATGGAAATAATTTGAAAACTTCCTTCCCATTCTAATCTATTGATGAGAGAATTGCGTTGCTAAAACCGTCTGATATAATAATAAAGAACGCTTCATTCAACGTTCAAGTCTTTCAACAAATTCTTTATGTGAACATTTTGTATTGACTCATTTACAATTCATTCGACAATTTCCGGTCTCTCTCACTCTCATCAACATACAATATCAGCTAGTAAACGAAACATGTGAGGTTTAAAATATGTGATGATCGCTCGCGATGAATTGAAAACATAAGTTGTCTGAGACTGAGACAACATTTCAGGGGGAAGTTAAAGAACGGCTTCAGTTTCATCATCATAAACCAATACATCTGCGTCTATCTTTACTGCTGTTAGTTAGCTAGTTCGTTTTTGTTTACATTTACATTATTTAATAAAATAAAAAAGTTGAGAGACAAACGATGCGATGATAATAATAAAAGTTTGTTTAATACTCTTTTATTATGGGGTCAACTGCCATTGTTTGATTGCTTGTTTCATTCGTTTTGAATTTATTTGTAAGTTCCGCTTTTAATGTGTAAGAAAGATGCTAATCGCACGCCCCTGAATGCAAGCAGTGCAACTTCTACTTCACGAGAAATCATAAAAAAATTCAACTTAATTGCTCTCGATTCGCATGATGGGAGACTTAAAATGGAATGGCTCCCTTGAATGAATTATTGAAAACGTTAATTAGTTCAGATGGTTTCATGATGACTCGTGTGCCAATGAAACGACGTAATTCACCTTCTTTGGACTTTACTTCTTTGTTTATTTTTCATTATGGAAATTTCACAGCTTTAAACACAAAATTTTGTCGCTTTTCCTTTTTTCCATTAATAATCGCAAAATGAAATCTTTAAGCATTTCAATTGATGACTGCACGGTATGGTTGCAGCACTTGATGCAATGTAGATGGGAAAAAACGATTTTCTGTATGGCTTTTGCAAATTATCCGAGACCAAACTAAGTTTTAAGTGCATTGAGTATGAATTCGGGCGAGAAACTTTCGATTTCCCCTTTGAGAAGTTTTCAAAACAAAATATTAAAGAAGCATAAATAGAAACGCTTAAGATGATGAGAAAAAACTTAAACTCATAACAATTTTAAAAACTAAAATTCTTAATACAAATAAAAAAATTTATTGCAATGCAAGTCTTCAAAAATGCAAAGTAATTTGAGTGCAATGAATGAATAGTGGAGAACAACACAAATCAAATGTTTTTAAGAAGAAATCAACAACTAGAGTGGAAAGATCGATTTGACATGGCCTCGAGAGTCGATGAATTTATTGCTGTGTGGAGAGCTCGATTGGCGATGCAAAAGAAAATTCCGCAAACTCATTGCATGTAAATTGCACGCAAAATTTAATCGCGTTGTCTTCTCTCATGTGTCTTGTCCTTGTCTTATGTTGTCAAAATTTAATATTACTTTCCTCCATGAATCATGAATCAATCATTGTTAGAGCGATGACAGTCTGATGAGCGATTACTTGAAAATTAAGTTTAGTCACATGCAAGATGTTGACGAAATTGTCTAATGCTTTGAACATTTGTTAAATAAATCCAAATAATGACAACGAGAAATCTATTTTTAGATTTCTTCCCTCTCAAGTTGTATCCAATGCATTCATCGAATGATCTTTCCAAAAAACATACAAAAATAAATATTCTTAGAAAAGAGAAATGAATTTTCTCAAATTAATCTGAATGATAGAATCTTTATTTCTCTCGTTATGTTTAAATTGTAAATGTGATCTGAAAATGGAGAAAGAGAAATGAAAACCACAAAAAGTGTTGTGCAAAAAGCGAAACACAACACAAGCGGTGAAGAAAGTCAAGGAGACATGAAATGATTGCATCAACATCATCACAAAGACGTGTCTTTGGAGGCAACTTCCAGTTCTGGTGTAAAATAATCAGACACTGAAAAGATCATGTTACCTAATGCAGTAAAAGTATCTTAATATGGTTTTAGATATTTTTAGATCCTGTCGCATTTGTATATGTGATGAAAGATTTATGACAACTTGAAGATGCTTCTGTTGGAGATATTTTATTCACATCGCTAGAATAATGAGTGGCAGTAGCGACGGCTGTTTGTCGCCTTAACAGATTCTCTTAAGGAGAATAAGAATCATTTTTAACATGACTCATTGTCCTTCAAATGAACAGCTTCCCACTAAATAGACACTGAACATTTACACAATTTTCTTCCTGTCACTTTTCTGATAGATTGCTAGACTGGAGACAAATAATAACCGCGAATCGAGTCGCATGCTTGCAAAAATGGAAATAAATTTTATTTTCTTGCGGTTCATTAATGACAGATTTTCTATTTAGATATTTATTTATAAGTGTCAAATGAAATTAGGTTTCCTGACATTATTTCTTTGTTTAAAAGTTGAGATTTTGTCTTGAAAGTTCTGCAAATAAATCTCCGCTTGGAGATTCGATAAATCTGCGAATAGTTATAAAGAATTTTCCTGGCGTTAATAAATTAATTTCAACTCGCTTTCCATGTTACTTGAAATTGAGATCAAAACGTCCACACATAGTTGAGTTAAAGACCCTGAACAAAACAACGCTTAACGAAAAACTGCGAGGCGCTACAATAATTTTTTTAATTTTCTCGCAAGTCTCTTTGTTTGTAATGCGCGGAAACAAATTGGAACGCATACATAAACCAAACGACACAAGAGTTATTATATCGTTCTCTCTTAGTTTATTCAATGACAATGTGATGATGGCGTGGCCAGACGGGCCTTACATAGTTGGTTCTTGAAGAGGTTGGCGAACGTTTGTTGATTCGCGACCATAACTAAAAATAAACATTCTTAGAACATGGAAATGTTTAAAAAGCCTTTTAAGGAGAATAGAACTTAAATAAATAAAAGACATCTGATGAGATAGCTAATTGTCTGTTTGTTAATTGCCATTTAATGTTCCTTGTTTATAATCGTCCGGCTATGAAGAACACAAAGAAAAATTAAAATAAAATTTTTTAAAAGCTTTCAAACAAACCGTAATAAATTGCATCGTTTGCGTGTTTTTATTTGAAAAACTGTGATTTGCCAGAGTCTAATCAACGGACAATGGAGTAACTTAATGAATTATTCAAATTCATTTTACACGGTGAGAAGAACGATGAACGATTTGGCGCTTTTTTCATTTGATCTTCGCTCTTGAATAATCGCATTGAAACAAAACAAAAAGACGATGAAATTGCACATTCGAACTACACAATTAAATTCACAAAATGACTCTGATGTTGTTCAGGAAAATCAACAACAACGTATCATGTTTTATGTGTGTCGAATTTTCATCTTAATCATTGTTTTTGTTTTAATCTTAACAAACTTTTACTTCAATTAAATTGCCAATTTACTTACCTGATTCGTCATTATCATTTGTGTGCGTAAAAATTATGAAACTGAAAGTAAATACTTGCCTTGCTCATAAGACGATAACCGAAAATGAAAAGAAAAAGAAATGAACGAAGATTCATGCTGTGATAATGAAATAATACATTTTTCGCAACATTTATTAATACATTCCCGTAACTCCATCCATCCAATCTGTTAATGAATCAACTTTTGCACAGTGAATTTGAAATTAAAACATAAAAACTTATTTTGTTTCCTTCTTTCTTTTCTATTTACAGATGAACAGAAGCCCATCTCTTGGGAAGATCCGTTGCCACGTTCCAACAGTATTTCATCTACAACAAACACATTTAATTCGCAATCAGTGACGCGAAAGTCAAACAACAGCATCATTTCACTTCCACAGCGTCATCAGTCATATAATTTGAACACAGTGAATAATAATCAAGAGACAAGCTTTTACAATAGCCCCCAAGTTTTAAATCTGAACAGTCTCATCAACAATAACCATTTGTTAAACAACAATACATCATCATCACCACTCAATCAACATCTGAACAAATCACATAAGAAACTGGAACATACGCCATCAGCACGGAGCACAGTGTCATCAGAGGACAGCTGGTGTCCGTCGGAAGATCATGATAATGATGATATCTCGTCATACAATGACGAAGATGACAATCTAAGTGATCGAAGTACCAGCCTCATCTCAGCAGCACGGAATAGTCAGCTCCGATTGACGTTCAACAAAGCCAAACAACATTTGTCATTCGATAAATGGCGCAACAATTCATCAACAATGCCCAGTACGAACAGTCAAGAATCGCCTGGTGAGCCATTATCACGACTATCACGTTGGTTCTCCATCCGACGTGGAAGTCATCAATATGACCTGAACTCATCTAACAATAGTCAAAATCGAAGTGGCAGCATCGAGAAAGAAAATGACGAGAAATTTGCTAATGGCAAGAAAATGCCACAATTGCAAGAGGTGAATTAAATTAATTTTTATTTCACTTTAATTAAATGTTTGATTTCCATAACCTCAAAGTATTAAATTCTTAAAGTTTTTCACCCCCGCGATAATTCAAATATTAAGTTAATTAAAAATATTTTTTACAATCTTCTTCTTTCAGACTGAAGAAGATCATTCTCAACTCGATGGAGCGAGTCCTTTATTGTCACAGACAAGGATGGATCGTCGCTTAACACCACTTGCACTTCCCCCCGCACCCACCAATCTTACACAGTCGCAGAATAAACGACGTCACATAATTTCCGCAATTGTTCACAGTGAAAATTCTTACGTTTCATCGCTTCAGCGTCTAGTCAGAGTAAGTGGGATAATTAAATGTCTAAAGTATTATAAAAGCTAACGATTAAATTCAATTAATTAGGATTATAAAAAGCCTTTGGAAGAAAGCAGTCCACCGATCCTTAATGGTTCGAAAATGTCAGTTCTCTTCCATCGTGTACCAGATATTCTCCAATGTCACACCCTCTTTCGTATCACACTTACCGACTGCATTCGAAATTGGGACCGTGATGAGAAGATTGGAGATGTGTTCATGGGTGCCTTCAGCAAAACAAACGTCCTGGATGTTTACAGCGGCTTTATCAACAACTTCTCGAATGCCATGGATCTAGCGAAGGTCGAAACAAAGCGAAAATCTGCGTTTGCTGATTTTTTAAATGTTAAACAAATCAGCGCCCACGATCGATTGTCGTTCTTTGGACTAATGGTGAAGCCAGTTCAACGTTTTCCACAATTGATTTTATTCTTACAAGTGAGTCAATTTTTTCATCTGACATGCAATGTGACAATCGAAATTAATCTGAAATTTGTTTTTTTTTCTTCTTAGGATTTGTTGAAATACACACCGCAAGGACATCATGACCGAATGTCATTACAAATGGCTTTAACTCAACTTGAATCACTTGCTGATTCATTAAACGAGCGAAAACGTGAAGCTGAACAGTATCAAGCATATAAAGAGATGCTTGGACAAATATCGGGACCATTCAATACACGATTCCTTGGATCATCTGACCAACGACATAATTACTTGCTACGTGAAGACAATGTGACACAACTTGAGTTTAATCAAAGTGGTCTTTTAGTTAAAACGAAGCCACGTCGTCTTCTTCTTGCTAATGATAAAATTATTTGTGTATCAGTTGCACCAAAACAATCACAAGATTTCGGTTCAACAGAGAAATTATCACTCAAGTGGATGTACCACGTGAATGATGTTGAAATTGTTGATAACGCAACATCAGCAACACTCAATCGTTACATCACAAGTGGATTGAATCGTGGTGGAAGTCTCAAATCAAATCATAGTGGAAGTGGCAATGAAACATTATCAGCAAACACTTCTCATCTTGCTGCTGCTCAAATGACAAATGGAGCCGAAAATCTAGCAAATGAGATGTCAAATCTGATGCATGATTACAACGTAATGTCACGTGTCAATGACTTAGTTGGACAATTAAAGGGAGAATATCCTGAAATCAATTTAAACATCACCAAAAATGTTCTCAATACAATTCAAACGAGTATTCGTAAGAAAGATGAAGAAATGGCATGGGTTGATTCGTGTTGTCTCCAACTCATCGTCAAGCAGAAATCTGGAAAAGAAGAAACGCTTTCGTTCCGAACTGATAATCCAAATGTCAAGAAAGAATGGATAACTGAGTTACGACTTGCACAATTAGCTTTGGATACAAATAATTCTCCAGCATGGGAGGTTGGCGATCGTGATAATCATCAAAGGCCATTAACAAAGATGCCTTTGTTTGTTCGAATGCATCCGGTGTATAAATCAATGCAGCATCAAACTGAGGTAAGTTGTTGAAAGTTGAATTCATCGTCCTAATTATTAATAAATTTCTTCTTTCAAACTTAGGTCCGCTGCGGATGTTACTACTCAATGTCACCGGAATCAAAATTCCAAAAACGTGCCACAAAGAATCGTTATCACTTGTGGATTTGTTCTGTTGACGGTTCCAATTCTCACATAACAATTCTTATGCATCAACCACACCAGGCGCAGGCTATGATCAAAGATGTTACTGCCTTTAGTCTCAATGATACTGTGATTACCGCAATGGACTTTGTTCGCGGTCGTATTTCTTTGCCTGACATCAACAACGCTGCTGGATGTGACATGGATTGCGTTTGGATTGGAACAAATGCTAAGAAACTCATCATTTATGGTGGAACAAATCCAGAACAAGAGAAACAAATCATTCAACTTAATCTCCCTGAAACACCCACGCAAATTCTTTTCCACGTTATGAATGAAAGTGTCTTCGTTGCACTTGCCAATGGAGACATTTTGATGTATCGTAAAGACCATGAATTGTGGAATTTGAAGCATTATCAAGTGATTAAATTGGAGAATTATCACATACCAATAACAAGCATTCTCGCGATTAATGTCAATGTTTATGCTGCAAGTGGACGAAAGATTTTCGTTCTGAACGGCGTCACTGGTGATGTGACGAGAAGCTTTGAAATTCAACATGTCAATAATGATGTCAATTTGATGGCACATGCTGGAGTTGGCCTTTGGATATCATTAAAGAATTCAAGCATCATTTGTTTGTATCACACAGAGACGTTTAAACATCTTCAAGATATCAACATTGCACCGCACATTCTTCGTGTAACATCATCAAATCATTCTCCATCAAACAACTCATCACCATCTGTTTATGTCACTGCATTAATGGCATGCAAAGGGTTGTTATGGGTTGGCACAAATGTTGGAATAACTTTAACAGTTCCATTGCCACGTTTAGAAGGTGTGCCAATTATTTCCGGTAATGTGAATATTTCTTATCACGCTCATTGTGGACCTGTTACATTCTTCCTGCCATTAATCACCAAATCAGCTAATCAAACGATGCAAATGCAAATCAAAGCACCACCGAGTCGTTATTGTTGTCGTCGTTGTTGCAGTTGCGGTTTACTACTCAGCAACAACAACATCGAACTCATTGATAAAAATAACGATGATGAGAGTAGCAAAGCAGCTGCAAAATTAGAGAAGCAAAGATCACTTGAAGTGTCGCCATCACCTGGAAAGTTGAAAAACCAATTGCCAAACAGTCCAATCGTTCTTCGACGTAAGTCAAATATCAGGGAAAGTGATTTGTCGAGAATGTCCAAGACATTGCCACGTGGTTTTAGTGGTGTCAATGCATACTTTAATGGAACGAATTCAATGAGATCTTCAAGCTCATCAGGCTCATCACAAAATGGTTCTGATAGTGGCTGTGATGTTTATGGATTATACAGTGACTTGTTGTTTGTGAAGGAAGATTTTGATACGCAAATGGTTCCAAATGTTGCGATGAGTCTTCATGAACAAGTTGTTTATGATAGTTTAAGACGAGGCAATTCTGATCCCGATTTGGCTGCTATTCCATCGAAAGTGAGTACATTGGATCGTCGTTTGAAAATGAAAGTTGGACGTCCAAGATCTCTTGACTTATCGAATTGGTCGGTTGATTCACGATCGAGTAGTTTATACACATCAAGTGGAAGTGAAGAAAGTATGGGCGTTAAATATCGAAGTGTGTCAAGAAATAGCTCAAGCGCTAGTCATAAATTCAACGGAACAGAATTGATGAACATAAATGAATGCGACCATCATCATCATCAACATCCGACAATTCATGCAACGTCGACACCAACGAAAGTTGTGCAAGAAGATATGCAGGAAGTGAAAGAAACGACTGTGTCGAATAATAATAATAACAACAATTTCTCAGCTGCAACGTTGAAGAATAATAAGAGAAAGAATCTGAAGAATAATTACCATCAACAGATGATCGATGGGCGTCGGACAGTTCTTATGTTGATGGGAGGTCGTGGCTATGTTAATTGGCGTCATGTCTTTTACACGCCACCGAATGGACCTAAAAGTAATTCACATTCTAATGGTTTAAGTGGTGGTGCAAACATTGATAACAAACAACAAGCTTTTCATCTTCGATCCAACTCGTTAACGTCGACGATTAATTACAAAATGCTCAATTCAACTGATGCAAATGTCATCTTGTGGGAGAAGAAGCTGTAAATTCTTTTAATTTATCATTTTTTACATCGTAATCAAGCGAAGCTGAAACTTATGATAAAAGGATAGAAATCAAAAAAATCAAAATAATGTTCTGTAATATAAGAATTATCTTAAAAATGTAATTAATTTTTTTATCGAAGGGAATCAATCATATTTTTAATTCGTTAATTCAATAATTTAATTACCATTTTCTCTCTCTCTCCCTCTGTATCAAATTCCTTTTAAAACGATTCTTTTTGTCTTAGAATTATTTTCTACAACATAAAAAAAGATGAAAGAAAGTGAATATTTTAAAACAAAATTCATCAACATTTTATGAATTCATTTAATATTCAATGTTGATGTTTTGATGTGAACGATGTCACTTCCGTTCCGCAACATTATTCAATCGAATGGATGTCCGCTCAGCCCTCAGCTCTCCCCTTATAAACATGAAATGATTATGTCAATGTTTAAGAATTAATTAACAAAATGGAAACTCCTTTGATTGAAGATTTCTCATTTCTCTTGTAAGTAAATCAGTGCTAAAAATGCAGTTTTTAACATGACAAAATATATTTCAAGATGGATTAAAATCTGTAAGACGATTTTTCTTTTTGTTAGCGACTTTAAAGTTAAACCTTTTTGGCCTAATGCTGTTGATTAATGAATATTACTTATTTTTTTGTACAAAACAAAATTCTAATTGTAGTAGGTACCAAGAAAAATTCTTGATTATTAACTTAAGTCGCACACATTTCTCATCACGATCAAAACAAAACTATTTTAAGTTACATCATCCTTCTCTCTACCTTTGTATCTAAATTAAAAATTTAGAGAAACTTATGAATTTTTTTCACTCGAAAGATATGTTGTAGAATTGGAATCGAACGAGAAATGTATTTAAAGAAATATGAAAAATTTTTAAAGAATAAATAAATAAATAAATGTATAAAAAGAACTAATATTATTCTGTATTTCTTTTGTGACTTCAGATATATCTCAAAAACTTAGTTATGTTAATGATTACAGAGTGAAAAATAGTGAATAATCATAACGACTTTTAACGGTTTTAATTTGAATTTGAATATTTTTCAAACATCAGTTCATTTCAGTGAAGTCACGATTCAAAAGTCCTCAAGCGGTTCAATTTTGAACTCATCTGTTTAAAGTATTTTGCGTGACATCATTTGGTGAGTTCTTCTTTAGGTATTTGGAAGAAAATCTCCGCTCAGTCATTTTTTATTATAAAAAAAAACTTTAAATTGAAACTTCTATTAGTCGTTCTAAGTGTTATAAACTTCATAAACATAGTCTGTGAGTAGTAAAAACATCCAAATAGATCAATTGAAAGCGAGAGCTTATGAAATCTCAACAATTTCTTTTTCTGTCAGATCATCATTTTGATTTTTCCTTCTTTTGTCTAAATTAGTCAACTGAACTACCAACAACACAAAAATGTTAGAAGAAATTGAAGAAGCATCAGAAGTAACAACACCCGACAAAATGAAAAAGAAGTGGAGAGCAAAGATCGAGAATAAAACATTAGACCCATCAGATTTGATAAACTATTTCCAGCTTTCCGCTTCCTACTTCCTGACGGTGGCAAAAAAGGACAATGCCAGTGTAATTGGTGAGTCACGACTACATTTTTAACCTCATTGAAGGAAGTCGTCAAAATACGAAAAAATATTTTGTAAAAGGCACAAAACGAGACAAAGAGAAAGTTCGGATTAACTCTCTTTCCATCTCACTCATCACTCTCCATTTCATTTATTTATTAATATATGCATTTGTAAAGTCATCGCACAAAGTTAAATTAATTATCGTTTCTCATTTCCATATACTGATGTTACTCATGCTCATATTTACTATTTTTAGTTATATTTCATATTGATTGAAAGAATGAAAGAAAAAAAATATTCTTCAACTCTCGCCGTCATTGTATTGCGCAGCTTTTTCTGTTTTGTTGCTATACGAAATTTTATTTTCACCTTTAGGAACTTGTATATTTGACGAGGATGGTGCGAAAGCTGCTATTATTGATATAATGCAAGAGCTTATCTTGGGGGCACAATGGGAAGAGAGTTTATCGAAATTAAAAGCCGGCAACAATGTGTCGTCAGTGTGTGGAAATATTTTCAAGAACGGCGAGCCAACTTACAGTTGTCGGGAATGTAGCATGGATCCAACTTGTGTCTTGTGTTCGACTTGCTTCAAAAGGTCAACACATCGGACACATAAATACAAAATGTCGACATCATATGGTGGTGGCTGTTGTGATTGCGGTGATCCTGAAGCATGGAAGAAGGATTTCTGTTGTGAAGATCACGCAGCTGTTGAGAAGCCTGAAGTTGATGCTCTCATCACTGACGATATGAAAGAAGTTTGCAGTGTTGTGTTTCGAGCTGTCTTAGCTTATTGTGTCTCGATGCTTCAAATCGATTCTGATGCCAACTTCCCTGACATTGACAGTGAAACAAATTCGGTTGATGACGTTTATTGCACTTTGTTGTACAACGATGAAACTCACACATTTGATCAAGTAAGAAGAAGTTTTTGTATGAATTTAATTACATTTTAACTCATTTTTTATTGTCTTAGGTCATTCATACGTTAACTTCAATTGTTAAATGCGAGCAAAAAGAAGCTGTCGAATATGTGACGAGTATTGATCGTGATGGACGTGCAGTTGTTAAATGTGCAACATTTGCAGCTTGTATAAAGTTGAAGAATGAAATTGAGAAGAAAGGAATGCGAACAACAATTCAAAGTTCTAAAATTCAGCCTCTTAAAGTTGCAATATTTCATAAGAATACCGTCGCATGTCAGACATTTGCACTCCAATTGCTTCATTGGTTTCAAGAATTTCTCGGCCTAAGTGCAAAGTTTCGTGCAGTATTTTGTGATATCATTTTGACGTCACCATCAAGCACCAATTTTAGTCTGCGTCAAATTCTTCTCTACGATATTAAGTTGTGGAAAACAGCGAGAAGTGCATGGCATCGTCTGTTGATATCAGGAATGCTAATGGAGTATGAAAACAAGAAAGAATTAGCAATAAACTTTACAAAAGTCTACACAAATATCATGCAAGACTTTCTTCGTGACGATCATTATCATTCATTCTCTGTCGTGTCGTTAAGTGTTCAACTTTTCACTGTGCCAACTGTCGCTCATCATTTGATGGCTCACGAGTCGGCATTCTTCAAGTTAATGCACACATATTACGCTGAATGTATTGAGAAATACATCAAGAATAAGGTTTTAGTGTTTCCCAAAAATGCCGTGTCGACATTCAATAAACGAGCTCATTATATCATCACTGATCTTCGATATTTATTGACGTTTAAGCCTGAGGTGTGGACACAAGAACTTCGTTTAGGCTTCTTACATGGAATCCAAATGGTAATTCGATTACTGAAAAGCATGCAAGGAATGGATCAAGTTACACGACAGATTGGACAACACATGGAATATGAACCTGAATGGGAATCTGCTTTTACACTGCACATTAAATTATCACATTTGATAACATCCATCATTGAATGGTGTGGAACTGACAAAGTAATTCTCGTGAAAGTTTATCGAATGGTTCTTGCAGCACTTAATGAGAACAAATTCATCATTGGACAATCATTTTTCGAGACAAAAGAGTTGGCGGATCATTCGACAAGTTGTTTAATGTATGACGTTGCAACAAAGCCAGTTTCGATTCATTTACCATTAACAAGATTCCTTGCTGGACTTTATATTCATTTTGAAAAATTCAATTTGACCTTCGATAATGTTTCGACAAATGACAAACCAACGCCTGAGGAAATCATTGAACCCGTCTTATGTACACGCACGATGATATCACAAGTTTATTCTGGAATGTGGCGACGCAATGGATATTCACTATTAAATCAACTTTTCTTTTATCGAAATGTTAAATGTCGAAGTGAAATGTTGGATCGTGACATTGTCATTCTTCAAATGGGAGCGTCGCTTATTGAAAGTAATGAATTTTTAATTCATATCATGAACAAGTTTAACTTATTGCAATGGACTGAAGAAGCTTTTAAGCCAATCTTGCCCAGCACAGAAGATGATACAATCAGGCAAATTATTAACATGGTTGATGAGTTTCTTGAACTTCTCATCATAATTGTCGGCGAACGTTACATGGCGGGCATTGCACAAGTGACTGATGATGATCGGATAAAGAAAGAAATAATTCAACAGTTGTGTATCAAATCGTTATCACATTCAGAGTTGAACAAAGCACTCAATGATGAACATGGACATGGACATGAAAATGATATCGAGCCAGTGATTCATGATGTGGCGATTTTTGAGAAACCGACATCAGCTGATAAGAAAGGCGTTTATAAATTGAAAGAAGAATACTACCAAGATTACAACATGTATTTTTATCACTACACAAAAGAAGAAAAATCAAAATCAGAAGAAATGCAACGTCAACGGCATAAGACAAGAAATGAATTAATTTGTTGTCCACCACCGAAGCTTCCAATTTTAGCTTCGCCATTTAGCATGATTGCTAATCTTATGCAATGTGATGTTATGTTATTAATTATGCAAAATGTCTTGAAGCAATCGCTTGATCTCAATTGCCAAACATTCGCTGAAGGTCATTTGCAAAAGGTGAGTTTGTAGATAATTTCTTTTAAATTATGTAAATTTAAGCCGCACTCACAATTTTAATGTTTTGAGCATAAAAATTAGAAATTTGTTGTTGTCAACTGTTTATATAAAATTCTTTAATTAATTTTAGATTCTTCATCTTATTGGCTATGCGATTCAAGAGGAGGATTCAGGCAATTATGAATTTTTGAAATTCATGGAACGTTCGACAAGGTGGAATCTCTTGAGCTTAATGGAAGAATTACTGTCAAGTCCAAGAGTTGAATCACAACGAGATTTTCTTGTGTGGACGATTAAGAAGTATAAAGATCAACAAGCTAAATTAAACTCACATGATTTACCATCACAAGAAGCGCCAGCAGAATTGTCGAATTTCGATAACGACACACAAATGGAAACAGAACAAGCAATGAAAGAAAAACGTGCAAAATTAGCAGCACAAAGACGTGAACAACTTTTGGCACAAATGGCAAAACAACAGAAAAATTTCATTTCGTCAAATGCTGAACATTTTAAAGATGATGCCAAAGCTGATGAAGAAATTGGGATGGAATGGCAAAGTTCAATGGAAGAGCATAAAACAGTTGCATGCCTTGGTGTTGATAGGAAAATTGTCCACAACGAGTCAGAGACGTTTACCTGCATCTTGTGTTCAGAAGAGTCCTCAAATAACAAAGATTGTATGGTTTATCCATCATTCATTCAAAGATCAAGCGTCTTAGGACGCTATCAAGTAACAAACGATGTCAATCAACTTCAAAGCATCGAAACCGCAATTCATCCATCGCCATATGTCAGCTCATGCGGACATGAAATGCACGCTTCATGTTGGCAAGAATATTTCAATAACGAATTGTTAAAAGAACAACGACGTCCATTTCGAACACGAAACCCAAGCATTTTCAATATTGATAAAAATCAATTTTTATGTCCACTTTGTCGTTTTCTCAGCAATTCAGTTCTGCCAATTCTTCCACCATTAACTAGTCTGAACGATGTTAAAAGCGTTTGTGTTACCGACGTCTTTAACTTTGATATGTGGCATTACCTGATGATCAATTATTTCGATTCACTTCAATTCATTGAGAGTAATAATTCCGAATCAATGGAGCCAGAAGCACTAAGCAAGGAAGTTGAGAAATGTTACCAAGAATGTGTCGTTAATTACTTGAAGCAACATTGTAACTTCGATGATACAAAAGTTGACAACGCTTTAAATTTCAATCCAAATATAAATGAATATTCGAAGAAATTTATAACAAATGTCAAGGAACTTGCACCGCCAACAATTGCAGCAGATGAGGACGTTGACGCATACACAGCAGCATGGCAAACATGCGCATACACAATCGAAGCTTTAGAGATGTACATGCGAGCTACAGAGAAACCATTAAAAGGTGACATGTCAGTTCGATACGAGAAAAGTGTTTCAGGTCTTGTAAGATTGTGTGGAAATTACGGACGAATGAATATTGTTGACAGTCCAAGAGATGCTGACGCTTTAACAGCACCTTACTACACTCTGTTGATTTATTCAAGAGATTTATTTGACACGTTGTTTGGTAAAAAGCCAGAAATGTCGATTCTTCATTGGGACGTCTTCAGCATGATGGTTTCAATGCTTTTCACAACACGAGCTGTTTTATTCCCAAATCATCCACAATATCTGATTGCACGAGGTGATTCACTTGATTTTACAGTCTTCAATACAATGTTTGGGGTGAATTTAATGAAAATCTTGATATCATTAAAAATCGAAGACATTCATGACATGGATGTTGAAAATGTTGATGACGATGATGACAAAAATGTTTCAACGTTGTTGTCACTTTATGAGAAGTACAATGTGTTCCGAACAAGTGATAAAATTCCCATTGAGGATCATCCAAAGATGAAGAAAAAGATCATCGACGCATTACGAGATCAAAGTCAAACATTCTTAAGATGTTCTTGTATTTTGTTCCATTTCCTGACTGAAGTTTCGCTTCCTGATGAGATGAGTAACATTGGCGGCGATTCTTTTGATGTTATGGCGAATTATTTGAATATTAACACAAATGTGTTGAGTTACTTCGAAGACACTTCAATGCTTCGATTTCTCATCCAATGTGCACAACATAAGGCAGTGGAGAATTATTATGTGAAAGAGAAAGCCGGGGAAGTTCATATGATTCCAATTGTTGCTCCAACAGCTCCAGTTCGACAACTTGTTAGCTTACCTGATGATTACAGTGATCTGATGAATTCAGTTTCGTTGTTCACATGTCGAAACAATGAACGTGAAGATTCAAGAAATCCTACAATGTGTTTAGTGTGTGGAGAAGTTTTGTGTTCGCAGACTTATTGTTGTCAACGTGAACTGAATAAGACGCCAGTTGGTGCATGCAACTTTCATACAGAAGTTTGTGGAGCTGGTGCAGGAATTTATCTCCGAATTCGTGATGCAGAAGTTTTATTGTTGGGACAAAATACTGGATGTTTCCTATCAGCTCCATATTTGGATGATTATGGCGAAACAGATCAAGGGTTAAGAAGAGGAAATCCGCTTCATTTATGTCGTGACAGCTACAAAAAACTTCAACTTCTTTGGCTTGGTCATGGTATACATGAGGATATAGCTCGAAAAACAGAAGCACAATCGCACATCTTTCAAATTCAATGGAATCATCTTTAAAAAGTCGAGAAAATGAACAGTTTAGAGTATTTCAATAAAAAGTTTTTAGTGAAAGTGAAAATTGAAGGATGGACAAAACTTTTCAAAAATTTGTTGTCTTTGATTAATAGAAAGATTAAAGAAAAATGAAAAATTACTAACAAAACATCAATAGACGATTTTCAACCAATTAAAATAGGAAGAAAATTTGATTAAAAAAATATTTCTCAGTCAAAATTCAATGTCACAACAATAATTAATGAAACTTAACTATCTACTCATGAAACTTAAATCCAAAATGTTTAGAATGATTCAAGATAAATATCTTATAGAGTTAAAGCAGCTGTTGAGAGAAGCAAATAAAATTATAAAAGGTTTTCCGAATTTTTTTTCAATACAAATTCAAAGTTTTTTTAACGGTTGAAATGTTTTTAAATTTTACCTAGATGAGTCTGATGAAGTACTAGAATGAACGAAGATTGTCAAGTGCTGAAGTTCAAATCGAATTGCTTAATTTTACGCGCGCACAACAATAATTCAATAAAATACTCTTCTAATCGTAGATTTTACGAAAATGACAACTTTAAATGGTTCGTCAGCTACCTCAAAAGCATCAAGCAATGAAAGTCTCTTCAAAATACTTGTTGCATCCGACATTCATTTAGGATATAAAGAAAAACATCAAATTTTGTGTAAGTTCAAAGATGTAAACAAAATGTAATTTTGTTAAATATCACATTAATTACTAGCTGATGACTCGTTTATTGCTTTTGAAGAGATTCTCCAGATAGCCAATAGTCGTGATGTTGATTTTATCCTGCTTGGTGGTGATTTATTTCACGATGCAATGCCATCACCAAATTCTCTCAACCGGTAATAAAATTCTTGTGCAAGATATTCGATTTAAACAAATTAATTAAATTTACAGATGCATTCTATTACTTCGCACTTATGTGATGGGTGATAAAATGATTGAATTTGAGTTTCTTAGTGATCAAAATCAGAATTTTGAAGGTTCTTTCAATCATAAAGTCAACTATGAAGATTTAAATTTAAATGTCGCAATTCCTGTATTTTCAATCCATGGAAATCATGACGACATGAGTGGAACTGGTCGTTTAAGTGCCTTAGATTTACTCAGTTCCGCTGGTTTTCTTAATTATATCGGTAAATGGCTTGACTTATCTCAAGTTACAATTGCTCCAGTCGTTCTCCAGAAAAACTCAACAAAACTCGCACTTTATGGCTTAAGTCACATTCACGATGCAAGATTAGTTCGTTTGTTTCGTGATCGGAAGATTACCATTGTAAAGCCTGAATTTGATGAAGATGAAGTGTTCAATTTGATGGTTCTGCATCAAAATCGTGCCGACAGAGGACGATTGAATTACTTACCTGAAGATAAACTTCCGCATTTCATGGACTTGATTAGTAAGTTTAAAAGAAAAACAATTAATTAATGATAATTAATGGTCAATATTTAGTTTGGGGTCATGAACATGATTGTCGCATTCAACCAGAACAAAATGGAAAAATGTTTGTGTCTCAACCAGGATCATCAGTTGCAACATCTTTGTGTGAAGGTGAAGCAATTGAAAAGAAAGTCGGAATTCTTCACGTTAATGAAAAAAGTTTCAATATGGAGCCAGTTTCATTGAAGACTGTTCGACCTTTCATTTTCCGTTCAATCAACATCGAAGAGTTTGTCGAAGAATTGCATTTGAATGAAAGAAATATTAAAGAAAATGTTGAGAAATTTTATGCTCAACAAATTGAAGAAATGATTGATGAATCAAAGAAGAAAATTACTGGACATCCAAAGCAACCAACACTTCCGCTTATTCGCTTACGTATTGTTTATCTCGACGAGAATCATCTCATCAATTGCGCTCGTTTTGGACAAAAGTATGAGAAGAGAATTGCAAATCCTGAGTCAGCTTTGCATTTTAAGAAGATTGTCGTGCGTACAAAGCAAAGTGGTTACAACCCCGATGACATTAAAATGCAATCAGCTTTCGATAAAAAGAAGCAACAAGATTGTGTTGAAGATGTCGTTGAATCTTATTTCAATGATTCTGAGAATGTAACAGATAAACTCGAAATTTTTGACCTTAAAAGTCTTTCAGAAGTTTGTCGTTTGTTAGTTGAGAAAGACGACGATCAAGCAGTTTCTACAATCATCGGCAAACATTTCTCGAAAGCGGTCGATTTCTTAAGTGAAAAGATGTGCTGTGAAGAAGAAATTCCGGAAATGATTCAACAATTCCAGAGTGAAAAGGCTAAAGAAGCGTTTCAAGAAGCAGTGATTGAAAATTCGCGACAAAAGCCAACGTCAGTTCCAAATGTTCAATTAATTGATGAAGATGATGATAGCAAATTGAAAACTACAACTTCTTCAACTTCATCAACAAGAGGTCGAAGTGGTGAGAAAATTTCATGACAACAATTGAAATTTATTAATAAATTTATTTCATTTAGCACGTGGACGAGGTCGTGGAACGTCTTCAACTGCGTTAAATGTTAGAACAGTTCGTGGAAAAGCCGATCAATCATTATCAGCCGCTTTGAAGCAGCGATCAACTAAATCTATTGTTAATAAATCAATTTACATTGATGATTCAGATTCTGATTAGATTTAATTTTGTATTTTTAAAATTATATGTAAAATATTTTAAAAAATCACGCTCGCTAAACTTTGTTCAATGTTGAGCCGCTCAAGCGCTCAAAGACTTACTCAAAGAGAACGAGAAAAGCGAGAGAGTAAACAAGAAAAATAAAATTCAATCTTAACATAAACTGAATTTTCATCTCTTGTCATTCAACAGTGAATTGCCGGTGAATAAAGTCGCTTAATTCTCAATTCATTCGTTTGATCGAATGTTTAGAAGCGAAAGATAATCAAAAATTATTCTTAGATTCTAATAATGAAGTGAGTTGAGTGCCAAGGGAATAAAAAAATCTTAATAAGGAATTAATTCGTGTTTCAACAAAAATGGAATAAAATTTGAATGATTAAAAGTGCAAAATTAAAAGAAAAAATTGAAGGTTTTAAATAAATAAAATAAAAAATCGAAAAAGAAGTCAAAAAAAGCTCAAAGTGCAATTATTTTCGTGTTGAATTAAAAAATAAGAGAAGAAGAAAAATCTGAGCGAAAACAATTAAAGAACAAAACGCTTTGTACAGGCCACTCGACAAAAAGCAGTCAGCGAATCAAGGTTTGTTGAGAAATTTTTGTTTTATATTTTCAAAACGTTAAGAAAATGAAATTAAGTTTTGAAAGAATTTCCAAGAATCAAAAGTTTCTTATAAATATTTAAGTAACTTCCTTTTCTACGCGTAAATTTGTTAGTTAAATCGATTTATCATGTGATCATCTGTCACTCATTCACCGCCACATGAGACTAATTCATTCTCTATAGATAGTCACTCATTCATTGCATACGGCAAAAGAAAATCAAATCACGGAAGCTTATGGTGTTGTGAAGCAAACGACTTTTGTATGCTCGAGAAACAATTGAAATGGCATGTCACAACATTCAAATGAACCACAACACGTCGTTTGCAACAAAGACAGCAAATAAAAAAATGAAGCATAATATCTTGCGAGCACCTTGATAGCTTTAATTAAATTTATTTCTGTGAACTGTGAAAATATTGCGAACATGTTAACGGTCGTTGATGTTGTTGTGACTTTTCATTTCGTGAGATTTGCAATAAAAAATCAAAAGTGCATGTTGCTAATTAAAAATTACATAGCGCTGGAGATATTTTGATAGCTGTTTGAAACTTTAATCAATGGAGATAATTTAAAATGTGGTAGCTTAAGACAAAGAAAACATGCAAACTAAACTCTTTAATCGAATGAATCAACAAGCTACCTTCGTCAATTGGCCAATCCTTTTGGTTGAAACATTGCAATGCAAGCAGCAGCAAATATGGAAAAGTCATGGAAACAAAAAGTGTTTTGGTTTATGGCATTTTCGCGATAAAAAGGCAGCGAAACTCATGAGAGTTGTTAATTACAGTTTTTGACGATTGTAATTTGCAACCTAAACTCTAATCATGCTTAATGACGAGAGTTGCACGACGTAATTTAATTACAAATAAATAACTAAGTCTGAGCTTTACTGGCAATTGGAAAAATGAAGAAAAATCTTGACACGGAAAAGTTTTCACTTTTCTAATTTAAATTTTATGAGAAGATTTTACATCCATTTTCATTTTATCACAAATGGAATTACTTTGGTATTTCATTTCAAATTCCATTGTTAGATACTTGAAATGAGTTCACCGTCTTCGACTTCATTGAATTGTGAATTCATTTTTATTTGCTTTATAAAAATATTTTTCGTTTAATTTTTATTTTTTCACAGCATGCATTTAGATACTTAAACGTCACGCAGCAGTTTTGTTTATTTCTTTCATTTATGATGAAAGCTATTTAAGATAAAAAATATAAGAAATTAAATCATGTTGTGTACTCTTAACATTATCACATTGTGCAATTCTTCATCAGCCGACAACCCAATTTTCTTTTGATAATTCAGTCATCGTTGAAATTACAAGACTTGGAATGTTAAAAGCATGTTGTACATTTTAATGAATGTTTGTTACTTTTGCACCAGAATTTCGATGAGTTGGAAGCCGTCTTAAGAAATGAAAGATCACAAACATTAATTTTATTGTTATGGAAATGAGACGAGAAGATTTTCCCATGACTAAACCTTTTTGTGGCTATTGTTGTTTGTGGCGATTGAATTCTTTTCTGCGATGCCGGAGAATTCAAAGTTTTTTTCTTCATTTTAAATGAGAGAATTAAACCTGAACTTCATGGCAAGACAATAAAAGCCTTTTCTAAAATCATAAATTAAATCACTGAACACTTTTTGATGAAGACAATGAGCTTTAGTTGCGTGTGAAGAATTAAAGATGAACCTGAAACTAAAACAAGCTAAACTAACTCGATCATGTCAAAGTAAATGTTTAAATTGTCCTATTAAGTTCAAAAGCTGATGTAACGGTCGCGATTCAAATATAAGAACCGGATCATATTTGAACCGAACAAAGTGCAAACCCCCAGATTTTGAACCGATAAAAGGATATATAAGATCCTGCAATCGGATAAATTATTCATTAAGTTTAAAAAGATTCAGTTATAAAGTGTCAAGTTAAATACAACAAAAAGAAAGAATAAAGAATAAAGAATTAAGATTAAAAAGTGTCAAAGTTAAGGAGTTTTATAATTAGGACGTTTCAAATGGCGCCCAACGGTTCGCTAGAATCTTCGATGTAAATATTGTTATAATTATAATTATAGTGCGTGAAAAGACAAAAAAAATTAGGATAGTTAAATTTGTATGTCTGAAAAAGACAGAGCGAGTAAACTCGCAGCTAAAGAAAAAATAAGTACAATAATAGAAATAGAGAATAATTCAGGAGACTCTTCAGAGAGTCAAGAAAGCGTAACGGAATCAATTTACTTATCACAAGATATAAGTAAAACAGTGATAAACATAGAAGCAGAAGATACTTTAAAAAGCACAAATTTCAAAATGGCTGACAAAAAACCAGCCCTAACGAGAGAAATCTCGTTAGTTCCAACGTTTGTTAATTCAAACGTAATTAAGTTTATAAGTGCTTGTAAACAGTTCCATGATTTAATGAAAGATTTTTATACGACTAACCAAATTATTTTAGCGTTGACTACAAAGTTAAATGAGATGGATCATACAATGATCCAGTCTCATGACTTTGACACCTTCGATGATTTTATAAATTATATAACTTCACGAGGTAGGTCAAACAGGACACCCAATGAGGTGTTACAAGAGATATACGATCTCAAGCAGGGTAAATTCGAATCACTTCGAGATTACTCTGCTAGGATCGACTATCTCAAGACGGAATACGAGACCACAGAAATGATCTCAAACCGTCCGAAGTTTTTTAAAGAAGAGAAAAATCTGCTAAGTTTCTTAGCAGAAAGCGCGATAAAAGGCCTTAAGCCTATTTATCGCAGTAAATGTACAGAAGTGTCCTTAGATTTTAAGGAACTTCGTACATTTATGAATAAGGCGGTCAACGAAATTTTTGCTTATGAAAATAAGCCATTCGAGGCAGAAAAATTTTTTAAGTCTAGACAAGAAACTAGACACGATATAAAACCAAGTTATAATCCTCGTAATTGGCATCAGCCAAGAGGGAATTCCCCTAATAACAGTCAATTATCTTTCATTTCAAACCCCAATAAACAAAGATACAATAATCCTCAATCTTTTATGGGAGGATTTAAAAATTCCAATAACTTTCAATATCGTAATAAAACTAATGGATTTTCAGGTAGTGATTTTAATTACCCTAACCATCAGGTTAGGAATAATTTTAATCATAACAAAAATCCAATTTACCCATCAGGTAATAATCTTAAATACCCTAACCATCAGGTCAGGAATAATTTTAATTATAACAAAAATTCAGCTTACCCTTCAGGTAATGATTTTAATTACCCCAACCATCAGGTTAGGTATAATTTTAATCATCACCAAAATTCAGATTACCCTTCAGGTAATAAACCCCAGCATTCAGCTTTTAACCAGCAAAGTGTCATTTGGAGCGATAAAGTTTTTATTGAAGATTATTGTTCAAACATTCCTTATAAACACCCGGATACTGCAACTATTTTTCAATCAGCCAAATCCATCATTGAGTGTATCGTGTTGGGACAAATAAGAGACTCATTGTTAAATTCAATGTTGGTTGTCATCCTAACTACTCCTTCAGTGACTCCAGGAAAGTTAATGTTCGAGCACTTGATGAACAATTCAGGGACTAGCTTGTCCAATCTTGGAGTGGTTGTTGGATTGGGGAATTTCGATAATTCAACATCTCCAAAGGCTTCTCGGAAAACGAAAGAACAAGAATTTCCGGGATCAAATTTGGCAGAAAGTCTGTCAGGAGATAATCAAGAAGAAGATCAAGATGATGGATTCTCTTCAATGGATGATGAAGAAAACTTCAAATTGTGGAAATCTCTTTATGAAGCATTCTCAGAGATCGAAGTGAAGAAAGATTGGAGAAGCACTGAATTTTCTTCGAAAGTCAAGTGGGCATTAGGTGTTTTATCCTTTGCAAGTTTAATGAGTCTAAGAGTCATTGTAAAAAAACCTGAATCTGTCTTGGATTCATTCAAACTCCGGTACCGAGGCCATGCAACTCAATTCTTTGCTGCTTATGGAACAGGAGAAGCTCCAATCCCATCATTGAAATTCTTGAATAAATTTCAAACCATCGCTCAGCCAGGAATTGAACCTATTCGGAAAATTCTATCCCTTTGTGTTCTCAACTACATTGTGAATAATAGCTTAAAAGACAGTTCCATGCAAGACAGAGGATTCCTGGAAGCAGGGTTACTCATTCATACTCAAATGAACGGATTAGGTCCAATCAAATTGTATGAGGAGGCGGCTAATTATCTAAATCTAAAAATTGCAGAACTTGCGAAGAATATTGCTTCCAAAGACATTGTCAACAGCTTGACCAAGGTTTTAAAACATTACCAATCATATGGAAAACCTTTTTTTTTTTTTTTTTTTTGATTCAACTTATTTATAGTGGTTTGAGCTTGTAGCCATTTCCCCACTTGTTACTAATAGTAACTATCTGTATATATTTATACTAAAGGGCCGAAGTATCTAAACTTCACTCTACCTCATGACCAAGTCGGGGTTCGAACCCGGGACGTATGAATTGTACGCCCGACTCCAAGCGACTTAAGCCAATGAGGCTATTTGACCCCTTTATGGAAAACCATGTGAAGTGGCAAAATTATACTTTAAGAAAATTAATTCAAAAAGTGATCTTTTGAAAGCTATCTCTCCTTCTGCTGTTTCTTGGGGATGGTCTCGATTGTTTGATAACAACTTTTTTGCTTCATTCAATTCTAAGGATCATTTAAAATTAACTGTTAGATTAGCAGGAATTCTTCGAATCTCAGAGTCTAGAGCCAACATTTGCTCAATGGCTATCCTCGATAATCCAGTTGCAAAGAATCTGTTAAATAGTGATGAACAGACTGCAACTTACATCCATAACAAGTTCAAGCCAATCTCAATGGATCCTTTGATCTACACGGATGACAGTTCCTTTGAATCAGAGACAAAAACTCAGCAAAAAGAGAATTCTGAAAATCAATTTACTTCCAATGAACTCATCAATCCATTTTATATTGGTTCAGAAGAGGATGAAGATTATGAGGATAATGATATGTCAAATGTTGATTAACCTTAATGCAACGTGATCAATCAAAATGCCAAATTTAAGACAAAGATCTGTGTATTAGTATAATATAAAACAATATATGATAAACTCAATAGTATTTGTAATGATAGTAAGTAACAAGCCACAAAATTTTCAAATCTTTATTATGACTCGATCTCTAACCTTAGATCTGTTAATTTAATAGTTTTATTCCCTATTCTTTTTATGGTCCTTATTGATGACTTTTTTATTATTGTCATTATTATAAACTAGATTTAGAAAAAAAAAAAAAAATTTTAGGATTAATTTCAAACTATTATTAATTATTAACACTTTCTATATTATTATTATCAGACAGACAGACACATTCAATCAATTTAAATTAATTTAACTTTAAAACAATGTCAAAAATCAGAAAAAAAAATATATATATATATTTAAATCCAATTTGGTAACTTACATTCAAAAGACAACAACAAATCTAACTAAACTCAAAATGAATTCTGAACAATTAAAATAGAAAATTAATTAGAATAACCTCAACTTCACCACCAAAATTATTAAATCCACATCGAAAACATTGCAAAAAAATCCAAAAATTAAAAAGACGTTAACGGGAACAATCTTGGAAGTTGATGTCAACTCAAATGAAGAAGTAAGACTCATCAATGAAAGAAACCAACAAACATTTATGCCTTGTTCAAGCTACTCAAAAAACCCATCATCTCGATAACTGAACAGACTTATAAATGGCAAAAGAAGCGATGGGAACAAACAATCAACAACAATGGTTGAAACAAATGACGAAGCTAGACATCAAAGAAAGCATTATCTCCAATACTACGAAACGTCGCTAACTAAACCAAACAAAGCAATTCATCACCGATCAGTGGATATGATCATTCAATCAAAAATATTCAAACACTTAAAAAAATTATTTACACAAATTTTCTTTTGTTCATTTTTAAATTTCTTTTAACAATTTTTTCAAAAACATCATAATTTTAGTGAATGTCGTCGTCTGTATTTTCTTTCTTTTACCCTTTTTATAATATTTCATTAGTTTTAAGATCTTTCAAATTTATTTTAACTTTGCAAGATCTGGGGGGAATATGTAACGGTCGCGATTCAAATATAAGAACCGGATCATATTTGAACCGAACAAAGTGCAAACCCCCAGATTTTGAACCGATAAAAGGATATATAAGATCCTGCAATCGGATAAATTATTCATTAAGTTTAAAAAGATTCAGTTATAAAGTGTCAAGTTAAATACAACAAAAAGAAAGAATAAAGAATAAAGAATTAAGATTAAAAAGTGTCAAAGTTAAGGAGTTTTATAATTAGGACGTTTCACTGATCAGACAGTTGAGAGACAACAAGCGATAAGCTTTGATTATCCTTGAAAGTGACATAAAATCCAAATTTATTTACTTTCCATTATGCTGTGCATTTCAACTTCATGTCCACTGCCAGTACGTTCGCCGCCGTTCGTTGTTTATCAGCGCATTGAAATCTTTCCTAAACTCTCGCAATAATTTTTTTTGAGTTTAATAATTAAACTATTTAATAAATTGTGTGTGTATGTGTGTCTGCACTATATTCAGTCGCCCTCAAATCACGACTCTGAAACTATCTGCATATTTTTTTATTCATAAGAAAAAGAAACATTTTTCAGTGATTCAATATCGCTCGACATCAACAATTGCATGTCTCTCCTTGGGCGTACACCAAAAAATATTTCTACGAATAAGAGTTTAATTTACCTGCGGCATAGCAACAACGTCAGCTCAAAACTTATTAAAAACATGCTCAGATTTATTCAAAAATCTCGGCTAACTTTTCTTGTGTAAGTTGAAGTCGGGAGCTTGACGTTGCTGTTGCTGCTGTAGCGACAGAAAGAAAGACGTGACAACAATGAACTCGAGAATTCTTTAAAGTCTATGAGTCATTTGGTTTGAAGGCAATTCGCTGGCCAATTTCAATTTTCTCATTTCGTCGTATTCAAGCTTAAGATTAATCATTTAACAACACAAACTGGCCTGGCCTGGCCTGGCCTTAAGGACCCTCGTGTTTGTGCAAAAAAAGCAATTTTAGTGTCTCGTTTGATTCACAAAACCTCATATGATACATATCACGGAAAATGAGTATTAATAGTGTCGGGTCTTTAATCTTTTATTATTAAGAAGGTTGAATGTATCAGGCCATAAATAGCAGTGATGAAAAGGGTTCAAAAATCGCATTTAATTTGAAATTTAAATTATCTTTGAAATGTCAAACATTTTCGTGTCTGATAGAATTCCAATTTGTCTTTTACATTCCCTCATTTTCATCGCATTTAAATAATTTAAGCCGTTTCTATGGATCATGAACCAATTATGAGTAAAGCACGCGTTTTATGTAATCGAAATTGAGAAGTGCATACAAAGTTTTGCTCAGCAATGAAACAAACGAAGAAAGAAATAAAAAAAAGTCGCGACATGCCATAATTGAAGCTGACAGAAAGAATGTTCACTTTTTTTTTCATGTCTTACAACAATTGCATATTTTTTACTTGTTCAAGATTGCAATCCAACGGATGTTAATGTTGCACGTGTCAACGATTGAGTTGAATAAATGAATAATCTAAGTCAGAAGATATGTTATTTGTTGTGTGGTATGATGCAACAAGCAAATGATTACAAAATAAGCTTTTAATGCGATTGATATTGATGACTCTTGTCATGCGCAATCATATGAATTTGTTGTCGAAAAAGGAGATCAATTAAACGCCTCCCAACATAATATGAACAGCGGGTTGTGCGAAATCAAAAGAAAGAAAAACCTTTCACAATAATTAAGCATCGCTCTGTTGATAATCGTTGTATAAAATGTGGAGCAGCAGCAAAAGAAATAGCCAAAGGTTTCGACTCTAACTCGATGTTTTGTGCATAAATAATAAGACAATACGAAACTATTAACAGTGTGCTGTTGTCTCAAAGGCGTGTCATGTTTTCTTTTCAATCTTTTTTTTTTGCGAAAAATGTTGGATGCATAAGTTAAAATATGTGAACTTTTAATGACACGTCATCATTCAGCTTATTACACAAGATTGTTTAAGAATGAAAGTGAGAAATCAGGTAAAGAAGGTGGAGACGATTCGTAACTGTTTTTCAAAATTAATTAAAAGATTTCTCTAAAGGAAAAAATTATTTAAATTTGAAATGCTTGATTTGATTTGTTGCGCAATTGAGCTTTGATTCCATATAATCATTGTCCATAACTAAACTATATAATCTTCAAATTAAATCTTTGGGAATCAAAAGGAAACTTTTGATTGAAGAAATTCAATTTTCCGGATAATTTTTTGGATGAATTTCTTTAAGTAAGAAAACTTTCACGAGCTTTATTATTAAGTTTACTGATCAGCATTGTTATTCAAATCAAAACAAAATTGTTTACGGTGGTTGATTTGCATTTCTTCTGTCTGACTCTGACATTGTTTTCATTCAACAAACGAATCGTTTTTAGCTGACGAGTTTAACTTTTTAAACGAGGCGAAAAAATTGAAGATGAAGAAGAAGATCGCGAGTTGAATGCGCACAAGTGTAGCTTCAACAAAACACGACGTAAACAAATTAACAACTTTTGTACTCAATCATTGTGATTTGAATGATGTTGAGCATCACGGAAAAGTAATAACAACACCTAAACTCAACATGAATGAAAGCTCATCGTAATATTTAATGACGAAACTTATTGAAACGATTTTCACATTTCTGCACAAACAGAAGCACAAATAAATTTCCTATAATGTGAAAAACGATAATTTTTCTTACTTACGATGAGTACCATGGCAATATTTCTTTATTTTCGTGGTTCCACTCTACTTATACACGTTACTTACTGCACAATCATCATTCGTTAGTTATAACGCTTCATACTTACTTACATATGATTTTCGGTAATAATTTTTGCGAATAATAAAAAATATACTCGTAGGTGAGTCAATTCATTCACTTAGCGGTTATTCAAAATGTTGATAGAAATATTACGGAATTCGATGCAAACTTCCTTCTGGGTTAATTTCAACGACAATTTTATATAAATTTATGTGATTATTAATTATTATAAACAAATTTGGATCGATAATAAAAGTCAATAATCTGAGAATCTTTTAAAACTGTTAATTTTTCTTATTTATCATAAAAAGCTTCCGAATGCAAACGATACTCACGAAATATCAAGGAAGAGATGAATATGATGGATCCATTAGCTTTCATGTCAACATGTGTTGAATAACCATAAAAGAGTTTCCGAACGTTGACTGATTCAATCACGATTGATGATCTTTTCAAGTCTTCAAGGTGGAGGTTACTCGCGTGCCACACTAATTTTCGGGTTAGGGCACTTGTTGATCACAAACGGCATGAATGGAGAGAAAAGAAGAAAACGAGAAATATTACTTTGTGGAATATCCACAATTATTTAATATGATTTATGGTGTTGTGGAAGAAACCGCTCATTGAAAGAGAAAACACCAAGTTGAGAGTTGTTTTCAGTTGAGAGTGTTGTTATGTTTGCTCAAAGTATCACAACTTATGTTTGAATATGAATTCAGTAAGATAATCAAAGCCGCTCAGAGAAAAACGTGCACAGTGAACTCAACAATCTGCATTTTCTAATTCAGTTTTCATGAGACATTCGAAGAGTTAAGACGTGAAAAAGTTTATTTCATCTCGTTTTATTTAAAGTAAATTAATGAATTAAATAAACGTTGAAGAAAAGGAATGAAACGTGATAAAGATCGTAAAGTTTTCAAGTTCAAGAGCTGTTTAGAAAAATATCTCAAAGAAGTTCATCACTGTGAACAGCAGGAAAAAGAATTAAATTAAAATGTGGAATAAAATTGAAAGTCGATAGAAATCAAAATAAAAAAATTTATTGTTGCTAAAGTTGTTGAGATTTAATGTGAAAAACAAACAAAAGGCACTAAGAAGACTAATTTTGCAAAGTGGACAACAATCACGGTGTGTTCAGACACAAACTCTTCCGCTAAATCAAGGTCTGTTAGACTTTTAAGCTTCGCTAGAATGTCTCGCATTTCTAAAATATGTCTGAGAGTCTTTTGTTTTGCGCGTAAAAGAATTAACTTTTGGGCTGTCAAGAAATCATGCAAATTAAGCTTCTTGCCAAAAAAATCGCAATAAATAGTTAATTGAGTAGTCGTTCTCGTGAAGAATTATCTTAACGCCTTCTAACGCCGATCATCTCGTCTTAAATTGACCACGCGAGTTACGATGACATGCAAGATGAGACGAGATTTACACAGAGATTTGCTTTGTGTTGTCTGAAAAGAACAAATATGGTGTCAAAAAACGACAACTTAGACTTAATTAGTCATTGGACAATTTTTTTCTTCATTTTGGTAATGCTTTAAATAGACAACAATCGTCAACTAATGACACTATGAAAATCATCGTAAATAAAATTGACTGGGAAAGGAAACAAAAAGTGATCTAAAGATCCCCCGCAGCTATTCGTCTTCGTTGTTTCTTTTTATTGAATTGTTCTTTATTGTTCATTATGGAAAGTAATAAATTAATTTTAGTTGTATTCTTCACAAAATGGAATTTTTAAATGACACCATAAGTGATGAATTTTGTGGTCAGTAAAACCCAAACGAACATTCCACAAAGCGTTTTTTTTTTAATTTTTTGTTATATTTTTCAAGTCCAAATCCTTTTCTTGTTTCGATCATAAGAAAACAGCGGCGTTGATGCAAGCAATCAACAATTCGATACAATTTCAATCGAGAATTGAGAAAACAAAATTCGTAATTGTTAGCAATCTAGATTGTGAATGTTGTTGAATTTCACCTTGATAAACTTTTGATTTTTCTATGGCGCCCCCCAAAAAGTTCCTACACGTTTCAGTCACTTCGTTGTTGCTTATTTTTTGTTTCTTTTTCCCAACTGTCGAACTTTAGATATTAAAAAAGTCTTAAATGTTCACTTCATACACTAACTTTATGTACAACTCATGCAAGACCTTTGGATAACATGAATAATTAAATTTAATGGCAATTTGTGGATGGAAAGGCGAGAAATTTTCATTAAGTTTAATCAAACGAGGTCAAGATTTTTGTTTTTATTTCTTTTCTTAAGATTTTTGTAAATGTTTTGAAAGCAAAAGAAAAGATTTATTCGTTGAACTTACAAGTTACGAGAATTGCATTTTGGATTTTATTTCTTGTGAATATGAAAAAATTGCGGAACTTGGCAGCCTTGAATTTGATTATTCAGCAATAAATTCTTGAAATCTAACGGTGAAAAGCAACATTTAGCTTTTGTTGAATATTTTATCGTAAAACGGTAAAGAATGAAAAGCTTTTCAAATTGTCGTTTATTCATTTGCTTATTGATCTGTCGTCATCGTTAGCAAGTCATAAAATTTCCGTATTAGTCACTTGCTTTACACGCTAAACTCTCATAATCATCAAATGAAATGTAAAATATAAATTGCAATTTGTTTTCCTGCATTCATCGATGTAACAATGGAACTTGCACTCTCCAGGTGTTTAAATCCATCTCGAAAGTGATTTAATCTCGTGTCGAATCAGAATGACGTTTTAATTAGAGGAATTACAACGCATAAGTAGATATTTAAGTATTTGTAGTGATGGTGTCAAAGGCAGTTAGTGGGAAATTTTTACTGTCGTTTACATTTCACGAGATCATCAATTATTTTTAATTGACTATGATTTGACTGTTTTTTTTCCTTTTTTCGACTTCACTACATGAACTTACAGCAAAAAAGATTAATGCGAGTTGAGGCGTTTCCGAAAAACCAACAAATCGTTAAAAGTGTTTGATCAAAGAGTGAACAATTTTATGAGTCAGATGATCATCTAAAAGAATTCTTAATCATTCAACAATATTAGAGATCGACGATCGTTAAAGCGCAGTTGTGATGTCGATGACCTCTTACCGAGAGTCAATCATAGTGAGAGCAAAATTATGCAATTTCTTCTCGTGAGCATGAAGCTAAACTAAATAATAAATAAATAAAAGCGATTATCTGCGTATTAGTAGGTGAACAACTTTTTCTTCTTCTTAATATAAATTTTTAAGCTTTCGTTCTTTGTGAGCCTTTCTTCTTGTGTTTATTTATCTGCTGGTTGTTTTGTTTCTCTGCACTAAATTGTTAGGAAAACTGCAAGCAACCAACAAGCGTGAGTATCAGTTTCGGGTCGCAAAACAACTTTTTTCATTTTTTCGCTTTTTGAAACAAGCCTTCCAATGTTATATGATTACGTTTTGGATTACGAGACCTATTGGAGTGCAAGACATTAAAGTCAAGTCACAATATGTTTGGCGTTGTGACAAAGTGTGAACGAACAGAGTTTCAAGTGATAATTCATTAAACACAAGACAAGGAGAATGTTAACATCAACAAAATAATCGAATTAAAATCAATTAAAGTTCGCAATCCCTGCTGTTTTATACTGATGATAAATTAATGTAGAGCACATGGCACCGCAAAGGTTTGCTCACTTTCCTACCACTCACAAAACAATAAAATGACTTTTCATTGAGCGCGAGTCGCGACTTCGAGGCGTGCCGTTAAGAAGAAGGAAAAACAATTTCCAGTCTCAGAAAGTATCTTAAGAAAGAAATCAATAAAATGTTAGTTTTCATAATGCAATGGATATTTTTTGTTTCTCGAGATTATGGCGATTAAATAGCAAACGAAGGTATTATTCTCGAAAGATAATTAAAAGATCATTTTCTTAGTCATAACAACGATTATATAATACGAAATCTCAATGTCTCGTCCATTCTTTTTTTTTCTTCTTAGTTTCGTTTAAAATCAAATCAATCTTTAAACACAAAGGAAGAGTCAAAACAACTTAGTCTTGAGAGAAAGATAAAAGTTAATTATGTGGAGTGAGTTTCATGGCTATTTTTGGTTGTTCATGATCGAGACTTTCACGTGATTCTTGTGCATGAACAGCCAATTCAGAAAAGTTTTCGTAAGTTTATGTACGATGTGGAAATGTGTAAACTTGCGTGTGTCTCAAGGACGAAAGGAAAACTCATAAAATGGTTAAATTGTTATGGTTGACTTGCTGCTAATAATAATAATAATTAAAACTTATTTTCAACTTACCATATACTTACGACGATGAAGATTTAAAGTTTCACAGAGTCTCACAACAGATGAACCAATTTATTATTAAGTTAACTATACTTAGCTCAAAAAAAAAATAAAAATCAATTATTCATTCTTCAATGAAAAATCATTTTGCAACCAACAATTTCATTTAATTGATTTCAGCCCCCATCGATGAAAATTTTCGTCCAAACTAAGATTGAGATTGAACACGAATAAAGTTGTTAAAATTACTTGCAAAACAATCGCATTGTCTTGAAGGAAATAAACATTTTGCGTCTGTGAAGACATTTGGAAAATGAGTTTTAGTTTTACGTGTGCTGTGAGAGAAATCAATTAAAATAATTGAACATAATTGACAGTCATTGAAAGCTTTTATTTTCTTGAGCAACCATTGATTGGGAGCGTTTAATATCAAATTATAAGCTAGTTAAATTGACATTTTGTGGTCACTTGACTTGCAATCAATTACCCACGTTCTTTGACGGTCACATTGCTTTGCCATATCATGTTCAAGAGAAATTAATTAAAAAAAAAGTTGGAAATTGAAGTTGAAGTTCAGCACAGATTTGTTTGATGTTTCACGGTGCAATAAGCAAAAAAATTTACGAATTGATTGAAAAGCGTTCACGTCTAGTTATTGTAACTGCTGCTAATAAATCGCTCTATTTGCCTTTTGCACCTTGTGTTAATGACCGCAAACAACCTGAAGTTGAACTGATTTAAAGCATATATGAACGAGCATACGTTACCTTACGCAATCAAAGGAAAAAAGAGATTAAATGTACGCTCAGCTGTAATAAATATGTAGGTGAACAACATTTCATCGTCGCTCTTTAATTTTAATTTCTTCGAAACAATTACTACAATGCAGGTTTATGGATATGAAGCAATAAAGGAAACAGCGAGTTAAGTTTAATTGAAAGCACTTCGATTAATGTGTAGCATCATATGAAATATTGCAGTTCATCTAGATGTTGATGATTTGATACGCTTCATAAAGTTATATCACGATTTGTCTATCCTCTATCATTAAGTGATCATTCAAGCTAGGAAGACGATCAAAAAAGATTCAACATTAATAAAACATTAAGTTAGAGATTGTTCATCGATAAATGATTGGCGGGAATAACGATGAATGCAAATATTTATAAGAAACTCACAAAATTCACCTCGTTTCTGCTTCTTCGTTTGCTAAATAATATTTGAGACAATGTGAATGAACGAAATGTTAATGACATAACATAATATGCACGAACGATAACGATAGATATGTTGTTGGTTGAAGTCGATTGCGATTTGATGGCAAAAGGAACACATTTAAGTTAATGATCGATTCGATTATGTAATCATCAATGAACTTATGCAAAATTATTTAAATCAAGAAAAGAAAGAGAAACAGATTTTTTGTGATCATCGAAGATTGAAAATTGTGCAACAACAACAACGATCGATGGTTTAATTGTCGAGTGATTCAACTTTTCTTTCTTTCTTCTTCATTTCAGATGAAGCACTTCACCTTGACATTGCTTGCACTTCTTCAATGTTTCTACTTTCATGAGGTTTTGTGTCACGACGCCAACGACGATCATCAACAACACCTGCGAATGTCTGTTGGCGATATTTTGAAAGTCAATTCATCATCAGCAGCAGCCACAACAAACATCAGTGAAAAGAAGTAAGTTTGGTTGCACGAGATGAATTACTCGTCCACTTTTAAGTAATCTTAATTGCTTCTGCTTGAAAGTTTCTCGAAATTATCTCAGAAATGACTGAGAAACAATTGCAATGTGAGAAAGAAAGAAATTTCATCTCAAACCTGAACTTTAAAATATTTCTCATGACGACGGCGGCAGTCTAAGAAAGTTAAAGTTTCATGAATGATTAGAAATTCTGAACAGTTGCAAACAGAGTCATCAGCCAAAGCAGTGAAAGTGAATTCAAATCGTGATGAGACGAGTAAATTGAATTGAAAACTTCTTCGCTTTCATGTACGCGATTCACATGCGCGATGAATTCAATTTTGTTTATTAAATTAAAATTCAAGCTTAAGGAAATGAAAGTTTCAAAGATTTTCGTCATCTTAAGACATTAATAAAGGGAAGGAAATTGAAGGTCATTCAATTGAATTTGACTTCCAGCTGCTTTGAAAATGATTCATGCAACGAACGTGGAAAAGTTACGAAATATAATTAATCAAATTTGTTCGGGAGTGTCCGAACAGTTTTCAACACCACACTTTTAATTCGTTTTCAATCTGAAACTCAATTTTATTTGTTTACCTTCCATTAGATCACAACGGGACCAAAGAACTTTACATCGACGTGCTGGGGGACATTTGGTGCTGGGTGTAACATCAACAACAACTTTAAATCCACTCCCAACCCACTTACATGAAGAGACAGCAACCGAATTGTCATCACATGATACAAATTCAAATTTCAAGAATCACAAAACTTATTTTAGAAGAAAAGTCAAAGCAGATTCGAACCGAAGTCATGATGAGAATAAAAGCAGCAGCAACATTGTTAACGTAGCAATTTTAGATAGTAAAAATTCCAAAGAATTAAATGACGATGAGAATAATTTAGACTTTGGTCTAATGACAATGAGTGCTGCTGGTGAAGGCACGAAAAGTAACGACGTGTCGTCAAAGACTTCTTCAAGTTCGAAAAGTGCCACGAAGAAAGATGAGAAGCAAAAGACTCTTTCAGATCAAATAGCTGAAGGTAAATATGGTCTGATAGAGAAAGAATTGTTTAGTAAAACACCAAAGCGACCAGGAATTGTTTCATACAAGACAAATCCTGAAACGCCGAATGATAATGAGAAGACTCTTGGTGGCCTTGACAAAGATGAGATTTGGCTTTCTGAAGATCATTTATTAGTTCTGAAAGGTGGCGTGCCAAATGAGAAGAAGAATGAAGCAGACAGCGACGAATGGAAGCCAATTGACGATTATGAAGCACCAGCAAGACCAGTAAAGATCCCAATCAACCCTCGAGTGCCACCTCCATTTCCTGTTCAACTCACTGACAACGGACCGCTACAATTTATCGGACATAATCAATTTTCGCTATTCAATCCGTTCACAAATGAAACAGGCTTATTTACAAATGATCCGAGCGACGGCGCAGCCAACTTCCATCAAGCCAACAGTCCCGATCCGAAGAATCTTTTTACCGGGCCGGGAACGTTCAAAAATCTTACGAAAGATCAGATACGTGATGTGATTCCACCACCTCCCTGGCTTCATCACAAAACTCACAACGACAATGATTTGTTGAAACATTTTCCTTTCAATTTGCCACTTCCTGAAAATCGAACTGAAGATTTTGACGAAGACGATCCGTCACTTTTCTATCCACCGCCATACAGTTTTATTTATAAAATAAATCACACAAATCTTGCACCAATTGGACCACTCGTGCCTGGAATTATTCTTCCACCACCTCCAAACTTCTTCTCTGTTTACGACCCCGATGAGAATAAGAAACCTGTGAAGACGCCAATCGACGTCATCAATCGAATACAAGAAATTCATTTGAAAAATCGTTTGTCCGCTTCATCAACAACTACGACGACATCTTCACCTCCCAAGTTGACATCTTATGTGCCAACATTGCGTGAGTTCACTAGAAAAGCGAAAGTATCGTCGTCGACTCCATCAACGAGGTTACATAAAACAAAACAATTAACAACACTTCGACCATCAACGACGACATCTTTAAAGATTCATCCATACGATACAACAACACTCAAGTTGCATCCAGTTTATGTGCCAACGAGTGGATCGACAACTTCATCGACAACGACAACAACCATTCAACCTCCAGCTGCTATCAACATTAAGCCATATCAACAAGACTACGGAACACAAGCACATCCAATTTACTTTGAATATTTCGATGCACGTACAGCTAATCCAATCAAAAGTCAATACATTGGACCAGAGTATCAGAATTCTTATGAGACGTCACCAGTCTACAATCCAATTAGCAACACATCGCCAACACCACAACAAGTTGTCAGAGGTGGTGGCAACCACAATAAGAAACCGAAAAGTTTCTATCAACCGCAATTCTTATCATCGACAATTTCTCCGCATCCTCAACACATCGACACGAAGTTTTTGTTTGTTACACCAAAACCGGAGTTGCAATATGCAAGCGTGGTTGCATCGCCGCAACCGTATCCAGTTTCAACTCCAACTCCACTTGCTTACAACACAGTTCCGGTGCAAAAACCTCTCGTTCTAAAACCAGTTGGTCGATTTGAAGATGAGATTGCGGCGATTCAACAAACGCTTGACTTTTATAATGGAAAGAAATTCCAACAGAAGACACCGAAAGTTAAAGCAGTTTATGAATTTTCTTTTGAAGCATCAAAACATAAAAATCAACAACAAGACGACTTTCAGCCGATGCTTTCATATGATCAGAAGAATTATTACTCACCTAAACCGGAAATTAATTATTCACAACTTAGTGAGCTGATCAAGACAAACAGTTATTATCCAACAACGACAGAAACAACGATGAAATATTATCGAACGAAACAATCAGCGACTTTACCACCAAAGAAGAATTCAGCGACAGAGACAAGTGCATCGACGCCAATGGCTTTCGGACAGAAACTACGACCACAAAATCTAAACTATTACGTACGACCGATGTTTAAAGAAGTCGTGACGACACCACAGAAATCTCAAAAGATAATTAATTACTCAGCTTCGTATGATCCGATTAATGTTGATCATGGATACAGAATTAATAACAGGAATGTGAAGTATCGCAAGCCTTCACATCATCAACAGCAACAACAACAACATCATGAATTCTACGAGCCAGCAAGTGAAGTTGCAAGTTTATTAAACGATACGATCGTTAACTATAAACAACCTTTAAGACCGATTAATCCATTAAGTGAATTTATCAATGTTGATTCTCGCTTTCCACCACAAAACTCTCCGCCTTACATTTCACAGCCTCAACCACTTCCACCTCAATATCAACCTCATAATCCATATTATCCCGTTCCTTATCCAAGACCAATCCCAATTCAACAACAACAACAGCCGCAATATCATCATCAACAACATCACCAGCAACAACATCCAATTAATTTAGTCAAATATGAATATCCACAAATTCCTCAAATTAATCCCGAAAGCGTTCACATAACATTCTACAATCGACCGATGGAAAAGTCAGACAACAATTATTACGTCACGCCACGAATTTAATCGTGACGTGAAAGAATGTAGTTTAGAAACAATTTGAGACTTTTGGTTGTGATAGGTAGGAATGAAACGAAGAAGCAATGTGAAGAAGCATTTTCTTAAAAAATATTTAATTAAATAGTCCCGAAAGGAAATATTAAAAGCTTCTCATGTAGATGAATATTTAGGAAGTTGAAGCTTTCTTTTTTTAATTTGCTTAAACGCTTCAGTCCCCGCTTGCCGCCTTAAATGTGTAGCCATTTAGAAACCCCAATTACTTATATTGCCTTTAACATGAAACATAAAAGTGACAGACATTAGAAGGTTAAGCTTTTTATGTTTTTCTGCACAAGATATCTACATAAACAGAAGCATATAAATATGTTAAGTATTTATGAATCAGAAACTTTTTTTAGTTATTAAGAGAATCGCTTAACAACTTTCTTATTTCGTTATATTTGTGATAATCGCTAGATTAATGCGACAGATTGTGAGAGACAAAAAGAAGAAAATGAAATCGTCAGCTGACTAAAAATTGGATTATAATAAAAACGAAGCTTTTTGTTACTTTACAACTTTGTTTTTTATTTTATTTCTTAGATATTATTTGATGCATTTAATTCCAGTAGACATTGGTTCGATTGAGCAAGGAAGTCAACATGATTTTGTCAGATAAATGTGTGAAAAATTCCGAGGAAATTTGAATTTAATGTCGGAACGATCACGCATGTGAATCGCGTACATGAAAGCGAAGAAGTTTTCAATTCAATTTACTCGTCTCATCACGAGTTGAATTCACTTTCACTGCTTTGGCTGATGACTCTGTTTGCAACTGTTCAGAATTTCTAATCATTCATGAAACTTTAACTTTCTTAGACTGCCGCCGTCGTCATGAGAAATAATTTAAAGTTCAGGTTTGAGATGAAATTTCTTTCTTTCTTTCTCACATTGCAATTGTTTCTCAGTCATTTCTGAGATAATTCCGAGAAATTTTCAAAGCAGAAGCAATTAAGATTACTTAAAAGTGGACGAGTAATTCATCTCGTGCAACCAAACTTACTTCTTTTCACTGATGTTTGTTGTGGCTGCTGATGATGATGAATTGACTTTCAAAATATCGCCAACAGACATTCGCAGGTGTTGTTGATGATCGCCGTTGGCGTCGTGACACAAAACCTCATGAAAGTAGAAACATTGAAGAAGTGCAAGCAATGTCAAGGTGAAGTGCTTCATCTGAAATGAAGAAGAAAGAAAGAAAAGTTGAATCACTCGACAATTAAACCATCGATCGTTGTTGTTGTTGCACAATTTTCAATCTTCGATGATCACAAAAAATCTTTTTCTCTTTCTTTTCTTGATTTGAATAATTTTGCATAAGTTCATTGATGATTACATAATCGAATCGATCATTAACTTAAATGTGTTCCTTTTGCCATCAAATCGCAATCGACTTCAACCAACAACATATCTATCGTTATCGTTCGTGCATATTATGTTATGTCATTAACATTTCGTTCATTCACATTGTCTCAAATATTATTTAGCAAACGAAGAAGCAGAAACGAGGTGAATTTTGTGAGTTTCTTATAAATATTTGCATTCATCATTATTCACTTTTTAATAATTTTTTAAGACGAAGAAGCATCAAAAATAAATTTGAATTGAATGATTCAACTTAAAGTTTTAAAAAATAATTTAAAATCCTTTTGTTCACTGTTCATCGCATGCTATCAGTCATTTTAATCGAATTTATTTCTCATTTATGTTTCAAACTCATTTAAGATCTCTTGTGAACTTTAAAGTGCTATATCGCTTTCGATTCATTCATTATGTCTGATGCCATTTACTATTTAGCCTACGATAAAAAAATAGCATCGTTAATAGGATTATAAGACGTTGAATTGGTTTAAAAGTTTTCATCATATGCTAGGCAGTGAAATTATGTAACGAAACACAATACATGTGATTTTCAGTATGGTTTTGATTTCAGTCAAACTCATTCGGTTGGACTTGGGGATTTAATAATATGCCATTAAATTTGTACCAGAAAGTATGTTCGTGGAAAATTGGAACTTTTATGATTTCAACTCGTATGGTTTTTGATCGGATGAAGAGAATTTCCAATTTGGGTTTGACGAGAGTGTTGAATGAATTCAAGACAACAATCAAATATTTCCAATAAATTCGTACGACAAGGAATTTGAATTCCTGCTGTCACTCCAAAATTGGAATAAAAAGCAATTTAATAGAACGTTCACAGAATTCCAGCAGACATTTTACTCTGTTCACAATAAAACTGTGTAATTTTTTAGACAATAAACTTGCCAATTTCAAAGTGAAATTTGGATAATTATTTCAACCTGTAACGTGTTGTTATTATGGCTTTTGATTTTAACAAAAGAATTTTCCATTAATTTTTCATTCCATATGTTAACTCTAATTAAACGCCTTTTGTTGTTCAATTACATTTCAAATTTGGGTTTTTTTTAATTTTTTGATGTTGTTGACCATAAGTAGAACACAAAAGATTGACTTGAACAAGAGCGGAAATTATAATAAAATATCACTCGATTTATTACAAAATTAATGTTGCATATCTACTTAGTGGTAACAGGTTCAAAGAATTACTTTTTGCTCGACTTTCAATTCAAATTCATTCGACACGAAATGTTAATAATGTTGCAAATATTTTTTGTTTCTTTATTTTCATGCATTTCCGACATGTTTTTAAACTTAGAAATAAATGAAAGACAATTCGATTCATTAAAGCTTCAAAGAACAAATGAATGAATGAAAAGCTTTTCTTGTTGTTTGATTGTTGAACAAGCGAAATACATTTGTTTTTGAAACGTGCTTGTCATGTTAAGCTACTCGTTCGATTCAACAAATATCTTTGTTTGATTGATGACTGAATGTTTATCCTAAAATATTCACCGAAAAAGAAAGTTTGAAGTCGCACATCTTTAGGTAATCAAAGACTTTGTTCAATTACGTTGTCATAAAAACTACTCAACAAATCTTAGTCGCTAAATATTTATTGTGAAAAATGACAAAACATCACAAAAACTGTTATTTTCTGTGACAGTCACACTTGTGCCAAGCTATTCGCATTTCTTTACAATGTCTTCTTATTTTGAAGTAACATATTAAAAGCTATTATATCCACTTAACAATTCAGTTGTTATATACAAATAGCTGAAGCAAAGTATAATGAAATCAAAGATATTTTGCTACAAAGCTCATGGTGTGCTACCGCAAGAAAAGAAGGTGAAAGTAATTTCATGCTCATGTGGTGTTCACTTCGGTTGTTTCGTCTAAATTGAATCTTATTTTTGAAGGTGCCAACGAGAATTGTTTAATAAGAGATCAGGTATGATGGCTTCACTTTTGAAATTCACATTTTGATTTATTAATTTACTTAAGCGATTAGTCTCTCTTTGTGGCATTAAATTAATTTTTTTCGTTTCAAGCTAGAAATTGAAATATTTTAACAATCACTTCAATAAACTCTCGAGTTGCTTTTATTTTAAGGTTTTTGGTCGCTTCAAACGCACTCGAGAAAAATTATAACTCGAAACTTCAATTAAAATGCTGAGCTTGAACTCATCCTCAGTCTTAATGAAATTGCATCACATTTCTTCATCGTCTCAAATTAAAAATTCAACGATGCAATAAATAATCGAAGCCAAAAAAAAAACATTTCTTCGTCTGAATCATGTTCGGAATACATAAATGTTTAATAAATTTCCTTTTTCAGATTGTGCAAAGAAATATCGCATAATCTTATAAATTCAGAAGACTTAAGACTAAAAATTTGTGCAAAAAATAAGTAAATTCCATTTCAGTAGCGGAATAAAAATGGAAATCGAAGTAGCTTGTGCCAGGAATCGTGAATTAATGCATTAATTCTTAAACAATTTTTTTTCCTTTGAACAGAAGCGGCAACTCAACTACAATGTAAGAAAGAAAATAAATAAATACGCAAATCAAGTCACATTATGACGCTCATTTCTTCAATTTCAATTCCATTTACTTACATAATCCTTCCCGTAATTGTGAATTCTCACACTACTTGCATATTTATTGACACATGTTTGTATTTCCGTTAGTAAGTAGTTGGAAATATTTAACCCATTGGCCTTACCTACAACAAACTGGAGCGGTTTATATACAGAAAACAATTCGGAAAAGGTTTTCATCAAGATTCGAATGTTACATGAATTCGATATGCCTTTGGCTAACTTAAAGTCGTTCTCATTATATAAACATTATATGAGGAAAATATTAGTTTCAGCATAGAATTAGAGCTACAATGATGACTACTCGATCGGTAGGCAATTCACTCCAGATAAATTAATGCAATTGCCTGCTAAAGTGCAAACTTCCTTCACAGCTTAACTAACTGGTTTTGCTCATTAACATGAAACTTCTTATGAATTGTTGCAAATTGAATTTTTCATTTTGGGGATTATGTGAAACTTTCCCGTATTTGTCGTCATAAAAACGAAATTTGAACTTTCAACTTTAAGCATTTTATTAATCACAATCATCGTAAATCTCATACATGTAGGATTAAGTTAATTATTGTAAAAGCTTTTAACGACGCCACTCCATTAAAGGGATTAAGAAACAAGTTGAATGTTTAGTTAACAGACTTAATAAAGCTTTTAAGGTGAAGTTGTTAGATGATTGCAAGATAAGATAATTGATAGAGATTACCATAAGCTGATACACGAATGATGAAAGTATTTGATTTTCTTTTCTTCGTTTTAAGGTTTGAAAAGCAAATCTTTTATCAGCAAATAACTGCATTTGAGTTTTAATAGTCAAGCATTACGAGAAATGAACAAAAAGTGCTTAAAAGTTCAGTCAGATGGAAAGCAAATTTTTCTTCTTTTTCTTGTTCATGTCAAGGGCTCACTAAATGTGAGCTTTACTTTATTTGATGAATAAATTTGTTTCGAATGATATCTAAATATGTTAAATTAATTCACTACGTTGACTTATGAATTTTAAAAAGATCCGCAATTTTTATTGTCTCGTCAAAAGTTTGTTCTCAACTCGATGAATTTATTTATAGATTTTGATTGTTGTAATGTCGCAATCAAGCTTTCTGTGGGATTTTATAACATTTTACTCTGTTCAGGAATTTTTTATTAATCATTTCGATTATAAACACATCGTAAAAGTGATTTTATGAACATGTCGGATGGAGACTTAAATTGAATAAATTAAGAACATTTCTAATTTGAATAAACTTTTGTAATTATTGAGAATCTAATTAAACGAAGGTTCGTTCAACGAACAAATGAATAATTTATTTTTAGAGTGATGAGAAACTTTTCAATCTTTTGATATTAAAACAATCAAATCGCTCTCATTTCCATTCATTTTCAAACGCAAATATTTCCATCATTTTCTATTAGAAAACTTTCAGATGTTTCATCTGATGAACTTCTGTTTGTTTTATGAGAACTGAAATTGTGAATTGAAAGTTGAAACTTTCTTCTTCGCACTTAGTTATAAAAATGAATGATTGGGACAATCGTTTTGAGATCTATTACAAGTTAAACTTAATTGAGACATCGTTAAAATAATTTTAACTTGCTCTATAAATTCATAAAATACTACCAATCAATTAAGCTTCTAAACTTACTACCTTGAACCGATGATTAGCAGTTTCAGAGATTGAATATTTCTTTCTCATTTATTAAACCAGAAAAGCGCACCTTCCAACATCGAACAAACAAATCGATAACCCGGTAAACATTAATTTCCTCAACAGAGCAGCTGCTTGTTGACGAACATTACCATTATTCGCTTTATTTCTTGTATTTCAGAACCACATCTGACTAAGTAGTAGCCAACCGCAGTCTTTTTATTAATAAACAATTATATCGAAATTCTCTTACAGAAATTCCGCAAATTAGCTTTAATTAAAAAAACATTTTTTACTGTTTGGACTTGATCAGGGAAAAAATTATCATCGTTAGTTAATCAATAATTATTAAGGAACAAAACTGCCCTTCCTTAATTTATCCACGTATTTAGTAAGTTAGAAGAATTGAACGTAAGGAGCAAGAAATTCCATTCGTGAATGTAAATTTGAGCATTGAACGCTCGATTTACTTTATTCGCGATCTTTATGAATCAATCTGCATTAGTAACGCATTGAAAAATGCATTTATGATCAACGAAAGGTTGCACAATATTTGCGAGGTCTTTGAATATTGAAACAGTTAAGACAAAGGTGTGGACGTGTTTGAGAATTTAAATTGTAGCAAGTCTGAAATATTTGTTTCTTCCTTTAACAACCTTTATGGTGATTAAAAAACAATTTAAATCTGAATTGCCTATTATTAAAAGAATTAAATATCCCAAACATTATATCGCAATTATTTTGAAATGTGAATTATTAATTATTTTAAATGATTCTTGATGTGTTTAGCATTAATTTTTATGAGATTGTAAATCAATTTTTAATGTTATTGCAATTGCGTTTGAATAACTTTTATAATTTCTCTGATTAAATTAAACGTACGCAAAGATTTCTCTCGTTCATTCTCTTACTAACGTGTCACATTTCTCATGCTTATTTACTTGTTCCTTACCACTTCATGGTTATTAAATTACAAATATATGTGCTTCAAGTTTCATAATGAGAATTTCGGTACGCCACACAATAAAATTGTAACATGGACGACTTTTGATTAGTGGAAATACTTAGAAATCTTGTTTCGTTTCTGTGTGCTTTCGTGTTAAGTTTCATGAGAAAAAAGAGTTAAAAATATAATTCAAGGTGATTCTGGTGTGACAATAACATATTTTGGTGTAAGATTATTTCATTGAATGAAAGATGAAAGAATTCATTTACAAAATCCCAATTTCAACTTGACATTTCTTTTTATAAAATGTATTTAATGGCCAGTCAAGTGTTCACGTCGGAAAAGATATTCAATTGCATGAAAATGTTTAATGAAATGCGAGTAAGACACAAACAACAGTAAATAATGTTCAAAGTCATGGTTGATTTCATAAATATGATCTACATGTATCTTAAAGTATTATTAATGTGTTCATTGGTTTTTGGTCTTCATGATGAAGTCAGTAACTTCAATTCAAATAAACTTTTAAAAATCTTTGTCTTTTGTGTGCGACTGAGAGACCGATCGAGATCATTGTAAAACAGTTTGAAGTGAAGCATTGAATCCGACACGACGATACAACAGAGTGAACACTCTCGTAGATGTTGTACAATTTAATTCAATCGCGTGCTTGACGTCCAATGGTATTCATGGTGTTTCTTAGGGGCATCTGTCACAAGGTGCACAATAGCCACTTAGCGAAATGATTTGCTGTTGATGAACTGCGATTCATGGATTTTTTTTCTTCTTTCGTTCATCAAAATTTGCAACCACTGACGACTCAAAAATCGACACTTTCAATGTCATAAATAAATAAACCAACTGGGCTTGTCAATAAATAATGTTACAAGTTGTAATTTAATTTTTTTGTAAGTCAAACGACTTTATTTATTTTTCATGTTTCTCACAAATTAAGCATCGCAAATAAATCAACTTTATAGCGATCAGCTAGGAAAACAAATTTAAACAACTTCTTATACTTTTTTTTTCTTAATTTTTATTGTTTATGACGAAACAAAAAAAAATTGATTTCTTCTCGATTAAAAGATTCTAATTAAATAAAAGGAAATGAAGTTTTCTTCTTCTTTCTTCTGAGATTTTTTATCCTTATCAAAAAGTAAAAAAGAAGGAAAACAAAAAAAAATACTTTCTACTTTCGTTTTATCACCCATCGGAACATGATTCTGTTTAATTGCGCCTTTGAGTCTTAACTTGTACATTCTTGTACTGTTGCATTGTCGGATTTGGTGGCGGCGCTTGTTGATGATGATAATTTGGATGTGGCTGCATCTTTTGTGTTGTCGTCGTGATACGATACGAAGCATTTATTTGTGGTGCTGGAACAAAATTTGCTGTATGTGGTGGCGTTGGACATGCGGGAATAAATGGCACACAATCGCTCTTGCGAACTTCCTCAGCATTTCCATATTCAGTGAATAGAACGACATATGTGGAGTCACTGACGTTTGTAATTTTTGCGTTGTAGAACTGTTGAAACAAAATTAAGAAATGGAAATTTGAATTAGTCAATCAATTATAATGTTGATCATCATTAATTGACTTGTCAATTGTTTTCAATTAAACATTTCAATTCAGACTGGTAGGTGTGTAGATGACAATCACTTGTCAATAAAATAATCTTTTGATAGTTTGCTGTACACACAATTAATTAATTAATTTACCAAACAATGTTTTTAAGTGAATTTGACATTTTGATTGAAATCAATTAACTGATAAGCACTTCAAGTGGTTTTTAACTCACCTGACCATCCTCCCAATACTTTGCCAAACACAAGTCACCAGCCTTCAACTGCTGCAAATTATTCATTTGTGGTGGAGCCATTCCAGGTGGCGGCTGAACACTTTGCATCATTAATGGACCTGGAAAGTTGATTGTCTGATGAAAAACAGCCGGTGGTGGTGGATTCGTAATGACAGTCGTGCCTGTCATCGCATGAATAACTGGAGGATGTTGAGGATGCTGAACAAATGGTTGTGGCAAGGAGTGCATTGGAGCCGGTGGCGGAGCTGATTGAGCGACATTAGGAAAGGGTGGCGGTGGCTGCTGTTGCTTAATTGTTGGTGGTTGTTGCTGTTGTTGAATAACAGCAACCGGCATTGGATGTTGTGGAGCTGAAGATTGTTGCTGAGGTTGCTGCCAATTTGTTGGTGGCTTCTGTTGTTGCAGTTGAACTCCTGGGATATTCTTAGTCTTCAGTGCATTCTTTGCATGCTCATTAGCTTCTTTATTTTGAAATCCAACAATCGGATAGCCACCCGGCTTTGTCACGTAATTGTTTGTTGATTTTGGAACTTCAGTTGTCGGTGCTAATGGCGGATAGTTACTTACACTCAATTTAATGTCAGCTCCTTTATACTGCTGTTGATTTCCTTTCAAATTCATCTTCTCCATTGACTCAACAACATTTCTGTTTGACTTTTGATAATCATTTGATTGATGATGTTGATGATGATGCTGATGATGATCATTTTGATATTTTGAAGGAGCTGATGATGAATTGTTAGCACGAGATTTATTGTAACTATTATTATTATTGTTGCTGCTGTTGTTATGATTGGAACTTGATGCCGAATAGTTGTTGTAATCCTTCTTATAATCTGAATTTGACTTGTTATAGCTTGAAGATTTCGTGTTGTTATAGTCAGATTTGTTATTATAATCAGATCTACTACTGTTGTTGTAATCAGATCCAGATTTGTTATTATAATCTGGTTTCTGATATTTACTTCCTTTATTTCCAGTATTTGAATGATTTTGAACGTTGTGCGAGCCATTCATTGAATTCGATGACTTTTGATACTGATTATTGTTGTTGTTATTGGAAGAGATAGATTTGGAAGTATAATTGCTATTTGAATGTTGTTGCTGATACTTTCCATCTCTTCTTGAGTCACCACCAGAATCTCTAGCATCTCTCGAATCTCGATTGTTTCTGTAATCTCTTCCATAGTCTTGATACTCCTTGGGATTATTATTATAATTGTTTGAGCTTTTCATGTTATGACTAGATTTCTGCTCGTGATTTCCCCCCGACCAATGTTGAGATTTGTTATTGGAAAAGTCTTTGTCATGTTTACGGAAACTTGATGATATGTTATTTTCGAAACGTTCTTCATTATGAGAATAAGACGATGAATGTTTTCCTGATTCCTGTGTTGTTGGAATTTTTTTCTCGAGAAAATCAAATAATGACACAGAATTTGAAGGCTTTGCTGCTGCTGGTTCGGAAGTTGTGCCTTTTCCACTTCGTTTCTCTTTGGAATACTCTCTTGGTTCGTAATCGTTGGAAGATGCGCGCTGACGATGATCTTCACGTTTCTTAAGATTACTCAAAGCTTTCTCAACGTTGTTTCTTGAGAATTTTAAGGCAGTCGTTGCTTGTTCTTCCGTATAGCCTTTGTCCATAATTTTCTGAACATTTGAGTCGACAAGAACTTTTGATCCACCACCGAAAGTCTTTTTAGTTCCTGATTTACTCGCTTCTGCAATTGCATCTTGACGTTGTGCCTTGAATTCGGAATCATCGTTTTCATTCTCTTTCTGCTTATTTTGCTGAAGACTTTTAAAGCCTCGATCAGTCGTAAGTGTTTGTTGTTGAATCTTTTGACCAAATGGAATGAATGGAGGTGGTCCACCTGCTGCTACACTTCTGCTGCCTGTAATAGCTATTTTTAGTATTTTCCAAGATAATTTTGATGTTCCTTACCTTTCATACCAGCTAGAGATCTTGAAAGTTCCCACTTTGAAACAAGCGATTCAACATTACCACCCAAAATTTCAATATTTTTAGGTGTTAGCAATAATTGACCATTGGACATTTCCATTTGTTTAACTTTAAGAGCAATCTGTCCGGAAGAAAATTAAAAAGAAAGGATTACAAAAATGCATAAGGAAAAAGTTGTGGGAGAAAAAAGGGAAATCAATGCTTAAGGTCAATGACATTTGATGAAAAAAGGAAGGAGAAAATCCTCTAAATTCTTACTTTTGTGCCTGGTTTTGTTTCAATTGATAAAGCTGTTGATTCCATTTCGATAGCTGAATATGAATTGATTCCGTCAGTCAATTGAAGTTTTAAAAGCTTAGGTGCAGTTTTTGATCCTTCATTAGCTTTTGGAGCGGAAATGTTACGAACTTTCATGATTTGAAGAACAGCTAAATCGTGGTCAATGCTTTCGAATTTTCCTTTCTGAAGATCACTAATTCCAGCACCAATATCTCTCAAGTCACGCTAAAATTGACAGTAACAATAATTTGCCAGTGTTATTCTTTTAAACTGTTTCTACTCACATCCAATAATATTTTAATTAAGTTCTTTGAGGAGCCACTCGTTTCGATCGATTTCAGGCCAGATTCGGAGAGAACCCTAGAAATAAATACATGATTTCAATTTTAATTACATTATTCTACATCATTATTAGATCATAGATCTTAAATTCTTTATATTATACGCACCATCCTTGATTCTTAAGATTTTCCATCGTTTTGCGTTTTCACAGCTAACTTTTGTAAATTATTAGCATCACAAGTTGTTTTACGACCGTCTGTCAGAAAGCGTAAACAAAAATTCTCTACCCCTTGAAGATTTGATTTTAAATCAAAACAGAAACCGACACGGAAAGCTGCTCAACGCTTATAAAATAATTTTGTTAAAAAATGTTTTGCTATTTAGATAACTGTGATAATAATTTATCAAGATTTAATCCAAAATATCCTGATGACTGTATTATGCAGCATATTAATTGTGTGGAAGAGGAAATTGTTAAAATATTAGCGCATTATAAAGGTAAAAACGTGAAACTATTTTTAGAAATAAATTTCTTACATTTTCTTCTCCCCAAAGCATTGAAAAAGAAGACTGAAGAATCAATTGATGCCCAAATGCGATATGAGAGGAAATATAAAAAGGAGTAAGAAGATTTTTAAATAAAAATAGCAGCAAAATTATAATTTCATAATTACAGGAAAGAGAAGAACGAGCAATTACTTTTACGTGAAAAGAAAAATAACAAAGAAAAAGAATGCAGAAAGTCATATCCAAATGCAAGTGCCTTAAAAAATAATGAAAAGAGCATACATGAAACTTTTGACGTGAATTCTTCTGATAAAAATGAGAATGACGATCCAGACTTTCAAGACAACTTATTTAAATCAATTAAAAGAAAGACTCCTAAATTCGTTAAAGAACAAGAAAATCTTCTGAAAAAGAAATCGCCACAAACTCCTAAATTTGATAACGATAAGAAAAGAGTAAAATCAGATAATTTGAAGCAAAACAAACTCGTATTCAAGTCAACAGAGATAGAGGAAAGCAATGTTAGTGCAACGGTTAACAATGTTGATAAAGATGAGACTCCAGAAGACGTCAACAACAGAAAACGAAAATCAAGTGGTTGGCTTAACGCCAAGAAATTAAAACTGAAACCAGAAAATCCTAAATCAAAACCCGAGAATTTGCAGAGGCCAAAAATAAAATCTAAAAAAGACGACCAAGCTAAAACTAATTTTGGGCTGTTTCAATTTATTGTCCCCCAAAGAAAGGAACGGAAATTATCATTGGAAAGTGAAGATTCAAGCAGGTCTCCTATCACATCTCCAGTAAAAGTAAATCTTGATGTGGTCAAAGAAGAAAAACCTTCACAAAAGTTGTCATCAAATCGTTCACTTTTATCTGATTGTGATCTCTTTCATTCAGGAGATGATCTGAGCATTGGGAGCAGCGTTGAAATTATAGAACCTGATGAGAGTAAATTAGTTATTCAGGTTTCGGATTGTACTGAGTATAAAGAGGAACTTTTTGGCAAGGAGATTGAGGAAGCTGTGATGAAACAAGAGGAATATGAGTCATTTGCTGACACCCGTAGCCGGACTAAATTCTATGGAGAATGCAATGACTGTCGTGAAGTAACATAAAACATTATAAAATGTTGAAAATATTTTTCTAATCCTTTTAAATTCTTCTAGTTTTATGATGAATATGCGACAAAGTATAGCGCTAAGAAAGCTAACAAGCACATCGAGCCATGTAAGAAAACTCTCAAAGGAATTCCCCAACCTTGCAAAGGATTTCTTCTCCGTAAGAAACTCGCTGAACCACCTTTGCCAAAAGCTCATTCACCACCGAGACGTGATCACAACAACTTGACGCCAGATGGATTCTGGGACATTCCTTTCACGCCAGACGACCCAGATCGCACTCAAGATGGTCTCGTGTAGAAATATAAGAAATCGACTTTCGATTTTATTTTCCAAAAATAACTTTTGATTTATTTCTATATTTTTCTTGTTTTCACAACAATCTTTTCCACCAAACACACGCAAAATAAAAATCAACATTTCCGAAAATTGAAAATTTTCACTTTCATTAACTCATAAAAGTCTTTTGAGGATTTCTGAAAGTTTTGATATATAAATAAGGAAATTAAATGTCTGATTTATAACACAACAAAGTTTATGGGCATTTTCTTGGGAACTTCAAACATTTGGGAATATTCAAAGGGTTGGTTCCAGATTCTTACCACAAAACAATTTAAATCATGGTAAAATTAAAAATATTATTCAAGTTTCTTTTCAATGTCGGTTCGCTCCGGCTTTTCGAGAATTTCAATGTCTTCATTTGCTGATTCAGATTCGATGTCACTTTGTTTTGTTGGAGCACTTGGCGTTGGCTCAAGATTTGATGAATCCAAAGTTGTGGTAACATTTTGTGGTTTTTTCATTCTTTCAACTTCAATATCTGAAGAATCTATGAAAAGAATTGAAATTTTTATGACGATCGTTTAATAATTTGGTGTACAAACCTGAACTGCTTTCCGATGATGTCGATGGTCGTTGTATGCTGACTGATGGATTAATTTCTGATGGAAGACGTGGTGCCGTTGGTCTTAATTTCTTCGCCGGATTAAAGAAATTACAAAACGCACATCGAAATGCTGCATATTCGTACTCTTCTTGAAGAGCCATGCCTAGAAGGATTTTAATTAATGAGTTTAATTAATTTAAACATTTTAAATTATCCTAAACTTACCATTATGTTTGTAACAATTTTGACATATCATAGCGAAGCGATTTGTTGGGCCATCGCCAATTAAGTAGTCGACCATCTTATCAACCACTGTCTTTTGACTGTTGTCAATGATTGGATAAGGCGTTCTTGTATTGCTTTTAATTATTGGAACTGATGATGTGGAACTTATGAAGGAACGATTGTGGCCGATTGGCGTTGGTTGTGCATTGAGACGTTGTTGAAGTGTATTAATATTGGCATTCACATTTCCTAACTGACGAACAGCCGGTGTTTTGAAAGCAGTTGTTGGAGTCATGAATGTGCTGGTATTAATCATTTTCCTATCTGAAGGAGTATTAGATGGCGTGGGTGTCATTTGTGGCGCACGCGATGGAGTAGAAAATGATCGATCGTTGCCACCAAAACGTTGGAGAATTTCAATTGCATCTTTATAAGTTTCCTTGTTCTTCACCTGATCCAATAAATCTCGTTTCTTGGTGCGTAACTCCGCTAACTGCTCGGAGTTTGAATTAACTTTTCGTTGAAAATACCAAGCGACTAGATTTTTCAACAGGAATATACTGTAAATAAATTTAATGAATCATACAATTAAATATTTGGTGAAAGCCTAAATTAGGCGAAAACGACTTTGACTCACAAAATAGGCAGAAGAAGAACTGGAATTGAGTAAATGATTCGCTTTTCCGTTGACTTGGGTAGAAATGCGAAATAAAACGCTAGAAATGCAATGACTGATGAACCAATGCCATATAGTAGCAAATTGCCAACAAATCTCTTCTGTTTTATTTGATATTGTCCGGAAAATTCTTCAATCTCCTTCAATTTGATTTCAATTTCCTCCAACTGCTGATATGTCGATTTTTCACGTTTCTAGAAGAAGCAGACTTCATTTTTCTGATGAATGGGATATTTTTGTTGTCTTACCCTCCAAAATATTCTTGAAAGAAACGATCCCATCACTACTTTTTATATTAACTTTTACTGTTTTGCATGTAATGAATTTTTTCTTTTTTCTGCTAAAGCTAATTTACACACAGTTCATTTGAGTAAAACCTTGTCTGTCCGACTGTCAATCATTTAAATTATGAACGTTAAAAATCATAAGTGAATTGTCACAAACCTGTTTTCCGACTTAATTTCCTGTAAATATGTAGATAATTTAAATTATTCATTTTAATCAAATTTACGAACATGTTTTCTATAAAATGTGGGAGTTTTTATTCTTTTCTTCCTCATCATCTTATTATGCTAATAAATAGTTGATTCTTTTTGTATTGAAGGAAATGTAATTTTCTAGGTAATTTATTGGCAGTGTGGCGGTGATTTCTTGTGAACTTCCTATCTAAGATGATGTTTAACATTCTGGATAGTTGGGACATTGAGCTGCACTCACGCCAGCTGGATAAAGACGTTCAGTGAATCCTGGGAGAGGTGAAGCTCTTACGGCATGATGACCAGCGAGTCCAGCATTTGTATCACAGTATGGGTAGTTGGGGCAAGAGTGAGGTGAGACTCCGGCTGGGTATTTGTCACCACCAGCTGGTGCATGAGCTGGAGCAGCATTCCATTGTGGAGCTGGTTGATGGTAAGGTTGAGCATTCCATTGTGGGGCTGGTTGCCATTGTGGAGCTGGTTGTGAGTTCCATTGGTTCCATTGTGGAGCTGCTGGTGCATTCCAATGGTTAGCTGGGGCTTGGTTATGGAGAGCAGCGTTATCACAGATTGGGAAGTTGGGGCATTTGCTTGGATCAACACCTGCTGGGTATTTAGCAGCGGAAAGTGCTGATGCACATGCAATGATTGTCAATAAAACCACCTAAGAGAACAAACATAATTTGATATTAATCCTTTGATAAATTTTTGAATAATCCACATGACATTTTCACTCATGTCCTTATCAATAATGTTCAAATTTTTCTAATTTTCTTAACTTACCAATTTGAACATTTTGCTAGATTAATTAAGTTGGACTATTACGTTCTCGAGAATTAAAAAATTGTAAAACTTCCAACCCTGATGCAAAATGTTATACTGGATTAATAAAATCAAAGTAAGTGCTTTATATACAAAACATGAACATGGCTTTAACTCTCCACACCCTCAAACTTTGAATGTTCTCTCAGCTTTTTGATTCTGCTTTTTTCTCATTGTGTATGCTGTTTCATTAGATATTTTCGGGTGGCACAAGCACAGCAAAAATTTCTTTATGCTATTTTTTCAACAATTAGAAGAATAGTTGAATTAAAACTGGATATGTTAGAGAAAAATGCTTGCAATGTGCTTACCGAAGTTTGCACATGTGTTTGCAACTATTTTAATATTGAATGAATTAAAACTCGATTTCTGCCCTTGAAACAGGCTGAAGAAAAAAATTACATTTTAGATTTAAATCATGTCTCTTTCCTTACATTGAACTAGAGCAGCCCAGAACACGCGTCAACTTCCACTTTCAATAGAACATCTGGGGCTGCTAAAGATAGTTTCATGAATAAATTTTATGGGAGGTTCACTTTAATTCAATCTTTTTATAATTTAATTTAATTACAGACTTCCTTAAGAGAATGAAAATTCTTCAACGTTTCAATCAATCAATGATTTGTAAATTCACACAATAGTGAAATAAATTTAAAGAATTACGTTATAAAACACTTACTAGAACACTTACAAATTCATGTTTTATGAGTTTTCCAACAGGTCAGCTTTAATCCAACCGCGCTGGAGACATTTTTATGCGCACAATGAATTTCATCATAATTATTTTAATGCAGAAATATTGTTAAATGCCACTTGATTTATAGATCGAGACATAGAAAAGAAAAGTTTTTATTACTTTAAATTAATTGAATTATTTAATAAGTAATTTGCATTCGAAATGTGGAGGTTGACGCCTGCAGCAGGGAATGAGAAACATGATGAATGTAAAGTTCATTAACACTTTCTGTAAATATGCATTTCACTCAGCAGTTAGCGCCACGTTAAGTGATTATGACCCCAACATGTAAAAAATATATCCATAAATCATAAATCTACAAAGACAAACCGAGACCAGTTTGAAGTTTAATGTCATGTCAATTGTATCTCATTTATGGCCCAGACCTTTACGGAAATTGGCGAATTGGTGACAAAAATGTTGTTCAGTCGTTACAATTTGATTGACTTCTAATTAATTACCGTCGATTTGAATTGCTACTTAATCTCTAATTTCAAATTAAAAGCGATTTATTGTGTTATATTAGTCACACATTCATTCACTCTTTCTCTCTCCCGTCAGGCTATTAAGCTTAAGATTTACAAGATAGTTTATGTTGGATATTTAGGAAAAAATTCCAACAAGCCAATATTTTACAAAGCACGATTAACTTTGAAGCCCATAACTTTTTAACTTATAACGTGTATAGAAAACAAACAAACAAAAATTGCATTAGAAAATATCATATTTATTACATCATTACATCATACAATATTTATAACTATGAAAATAAACATTCATAAGATTTGATAAAACATTTTGACCTCTGCTATTTTTATTCTGTTTGGAATATTAATTTAATAAAAGAAACTTTTCAAGCCCACGCTTTTGAAATCTTTAGTTGTAAAAAGCTTAATAATTTATTACCAATTTTTATGCTCAATCAATAAGCTGAGATAAAATTTCTGCAGTAATTAAATTAATGTTTCAGACAAGTGTTTACAAATAAAGTCTGAAATCAATTAAAAATAATCTGAAGTTAATCCTTAAGTAAAAAAAGGAAAATTTTTCAATTAGATACAAAAGTTGAGCAAAAAAAGTTTTGTTAGAAATAAAATTCTGCAACTTAATGTAAACATGTTTTCCTCGGTCTCCCATGCACCAATTCTAGTAACTAGTGCACTTTTGCACTCATGAAATTGTTTCAAGTTCGACAAGAACACTGATCGATTATGTGCCGCTGTTGCTGCTGTTTCAGAGCCAGTAAATAAGAAACAACAATTCCTGTACAATGAACAAAAAGTCCATCGATTAAAAAAATAATAATGGTAATGTAAGAGTTTAATTTATGCACATGGAAGTAATACCACACACTTGAGTTAAGTCTCCAGAGAGCATTGCCACATCAGACGTCAAGTCAGGCGCGTTTAATTTAGTTTCCTAAATAGGCGCATAGGAATTAAACACTAGACTGATAATACTTTATTAGTTTCTTAATAATAAGCAGAGATTTTATGCTGGAAATCATTATTCAGACGATTGTTGTTAAACACTCCAAAATATATGCTAATGGGATTTGTTTCCCGCTCAAACATGTAAATACATAACTGAAAACACACAATTTATGTGGTTTGAAAAAGATAATTGAATCGATCGATTGTTCTTCTCGTGAGCGAAATGAATAAGGAAGTTACACGAATGGGATTAAAAATGTTTTCTGATTAGCTGCATGGCGCTGTAGCAGTTTAAATGGCAGGTGGAATGACCACAATATCAGATTGTATCGGATATATCAACAAATGTATTAACATTCGAAAAAAGAAGAAAAGAATTCAGTCAACTTACATATTTAAGTCTACATTTCAATCGAGCAGCTAATAATCTACTTTAAGAAATATTTAGCCTATGTGCATACACATGAGTGTGACAGATTCAAGTTCAATGAAATTAATCAAGTGAGAATTCACGATAAAATGTTGTCGTGTTTCCAAAGCAATTGTTTTTTATTCGCGCACGTAATTTATTGGTTATTGACTTCAATCTTGACGTTAATATCTTTCACTTACTGTTGATACACATTCCACCTTTTGTACCATCTGTTTAAATTCGTTCATGCAGAAACTTGTTAAACATTCATTTCTAACAGCAAGAAACATTTATTAGCTATTAATATTTATCTAAATATTACAAATTTACATAGTTTGATTACATTTATCATGACACAGCAAAACAGCATTCGAGGTCATTTCCCATTTTTTATTAACATTCGTCAAGACTGCAAAAAGTGAATAAGCCGAGTTCATTGTTGCCAAGAAGTTTGACATTGCCACCTTAAAATTCCAAAAAACTTTCATTTTTAGCTTTAAATCTAATTTAGAAAGTTTAATAAATGTCAATGAGAATTTAGAAAATTAAGCTTTTTGAAAGCTTTCCTGAAATAATTTTCAGTTCATTTTATGAAGGAACTTCAAAGGCAATAGATGAGTTTATTAAATCATGTTTTTCACTGGTTCTTTGACTTGCTCTGAAGGCAGAAAAAAGCAACAAAAAACAAATTGGAACAAGAATTCTGATGAAGGTTTGATTTAATTTGTCTCTCGACATTAGTAAAAACAACTTGATTGATTACGTGGACCATTCTTAAGAATTTTAATAACGAGAATACGAGAATTCTGGTTATGGTTTTGAATGCAATATTGTGGCTGAGATATTTCAATTATTTTAATTTCTGAATTGTTTTGATTTGACATTGCATTTCTTCTCATTTCTTAATTTATTTTAACAAAATGTTGTTGAATGTTTCATAAGAGATTCAAGTGGTTTATGAGGCTGTTTGTAACACAAACTTTTTTTAAAAACAAAAATGAATCACAGAACTAAATAAAATAATAAAAGAAAATTTGGGTAACATCTTGCTTATCTAAGTTGTTTTCGTTTTACTTGTTGTTGATGATACATTTTTTGTTCATTTAATTTATGACACTTGAGTAAACATTTCTAATTAGAGATAAAATTCAAGTCAGAAGATTCACAATATAAGAGATGGAATTAACACTAAAAGTTACAGACAGATTTTTCAGTTTAATCTTTAAAGATGAACGATAGTGTGAAAGGAACCAAACCAGATGTTACTTTGGCTGGCACATCTTATGGCAAAAGCGGCGTTCGAATTTTGAGAGTTGCAAAGGATGGAAATGTTCATTACATAAAAGAACTGGAAGTTTCCACAAAATTAACGCTTGATACTGAGAAAGATTACATTTCTGGCGATAATTCTGACATCATTGCCACCGATTCTCAAAAGAACATCGTCTACATCTTGGCAAAGAAGTTTGGAATAAAATCTCCAGAAGATTTTTCTATTCTTCTTTGCAATCATTTCTTGTCTAAATACAACCACGTGATGAAAGTTGTGATTGAAATAGAAGAAATTTTATGGAATCGAATTTCTTATGGCGAAGCTAGCAGTCAAATGTATCATAATCATGCTTTTGTTCATACTCCCATTTATATTCGAAATACAACAGTCACGTGGAACAGACATGGTAAGAACTTAAGTAGGTATAACTTTATTTCATATTTAATTCTTCTAATCCTTCTTCATTTAACTCAGAATATTTTCCAACTGTTATTAGTGGAATTAAAAATTTGCGCGTCTTAAAAACTGCTCAAAGTTCTTTTGTGAACTTTGTTGACGATGAATATCGAACGCTTCCTGATCAAAAAGACAGGATTTTCAGCACTATTATTGATTGTGATTGGGAATATATGAAAATACCCGACATTGATTATGATAAATCGTGGGAGGTCGTTAAGCATTGTATCTTGAAGAATTTTGCTGGTGACTTGGTTTGTGGCACGCCGTCACCAAGTGTTCAACACACCCTTTATACGGCGGAAAAAGAAGCCTTAGAACGGGTTCCAGCTATAAACACGATTGAAATGACGATGCCTAATAAACATTACTTTGCATTTGACTTTTCAAAGTTCAAGGGACTCGAGATTGAAAGCACAAATGACGGTGATACGGTTTTCCTCCCACTTGATAAGCCTTCGGGAGTTATTTATGGGAAGCTCAATCGTAAACCAAGTAAATTGTAGACAATATTTTTTATAGTCGCTACTAGGAGCATGTAATTAGTTTATAATAGCAATAAAAGTTTCATATTTGAAGAATTTTAATTTCATATTTTATGCATGTTGAACAAATACCTATTCAACTTTTTTATTACTTTTCAGTGTCATATTCAAAAAGTTATGACTATATTAAAATGTGTTAATAATCAATAAGAGTCTGAAAGTTCTTAAGTAATCTTTCATTTATTACCTCCTTTAATTATCTAATAAATCGAGTGAACATTTATGCTTTTCCAATTAGGTTGTTAAGAGTTTGAAATTCTAATAGATCTGAATCATGAATCAATAAAATTTCGGCAATTTGAATTTTAAACATTTTCATTCATGTTTTCACTTCAACTCATACTTAAGATTAATATTAAGCATGAAAAGCTCAAAACTTTTCCATCATAAAAATTCAAAGTTTTCAGTTACCGTTAGAATTTAAAATTTCCCGCCGTTATCAAATTCAAATTTTACTAAAATGCTAAAAGGCTAAAAGTCATGTGACCAGTGACATCACTTTTAGTTTCTGGGCAAAAATTTTCCTGTGTTCCATCAAAAACATAAAGTTTTGAGGATTAAATTATTAAAAACCATCTGAAAACCAGCAAAAAGATGGGATTCATGTTTAATATCGATGGTGGTTATTTGGAAGGACTGTGTCGTGGCTTCAAATGCGGAATATTGAAGCAATCTGACTATTTAAATTTAGTTCAGTGTGAAACATTGGAAGGTAGTAAAATATTATTTAATTTTTAAGCATATTTGGAAATTAAAATAAAGGAAAGTAGAGGATGATAATAAATATAGAATATCAGCTGTTTAAATATTCTCAAATATCATTTTTCCTTTGTTTGAAAATAATAAAAATTGAATTTTTATCTATTTTTTTTACTATTGGTGACTTATCGTCATCACATGATCCAAAGAAATTATCAAGAATGAATTTTATTGTCAACAAATCACTTTAAATTTCAGATTTAAAACTACATCTGCAGGGTACAGATTATGGTCAGTTTTTGGCTAATGAGCCATCACCTCTTGCTGTGTCAGTCATTGATGATAAACTTCGTGAGAAATTGGTGATTGAATTCCAACACATGAGAAATCATGCAGTTGAACCCTTATCGACATTCCTGGACTTCATCACTTACAGTTACATGATTGACAACATCATTCTATTGATTACTGGGACACTCCATCAACGTCCAATTTCCGAGTTGATTCCAAAATGTCATCCATTGGGAAGCTTCGAACAGATGGAAGCAATTCACGTTGCTGCAACACCAGCTGAACTTTACAACGCTGTGCTCGTTGATACACCTCTTGCTCCATTCTTTGTAGATTGCATCAGTGAACAAGATTTGGACGAAATGAACATTGAAATCATCCGAAACACTTTATACAAAGCTTACCTTGAGGCTTTCTATGGATTCTGCAAGAGTCTTGGTGGAACTACAGCTGATGTCATGTGCGAAATCCTTGCATTTGAAGCTGATCGACGTGCAATCATCATCACGATCAATTCTTTCGGAACAGAACTTTCCAAAGATGATCGTCAGAAGTTGTATCCTCGCTGTGGTCGCATGTTCCCCGATGGACTTGCAGCTTTAGCTCGTGCTGATGATTACGAACAAGTGAAAGCAGTCTCAGAGTATTATGCTGAGTATGCTGCTTTGTTTGATGGTTCGGGAAACAATCCTGGTGATAAGACTTTGGAAGATAAGTTCTTTGAACATGAGGTTTGTAATTAATTAAAATTTCCTGTCATTTCATCAGCAAACATTTTATTTACAGGTCAAATTGAATGTCTACGCTTTCATGCAACAATTCCATTTCGGCGTCTTCTATTCCTACTTGAAGCTAAAAGAACAAGAATGTCGCAATATTGTTTGGATTGCGGAATGCGTCGCACAAAAGCATCGCGCAAAAATCGACAATTACATTCCAATTTTGTAAGTTGCACTTTGTAACTCTCAACTCAAAATATCTTAGACATCTGATGATGTTTATTTAATTCATGCAGTTAAATTGAGATATGAGGTGAATGTATAAATATGTAAGCTTCTTTAAATTCCACCATCATTGATTATTCCGACAAATCAACAAATTCACAACGGAAAAGAAACTTTCAGAACTTATCTAAAGATAGCCACGTAAGAGTTCAACATCAGAAGATAATTTTAATATTATTTCATTTTCTTAAATGAACATCATAAAATTCAATTGTAATTTAAAAGTATTCCCTATAAATCGACTTTAAAAATATCTTTGTTGTAAATTATGCATGTAATGTTAATTTTTGTTTTTTAATTCCTTTTATCGTTTCAAAAAAGCATCAAATAAATTATCGTAAAAAACAACCACGGAAAGAGAATCGTTAAAAGGAAACAAATATTATAGTGAAATTATGTAAATGAAGAAAGTTAATGTGTTAAATAAAGATGATTAACATACAAAATAAATTTGAGCTTTTTGTGTTGCTTCAGATTGGAGAACTTTTTGAAAGCTTTCAGTTGTTGTCAAAATTCGATCGATTTGAAATGAATTTCATTCAAATGAATGTTTTGCCATCGAGATTTAAAATTATTAAGCAATAACAAAACTTTTCTTCCAAATCTCTCATTGAACTTTAAATAATTTCGATATGTTTACAAAAGTTCACAATCAATCATGAGTAATATGATTATGAATGACTCCACAGGTTTTTGAGGTATTTGTAATGCGTGATTCATTTGATCATTTTATAAATACAATAAAACATGTGAAGCGTTATCACGAGGCGTTCGAAAATCATGTGTTTCTAAAAGAAATTTTATCGTCACAATTGAAAACGAATTAGATAAGAGAAGAACAAGCAAAATAATTCATGTCCACTAAATTTTTCAATTTCAATTTTCTTTTAGATTCGCTTCTCATTTTCTTATAAGTGACAAACGATGTAAAGAATCCCAATCGATTCGTATATTAAAAACTTATATCTTGATTATTTATAACAGTCGATATGCTGATAAAGTTATCGCATTATTCGATACGCGCACTTTAAAAAACTTTATTTCTCTCTAAATTCACCAGTTTGGCTTCAGGTGTTCGAGATTCAACAGCAATTAAAGACTTGCCAGCAGTTGAAAAGGTTTTTTATGTAAGTTTGGAAAATTTCCAAGGTCAGAAATTAAGTTGAAGCTTTTAAGTTTAGATATGAAAAATGTTGTGTAAGGTTACAATTCGTAACTTACAAAACCCTAGGAATTGTGCTGATGATGAAAGAAATAAAAACAAAAAATATTTAAGAATAAAAAATGATGGAAAATTATTCAGAACAGATTTGTGATAATATTTTAATTGAAAGTGATCAATAAATGATAATGAATCATCAAACATCTTGTGAACAAATTCAGACTTCATTCACTTGATAATTTCGTGACTTTAGTGAGGTTTCAAGTGTGCAGATATATGTAATCTTGCAACTTCCTAGGTCCAATCGAGAGTGACGTGAATATCTTATCTCGTTGTTCAAAAGAGTATGAAAGATAACAAATAATGAACCTTCCTCAATAAATATTCTCAGACTATGATAATGTTGCGCTCAAATTAAAAACAGTTTTCTCTTGTCAGTTATTAGATAGATAAAAGCATTGCCTATCAAAATGGGTCTTTCGCGCAACATATGACTTAAGATAAGATAACCAGAAATATCTTTTAATTCGCAGAATGACGGCTTCGGCGTGGGATAAGTTTTTATTGTTATCATGGAAAAATTGGATAATTCAATTGCGACATCCAATTCAAACGGTTTTTGAAGTGTTAGTTCCAGTTTTTGTTTGTACACTTTTGATTGTGATTAGAGGCTTAGTTGATGTTTCGGAAGTGAAAGATGATTTTAGATATCTACCATTGGAAATAGATGAATTAAGTTATGAGATGAGAGTTGGTAATTTTTCAACAATCTTGGCGTATTCTCCTGAAAATGAAGTTCTTGGAAGGATTGTTCAGAGAGCTGCAGATCAGTTTGAGTTTTCTGTCATCGCTCAAGAAAATGCTGTAGCTTTACAAGGCTACGCAATGACATTTGAACCATTTGCAAGTATTGAATTTGAGGACAGTTTAAAAGATATCGTTGAACTACCAGCGGAAATCACTTACGCACTTCGTTTTCCTGCTGAGTTAAGAACTGACAACGAACTCCAACAACAATTTGCTGGTTTTGCATACAACTGGGGGACAAATTTTAAATTTGGTAGTGAATTTACTATTGGCCCAAGAAATCCAAGCTTCAATGATGGCGGTGCACCTCCTGGATATATCAACGTAAGTTTAATAATTATTTAATTTACTTAAAGTTTATTTTCCATATCTTGATCTTAAACAGCAAGGATTCATTCAAATACAAAACGCAATTGACAAACAAATCATTCATGAAACATCAAATTTGACACTTGAAGATCTTCCAAAACTTTTCATCCGACGCTTTCCTTATCCGTCTTACGTCTTAGACATTGTTGGATTTATTTTGGAATTTGCATTGCCATCATTATTCTTGATCGGTTTCTTATACAACAACATCAACATAATTAAATATATTACGATTGAAAAGGAATTGCAATTGAAGGAAGCAATGAAGATCATGGGACTGCCGTCTTACATGCATTGGATCGCATGGTTCACTAAATGCATGATTTTCCAACTTGTCATCATTTCAATTATCACTGGAATGTTCAAGATTGGATTTTCATCTCGAAGTGGTTTAGCGGTTTTAACTTACGCTGATTGGACTGTCGTTTGGGTTTTCTTATTTCTCTACGTCATGGCGGCCGTCACTTACAGTTTCATGTTCTCAACATTCTTCAATCGCGCTAACATCGCTGCAATCGCTGGCGCTGTTGGTTGGTTTGTTCTGCTTTTCCCTTACAACTTAATGGTTCAAAATTACGACAGCATTGGACTTAATGTTAAGTTAATCGCATCGTTGCTTTGCAACACTGGAATGGGATTTGGTTTTCGTGTAATGACGCAATATGAGACAGCTGGCGTGGGAGTTCAATGGAGTAATGTCTTTCAGCCTATTTCTCCTGATGATGACTTAGCACTTGGTTACATCATGATTGTTCTATTCATAGCTTCAATTCTTCAAATGACCATCGCTTTATATGTTGAAAAAATCAAACCCGGCGAATTTGGAGTTCCCGAAAAATTTTATTTTCCTTTCACAATCAAATTTTGGACGGGAAGAGTCAAAACTAAAGACAATGCTGATGACATACTTTACAAGAATAATTCAAATTTCGAACGTGAACCAAGTGATAAGAAGGCAGGAATCGAAGTTCGGGGATTGAAGAAAGTCTACGAAAAGAAGCTTGCAGTGAATAATTTAAGTTTGAACATGTATGAAGATCAGATAACTGTGCTGCTTGGTCATAATGGTGCCGGGAAAAGTACAACAATGTCGATGTTGACTGGATTGATTCCACCATCAGCTGGAACGGCATACATTGATGGCAAAGACATTCGCTCTGATATCAACTCCATCAGAGGTTCACTTGGCTTGTGTCCACAACATAATGTCTTGTTCAATGAACTCACAGTCAAGGAACACATCACGTTCTTCAGTAAACTTAAAGGAATCAAGAAACCAAGCGACATTGATGAACAAATCAGAAAATATGTGGAACTACTGGAACTTACTCCAAAACTTAATGAACAAAGCAAAACATTGTCCGGTGGAATGAAACGAAAATTATCGATTGGAATCGCATTGTGTGGAGATTCGAAGATTGTCATGTGTGATGAACCGACAAGTGGAATGGTGAGAAGTTTAATTGAATGTAAATGGAAGTTAATTAAATTATTTGATTCAATTTAGGACCCTGCAGCAAGACGAGCTTTGTGGGATCTTTTAATTAAAGAAAAGAAAGGCCGAACAATTTTATTGACAACACATTTCATGGACGAAGCTGATGTCTTAGGTGATCGAATTGCAATCATGGCTGATGGAGACTTGAAGACTGTTGGATCGTCATATTTCCTGAAAAAGAAATTCGGTGCTGGTTATCGACTTGTTTGTGTGAAAGCACCAAATTGCAATCCCGAAATCGTCACAAATCTTCTCTCAAAATACATTCCGGACATTCAAATTGAAACAAACATCGGATCTGAATTAACTTTTGTTCTGAATGAAGATTACGTGTCGCAGTTTAAGACAATTTTCGCTGAATTTGAATCGAAATCTGTGTCGATGAAGATTTCAAGTTTTGGTGTTTCATTGACAACATTGGAAGAAGTTTTCATTAAGTAAGTTGAATGTGAATGAAATTTAATAAAAATAATTTTTATTTGATCATTCACAGAGTTGGAACAGATTCAAATGCATTGTCGAATGAATCAGCAGAAGGCATCAGCAATGAAAGCAATGGAAGTGACGTCGGATCAACAGATTTATGTAATTTGAAAGAAAAGTTTTAATTTCCTTAATTTTTTTAATTTGTTAATCATTCACAGTGAATGTTGATTACAGTAAATTCGAACACGGATTTAAACTGATAAGAAGTCAGATAAAGGCAATGGCTATGAAGAGATCTCTCTACACATTACGAAATTATATTCTCCTGATCATTCAATTTCTGATTCCACCATTTTTCATAGTCATTACAATGCTAAGTGCAGATATTCTCGCTGGCAATCAAGATTTACCAGCGTTGGCGATAAGTTTCAATGAATATCTTGAAACTGTCACGACCATTGAAACAGGCGACATTCAAAGTGGATCAATTGCTGAAGGAATATTAACGAAATATAAAGAAGCCTTTGAAGCATTGCCAGACGTTCATGAATTGAATCTTGTTGATTCCGATTTTGAAAACGAAATCCTTCGCCAATATGAAGTTTCAACTTCTCAAACCAACTTGAAATTCATGGTTGGTGCGACATTCACAACTGATCAAATCACTGCATGGTTTAACAATCAAGCTTATCACACAACAGCTTTAACCATCAATTTAATCAACAATGCATTATTAAGGTAAATTTTTAAATTGATAAAATCAAGAAATTTGTTTTAGAAAAAAACTTTGGAAATTTCAGAAGCACAGACGGAAATGATCGAAGATCAATTAATGTGATCAACAAACCTTTGCCATTCACAACTTCAACACGAGTAAAATTACATTTTATGATAAATATTAAAGATAAATTTAATGCAACTCATGTTTTCAGTTAACACAATTGGGAGCTGGCAACAATCTTGGATTCAACATTGCATTTAATGTTGGGTTTGGAATTTCTTTTGTCACCGCAATGTTTGTTCTGTTTTACATCAAAGTAGATACTTAAGACATCTCAATAAGTTGATAAATTTTCTTATTAATTAAATTTCTTCTTTTAAAGGAACGTGTGAGTCGTGCAAAGCTGCTGCAATTTGTCAGTGGAGCGAACAAAATAATTTTCTGGATGACTTCATTCGTCATTGATTATCTGCAATTTTTCTTAATCAGCATTTTATTCATTGTCGTGTTGGGAGCTTATCAGAAAGACGGTTACAGCACTTACGTTGAACTTGCACGAAACTTTTTGCTTATGGTTGTGTTTGGTTTCTCCGTCTTGCCTTTCACTTACGTTCTTTCATTCATGTTCAAAGTTCCATCTACTGGATTAGTTCGGTTGTCAATCGGTTACATAATTTCTGGCGTTTTCTTCTTCATGGCATATTTCATTCTTAACAACGAACTTTTCAATCTACAATACATTGCGGAACCTCTTGGATGGACATTTTTCATCTTCCCACATTATTCACTGGCACGAGGAATGAGTAATCTTAACATCAAACATTCAACAATCAATTTATGTGAACAACAATTGGGATTCTTTCCATCAGAAATTCTTAACCTAGAGAGTTTAACCTTGGATTATGTTTGTGAAGAATTTGACTTACCATGTGAAAACGCTGATCAAATTCAGAACATAAAATTACTTTGCGATTTAAAGAGTTCATGTTGTGATCGAAACATTTATTCATTCTCTGGAGAAGGCATTGGAACCAACTTAGTTGCACTTGTCTTAGTTGGAATTCTTTCGTTCTTAATGCTGTTTGCAATGGAATACAGATGGCTGCAAAACATTTACTACTATCTGACAAAGACATTAGAACAGTAAATATTTAACTAATTAATTTCTTCAATTTATTAATTAATTTCCTTCCAGTTCCTTGGATGTTCCCGAATCTGAAGATGGTTTCGTAGATTCCGATGTTCTTGCTGAGAAAATCAAAATAAGATCAGTAACCGATTTTCTACGAGAGAAATGCAATCTTTTGATTAAAGATTTTACGAAATATTACGGGAAGAGACTGGCAGTGAATCAGATTTGTGTGGCAGTTGATAAGTAAATTAATTTTTTTGATTTTCATTTTTACAAAATTTTCATTTTAATATTTTCATAATTTCAGGGCAGAATGTTTTGGATTGCTTGGTGTTAATGGTGCTGGTAAAACTTCAACATTTAAAATGTTAACAGGCGACGAATCGATTTCATCAGGTGAAGCGTGGGTGTATGGTTTAAGTGTTAAAAAGGATATGAACAAAGTTCATCGTCGTATCGGTTATTGTCCACAATTTGATGCTTTGTTTGACGATTTGACAGGAAGAGAAACTTTGAAGATATTCGCACTTCTCAGAGGTATTCCAAGTAGAGACATCAATCAAGTTTGCAACCAATTGGCAGAAGGATTAAGCTTCACCAAACATCTTGACAAAAGAGTTAAAGCTTATAGCGGAGGCAATAAAAGGAAATTGAGCACGGCTTTGGTGAGTTGATTTCAAAAGTATTTTTTAATTTAATTAACTTTTTACATTTCTTTGTCACTTTCTTTTAACATAGTCATTGATCGGTGACCCGACAGTCATTTATTTAGATGAACCAACAAGTGGAATGGTAAATATCATGAAAACATTAAATTGATAAATTTTTGAAAATTTTTATTAAATTTAGGATGTTGGTGCTCGTCGACAATTATGGAACATGGTCATAAAAGCAAGAAACTCTGGCAAATCAGTAATTCTTACTTCTCACAGCATGGAAGAATGTGAAGTTTTATGCACAAGACTTGTAAGTTCCCATGTTAAAATAAATTGTTTCTTTTAATATCAACAATTGTAATCATTGCAGGCAATCATGGTCAATGGAGAATTTAAATGTTTAGGATCAACACAACATTTGAAAAATAAATTTTCTAAAGGATTTTTCTTGACAATTAAAGTTGGAGACAGCAAGATTGACAACATGAATCAACTAGAAAAAATAATCAATGTCAAAACTTTTGTTACTCAAACATTTTCTTCAGCAGTTTTGAAGTAAGGAAATTAATCTTTAAATTCTTTAAATATAATTGAATGTTATTAAATAAACAGGGAAGAGTACATGGACATCATGAAGTATCACATTCCAACTGCTAAGATTAAATGGTCACAAATGTTTGGACTTATGGAAGATGCAAAAATGAGACTTGGAATTTCTGGTTATTCTTTAGGTCAAACATCACTTGAACAAGTTTTTCTATTTTTCACTAAATATCAACGCATTTCAAAGTAGATTATTTTCTAGATATGTCATATTTATTTATGTTAAAGCATTCATATTTATGTTAAATACATTGACAAGATTAACAATAAATTTAACTGATTATCTCAACGATTTTCTATTTAAAGAATCTTTTTTTAATTAATGAGATATTTCGCCAAAAACTTTAAACGTGAAAAGTGGAACAAGCTTTTTTGTGCTTGAAAGTTTTCCATCAAATTTCACATTTACAGTTTGTTTGATCGGTGGTCCCATGGTAAGAAATGCTGGTAAAAATTTAGCGTCTGGATAGAAGTTGAAAAGGTTGAATTTTCTCTGTTCCGAAAGTGAATAAATATGTACACGTGCATTTAATAAGATGAGATAAAAATAAAAATATAAAAGCTTAAATTACCTTGTTAAATGGACAGACAAATTTAAAATCAGCGCAACGATCAAGTTTGTCCATTACCATTTTCACTATGAAATTACCACGATTTCCTTCATTCAACTTACACGAGGTAATTGTCGACGTCAGAATGACATTTTCCGCATTAAAGTTTTGTGAATTTGAGACAGCAAACTTGAATGTTAGAACCATTTTATCCAAATCTTCGAATGTTTCAGCTGAAACATTCAGAAATGTTTTATCTAAGTGCTTCCAAATGACTGCTGTTACATTTGCGTATTTAGGTTCACTACTATAAATGACATTTTCTAAAGTGATCTTGGCGTTCTGAAAGAGCATAATTAGGTAGTTTAGTAATTTTAGAAAATTAGAATTGAAAAATATCTTTTACAATTATTTCAATCAATAAGAACAAAACAATTATTCCAGCTTTATGGCAACCTTTCATGATGTGTAAGTAATATCGACAAACTAAAATTTTGAAGAGTTTATTTGGTTAAAAATTTATAATTGTTTGTTTACCAAACAAATGTATAAATTAAAATTAAAATCGAACATTTCCTTAACCCATTAATTTTAATAATGTTTTTTTTTTAACTTTAATTGCCATTCTAGCGGGCAGAAAATGTTCGATGGAATAAGATTGTGTTGAAACTATTCGCAATTAATCATTAAAAAAATTAGAAAATCGATCTTTCCCTTTATATTTGAAGAAGTCTTCAAATGGACATAATAGCAGTCGTTCTGAATAATATTTGGAAACTCGAAATGCTTTTAACTAGATACGTAGAAGTTTAATACAGTTGACGCGCTATAAGCGGAAGCTCTATGAGAGCAAAAGCTTCAAACATGACCACCCCCTTCAACTTCATTCATATTGAAAAGCCATTCTAAAAGCGGAAAATTTCCTCACACGACCACCTACTTCAGTTTCCGCTTATAGAGCTTCTACTGTAATTTCAGTAGAGAAATGTTTCATACAGGAAGATGCTACTATCCATAAGATAATTGAAAATATCGTTTTTAAGATTCAATTTGCATTGCT